GAGACGATCAACTTACGTATACCAACGCGAATTTCCGCCAGGCTGTCTAAAGCTAGCGGGTTTCCATGTTCTCTGAAGATCTGGCCAGATAATCTGTGCACCTCTGACACCTGGAACATGGGGAAGGGTGGGCTATTATCAGGGGTGAGCGATCTAGGGTATAGGGAGGAATCATGTCACCATATGTGGATGTCAACGTCGCCGTACCATCGTCCTAGTTCCTCTTGCTGCTGTGGGCTAAGATCTTAGTCACGAAAGAACATAACTGACCGATCCGCGATGAGCAATCCTAATTCGTCTTTCTGTTGCGATGTCAGGTCCTAGACCAGTCAGTTACTCGCTGTCTCTCGACAATTGTAGCATATTTGGAACACTTTCAACTGAAGACCCGTTATCTCAGTTCCAATATGTTTTGTTAAATGTTTGACCTGTTTCGCTGCCCCAAATAAAGCCTTTTTGTCTGGGTCAGCCCGACTACCTGGATCAACATATTCACGATCTTTCGGCTCTAGTGCAATGGCGTCCTCGAGCCACGTTAGTTTGCGAGGATACTCAGGATAGCCATTAGAAATATCTATTCTGGCTTTTTGTAGACGCTCTGATGCTGGAAGAGGAATAGGCAAATGCCTCTCGAGTTTCTGTTCTTCGTGATGGGGAATCTCGAGGTACGTGATGGATGTGGTTTGCGTCGACTTTAGAGCCGATGTTTGAGTCCATCTTGGTGTTGTGGTGTTCACCAATGGTAGGGTTGCGACTGAAGGCGCCATATTGGGATAGATAACAGCAAGAATATACTAACAGTATTAATGCCAACAACGAAAGAGGATAGCTATATTGAATCTCAGTCTCTTGCGCTGGGTCCGATTGCGGGGATCGTCAGACATGTAACCAATTAATTCCCCGATGAGTTTACAGCGAGATCCTCTAGCTCTTCTGCCGATTGCCGACTACATTTGGCACGCCATTTGTACATTGAATGACATCATGTCAACCGTAGTTGTTACCTAACACGAGAACAAGATCCAAAGCCAGTTTATCATCCCTAACATCACCATCAAACTTATGATAGACCTTTATACCGCTGTTGTATTCAATCTGGACACGACAAATTGCAAAACTGCTGAGGCTTAGATAGTAGCTCCATTTGAAAGGCTTGTACAATAATATGTGAAGATAGTACTCGTGGAGTCATCGAATATAACCTACAGACTCTAGTGAGGCATGGTGATTGATAAGATATAAACATCGGCTCACGCGAATTCGTACCTGACAGGTGGAAGCTTAAAGGCATAATTGACACATGGAACATGAAATATATAGCAAGATGGCGTGTGAGCTGGTTTGCAAGGATTAAGGCCGGTGTCGCTCGCATTCCTGGCTTCAGTGGGGACGGCACACAATATCGTATTGAACAAATTTGGCTTTATATTCTAGACAAAAATCTATCATTTAATATACTGTTCATTCAAGTGAATGGTGAAGTTATTCGAGGTTTACGGAAGCTTCTCAGTATGGTCTTAGCTGGAACTAGATTCTGATGGCTTGGTCAACATTATTATACTAAGTTCGTAATCATGCCAACCAATCCGCTCACTGAGAATGTGGCTCGAAGAGAAGTCGAACACGGCCAAGCCACTGGAATTGAAAACAGCAAGGACGTATCGGCGTATAAGGGATCATGGCGAAGATTCTTCTGGGATACATGGGACAAGCCTCCTGAAGTCTGGGCAACTGACATCACTGACATGCTTGATGAAGTCACTAGTGGCGGTCATCTAGGAACGTCGACTTCTATTCAAGGTAGACAGCACATTGTTAACATTTGCTTGTCTTAGTACCTTCGTCAAATACCTTGGTCGGTACAGTCTATCCTGTCTGAATTTTGAGTTAAACAGACTAATTATTGAAATATAGGGTTAACATCAACAATGCCTTCGTGTCTGGTATGAAGGAAGAAGTTAGCTTGTACGGCAATGTAATTGAAGTTTTATTGACTTGGGTCATTCCGGGGCTAACACGCATGATAGGAATTGAATTATGCCGCCGTACGTAATGAAATAACTCAAGCGGGCGCTCTGAGAGTTTGTAATACTAAATTTCAGTTTAATACAGACCTGCTTCTCTGTCGCAGGTGTAAGCTTCGTCATGAAACGACATCAAAGAGCTCTTTCGCTACCCTTACATTAGCTCGTTGGTCTCTGGTCGATTAACTTACTCTTGACGAAAGTTAACCCGAGATATCTAATACCGACTCTCGAAGTCGGCTTGACAATTTGGTGAGCACAAGAAATCCGGTAATGTATATCTCAAACTGCTGACCTATTGCATCAGCACGTTCGCACAAGCAAAGATGAATACTGCGCCACAAATGTACGCCTTACGAACCTTTATTGGACTACTTGAAACGTAAGTACACTTAGCTGTACTATCACCTATACTTGGCTAATCTGATGTGATAAGTGGACACTTCTCCGCTGGTAAGTTACACTTTCTGCATTACGCGGATGTACTGACGAACAGCAGGTATGTACCTCTTGCGGCGCTTGGTATCAAAAGGCTGAGCTCGGAAAACGCGTGGGAATAATTAGTGCTGCTACTGCTGTTGGACCCATGTTTAGCAGGTACCTCCAAGCTGCTGCATATATCGGTCTCAACGGTGTTCATGGAATGAGTGGGTGGCGTTGGTTATTCCTCGTTGATGGTATCATATCTATCGGGATAGCCGTACCCCAATACTTTCTACTACCCGACGTTCCTGCACGACAGACACAGGGTACATCTTCACGGAGGCAGATATTGAACTGGCGCGTGACCGGAATCCCAAGGAAGGACGCATCAAGCAAGGACATTCCACATTGCAGCAGATTAAATGTTGGTTCCTCACACCTGAAATATGGCTGCTCTGGACGATCTCCTGGTGCAGCTCGATTGGCTACTACCCTGCGCAATCAGAACCATATTGGTTTAAAGCGTGGAACACTGTCAAACCGGGATCCTACAACGTTGCGTATAGTACGCCCGTGTACGCAATGGATATATTTCAGATGTTTCTCTTCGGCTGGCTCTCAGACACGGTTCTCCGAGGCCGCCGTTGGCCAGCTCTGGTTATTAGCCCAGCCATCAACTTTGTCGTTGTTGTCCTCCTCGCAACCACGCCTGTCTTCCCTTAGAACCGAGCGTTTAGATTTTTCCTATACACCCAAACCAGTTGGGGTATGGCAGCTAGCACGATGTTCTGGGCTTGGACAAACGAGCTCCTCAAAGAAGATCCAGCCACTCGTGCATTTGCAGGAGTTGGACTCAATATTTGGGCTGGATTAGCTGTTGCCACCATTCCTCTCGCAGTATTTCAGGTTGTACAACAGCCTGCGGTGACCTCAGGCAATTGGACAGCCGCCGGGTATCTACTTGTAGAGGTTACTGCAACACTGATATTGGCCAACCTCAGCTATCGAAAGAAGAAGCGTCTAGAGCGGGGGAAATTCCTTCACTGATAGTTGACCCAGATGAAGTCAGAGATGATAGCTTTGAGGCTGATGATCGAAAACGGGCAGATGTCCTAGCCTGGCCGTCTAATAAATGAGAAACAAGCCACCAACGTCAGTCAATTGGAAGCTTGCGTCTACTCTTGCCGTTTCATTCAAAGATGGCTGCTGATGATCTGTCTCGGATTGAAGAAATACCACGTCGAGCTTCGTTGTTTGACAAGCATGATTCGTATATTTGGATCATATTTCACAAGTCTCTCTTGGGTATATGCGCAATTGTATCAGCCAAGCACGGAGGAGAAAGCTACTTTGCGCCATCACAGATATTGAATATACGTGGCTTTGGGAGATTCTCCACTCGATGAGAAGGAGATCAATGAGTATTAAATGAGAATTGCTCCTAATAAAGGATGCAACTTGGCCATACAGATTCGAATTATTATAATGCCATATTCGAGCTGCGAATTCGGCCAAGGCGTGGGGAACTCCTGACAAATGTCGTCATGTGGTGAGGCTGAACCCACCTTAATGTGCTGCAGGAATCAGAAGGAGCTTAGTGTGCTTGTGTATACGTTTGCAGCATCCGCCCGATCCGTCGCGAACTGGTGTCTATCCCGACCCGCTCCGCGTGGTTTAATGCACACACGTCTATTGATTTATCCTACCAGCAGAGACACTAAGTCTCCTGGACAGCATTCTTCAGCAAAGCCGTGGACATTTTCCAAACGGTTTGGCGTGTCCTCGCAGTCAGGAGACGGCGACTTGATCCAACGCAATTTGCAGGCAGGCAAACTTATTCATGCGGCTCTACGGCTGGCTGGGCAGATTCAAATTACATCACACTCTCAGCATTTGATCTCGAGTGGAACATTTAGTTCCCCGACTGGCCCCACGGGGTCGCGAGTGGTCCGGCAAGAAGAATGGGGAGGCTTTGTGTATTATATCCCTCATCAGGCTTGAGAGAGCGGTATCGCTGGTGTTTATTGAGTGACCAAATGACGTTCAGTGTTTTCTAAGCATACTATCATCATCCCTACAAGTCCACCAAGCTCCATTGTATGGCATTGCTATAGCGGCGCTTCCTCGGCGAGCCCCGTTTGCGTTCTGGATCTCGACCCACCGCAATCGTGCGGCTACGCGCCAATGAGCCAAGCCTACCGAATCAAGTGCCGGGCAAGTGATCTCAAAAGCAAGCTTTTTGACCCACAATGGAGTAGTCTAGAGAGAAGCTACGTTTTCGTGATACACTCGTCAGCAAATTTTATCCCTCTTGGAGAGACTGGAGAAGTGGGAGCCGCTTTGCATCCTCCAGAGCACACCGACTCCTTTATGTGGGCTTACCCCGCCGTTACATGAATCACGTCGTGGATACAATGGGGATTGCAGAATGCCAGGCCATGATAAGGGACAGGCTCCCAGATGGAGTCCAAGTTCATGTCGGTAGTCTTTCTAAGGAGCTCATTCCTCTCACTCTCGCATCCCCCTTTCCTCCCCCTTGACACCAGCGAGAGAATGGGATTCAAGACGGCTTTTGGCCTCACTGGTCACGCTCTGAGCATTCTACAAATCGCCCTGATTGTGGCTCCCTCCTTTGTTCTCTTTGGTTACAACCAGGCTGGCATCGGAGGCCTGCTGTCTGAGGAAGATTGGGTCAAGACATTTCCCGAGATTGATACCGTTCACGCCACCGGTACCACCAAGAGCTCGAAGTCAACCCTTCAGGGGTTTGTCGTAGCAACATTCGTGATAGGTGCCCTCATTGGTGCTCTGTCTTGTTCTTACACTGGAGATATCTTTGGTCGACGAAATGTCATCTTTGCCGGTGCCGTATTCACCCTGGTCGGCGAAGTCCTCGAGGCGTCATCATTCAGCTTGGCCCAATTCATCGTCGGAAGGGTTTTGATTGGAGCTGGTGTCGGCCAATTAAGCTCCATCGTTCCGGTATGGCAAAGCGAGACTTCTGGAGCAAAGAACCGGGGACGCAGTGTCGTGGTGACTGGTCTATTTATCTGTTTAGGTTATGTCCTCGAGTCCTGGATTGACCTCGGTTTTTTCGAATTTAAGACTGGTCCCCTCACATGGCGTCCACCAATTGCCATTGCTGTTGCATTCTCACTCGTCCTAATGGCTTCCGTATACGTCTTTCCTGAATCACCACGTTGGCTTCTGATGAAGAACCGAGTTCAAGAGGCTCGCGAATCATTGTCGGTTCTCAGGGGTCACGCTGAAGACAGCCTCGAGGTTCAGGCTGAACTGGCTGGTATTGAGCTGTCCCTCGAAGAGACTTCGGGCAATGCGGCCAAGCTCGGCGATATGCTGAAGATGGGCGAAGAGAAGCTCCTTTACCGCTTCTTTCTGTGCATGCTTCTTCAATTTTACCAACAAATGTCGGGCAGCAACCTCGTTTCTGTTTACGCCACCACTCTCTTCCAGACAAATCTAGGTCTCAGCAGCGAGCTATCCAGAGTTCTTACTGGTGGAGCTCTGACATGGAAGTTTCTGTCGTCTTTCATCGCTTTCGTCACCATTGACCGCTTTGGACGACGAGCTGTCTTTATTCTTTCGGGCATTGGAATGTCCTGTTGTATGATTGCACTGGCCGTTTCCACTTCCTTCGGTAAGGAGAACCGTGCTGCCCAGATCGCAGCTGGTTGTTTCATCTATCTCTACAATACCTTTGTCCCAATCGGCTTCCTCGGCGCCAACTTCCTGTACTGCACGGAAGTTGCACCAATTCGCCTCCGTATGGCCATGTCCTCCATTTCAACAGCCAACCACTGGCTCTGGTATGTTAGATCCTGCCAACTCACTTAATGACCGGCTGTAATTAACCTGAGAATTTAGGAACTTCGTGGTAGTCATGGTCACTCCAGTTGCCATCGAAACAATAGGATGGCAATTTTACATAGTCTTTGCCGTTATCGCAGCATGCGTTCCCGTCTCTGTATACTTCCTCTTCCCCGAGACCATGGGCCGCAACCTTGAGGAGATCGACATGGTCTTCCGGGAGTCGCCGTCGGTATGGGCTACAGTACGGTTTGCCAGGTCGCGACCTGCACTTACCGCTGTGGAGTATGCCGAGAAACATGACAATGTTGATCACCTGGAAAAGACGGCGGAATAGGCCAATGAAGAAGATGATCTAATGACCAAATCAAGTTTATTAAATACAATTGATTCTTTTTCCGTGAATTCGCTTGTGAACGTTTGTTCATTGCCATGTGACGTCGTCAAAAATCCCAGGCATCATAGGAAAGAAAGCTGAATCCACGGGAAGGGTGGTCAAATCTAATTCCGGCCCATCCATCAACGGATCCTGCGATAGAGCTGAATTATCCACTCTATCTGCCTCGGGGGTCAATTCAGTTTCGCAAATCGTCCTAATCGCACTAAATTTCTGTATTCCAAAGAGAAAAGCCTCGTCCGCGCCACTGTCTGGTGCCTCTTGTGATGCTGCAGCTTCCGCTTGCTCAAACTTTTGGATTAATCGATTTAATATCGGTACCACTTCCACCGATGCCTCGGCCACGAGAGTGGTCCAAGCGGGAATGTTGAAGGTAGAGATCCTATACATAAACATCATAATGTAGTAAAGTTGGCTGTAGTTCCCACAGGGCAAGTATTGTAGTTGATCCAATGGTATAGAGAAGTATAGGTCAAGCCAAGCTCGGATGGATTCTGTCACGCGCTGATAGATTTGAAACTGTTTCGGGTGCGCATTGTGTGACGAAGGAGGCTTAATAAGAAGTGACTCGTGAATCATGAGCATTGTGAAATGATGCAGCCTCATCATCGTTGCTATCGTGATACATCAGCTAATATTCTCCGCAAGGTCTTGATCACTTACGGTTATTGTCGAAGACAGTGCTTGATCCATCGACTGGTTTCACGAAGCTATCGACTTGTAAACGAAGTGCATCAAGATACGCGATAGGAATCTCGACATTCGTTCCTCCACGATATGTAGATCGAAGTTCGTTGGTCATCAATTGTAATTTCGCTTGAGCAACAAGGATGCAATCTTGAGGCTCGGTACTATTTTGAGCGACATAATTCATGCATTCGTCGAGGTAAGGCGACCAACGAAGACCATCGGCAGATCTGAACGCGTGACAGGTCCTGTAGGCATTGTGAGCCGAGTCCACGATCGGTTATATTCTAGCGGGGGTTGACTTGGCAATACGCACGTAGATGTAACAATATATGCTCCTAAAAGGGCTCGTCGATCTTCCATTGTTCTCTCTCTTCGGACTGTCGGGAAGAGACCGAATCCTTTACATTTGAGGAGGTGCCCGACCTTCGACGGTTGTTCTGGCGGCGGCATGTGTAATCCGAGATCGTGGATTAGAGACACGGCAATTTGAGAAGCCATAGAAGTAAAGAGTTTGTCCATAGGAAACCGGTGAACCCTGTACCAAGTCAGCATAGCCCGGAGTCACAATTTCACGCTTCGCCTACCAGGTAAGATATGTGAGCACCCCAAGTAACATATCAACACTTCTTCGGCCCTCGTCAACTATTTTGTGCACGATGGTGCTTCTGGCTTGTCTCCCGAGGGAATATCGCTTTCTGGGGGGCTTGGTCGCAACACTCATGATATTCAACCACAGGAATGGATACTGTTGACGAAGTGTTGATGATTTCATGTCGGTGGAAATATACACGTATGGACACAATGACTGGCGATCATTAGCTTCGATAAACAATAGAGTCCAGAATATGAGACTTGCCATCATCTCCTCACGAAACTGTCGGAGGCAAGCCTCGGCTTCTTCAATAGAAGGTTCATCGATGTAGTCATCGGTCTGAATGCCCGCCAAAGTATTGTCTGTCAAGGTTGGCGAAGAATCGTTGCCGTAATTATTATCATCTTCAGACTCTATAATGCCAGTGGAGTCATGACTGAAGTATGCCGGTGTTTGTTGAAGTTTCATAAGTGACATTAGGTCGTCCAGTTTCTTCTCGAGCCTGGCTGACATCGGTGTTGGATGAGACACATTGTGGCGTTTGGGACCGCGTCGTCTCGCCGGAGATGAAGGTACACATGGTTTGTTCAACCGATAGCATCTACACTGAGTGAGCGTTCCATTTGGATCTCGGTCGGGTGTCGAGAATGGCCAACCTCTCACAGTCGTTCCCATCGATTCGGCTGATGCACTTGCATTTGACTCTGGCACAATTCGCACAGGCTTTGCCCCCAGGCCCCCGAAGTGATAAAGATGTCCGGACGGCATTCAGGTCCATTGCTCCGCTGGAATGGCTTAGGTAATCGACCTGACGCTTCTGCAGCGGGTAGTCTAAGTGTCGAATTTGTCCTGCGGCCCCGTTGTAGTTATGATACTGCAAAGGACGGCATTACCACCACAAGATCAAAAGCTTCAACAGGACAATTATAATTTTTCCGTATCCTGATAATTTCTGGATCGGATGACATTGCGAGTAAGCAGGAGGATTGAAATGAAGACGAGTCAGGAAGAGGATTTAGGTGGGCTTTGATCCGGAAACCCGGCGGGCCCGGCGGACCCGGACCCTGGATCAATGATTTCACCGACTAATTCCGAGGATACTGGCAGACAATTTCAAAGGCAAAGGCAAAAGGATAAATCTACTTAGTTATATCACTCAGAAAGGAACCGATATTAGGTACTCTCTCGGATTTAAATACCGATCAGTATGTTTAATTGTATTACGACCCGGTGTAGCAGTATCCGGGCTCCTTCGCCCTCATTCTACATTCGTCACTCTTGGAGATATCACTTATAAACCTTCAAATACCAAATCTCCAAGTCTCCAGCTAGATTTAGCCGGTTTCCATACTCCCGTTGAGGCTATCCTATCGTCAGCATTTCCAGCAGCCAATACTCATCCAGCTCATGCGTGTTTGGTATACACATTCAACAAATACCACGAAATCCTCGGGCACAATGGCCATGGAAAATACAGAAACAAGAACGAATGGACAAGAACATGACACTGAGTCGGCAGATGTCGCAAAGACGGAGACTGTTACTGGCCTTTCGTTCATCCTAATGCTCATTAGCTTGACTCTGGCATGTTTTCTTATCATGCTAGACACCTCGATTATCTCTACGGTACGTAAAGTCGATGAAGCAATGTTAAAAATCCACGGACTGATTGTACTATCTAGGCCATTCCAAGTATCACTGACGAATTCCACTCCCTTCATGTCAGTCGACCCGCCCCAACCAAATCTACACCGGACACTTACATGAATAGGATATTGGCTGGTATGGAAGTGCTTATCAACTTGGAAGGTAAAGTTGAATTGCTTAAGACTAGATATGTTATGCTCAAATCTAAGTTCGAACCCTTCAGTGCCGTCCTCCAACCATTGACAGGAAAAATATACCAAAACTTCAAGCTCAAGGTGAGACAGCCTAGCACCATGGTCAGAACGACGCTGACTTTGTCACATAGTGGACTTTTATCACATTCTTTGCAATATTCGAGATTGGATCTGCTATTTGTGGTGCTGCCCAGTCTTCTGCAATGCTCATCGGCGGCCGAGTAATCGCTAGTATTGGAGCATCAGGACTAATTAATGGCGCACTTACTATCCTTGCCGCTTCCCTCCCTTTAGAGAAGCGAGCCCGTAAGTCTATTTCTGCCATGGAATCACCAAGAAATGCTTGCTAACTGTAATTACCAGTGCCTACCGCAATTACCATGGGAAGTGTGTTTACCTGTTGAACTATATCCGCGTGACCTAATCTTGTACAGTATCTCAACTGGGCGTGGCACTTGGGCCTGTCATAGGAGGTGCATTTACTTCAGGTTATACTTGGCGATGGTGTATGAGTCAATTCCTTTAATTGGCCGGGACATCCGCTAATATTGTTGATAGGCTTCTATATCAACCTGCCACTTGGTGCTCTAGTGGTCATGCCCCTACATTTCGTACATATTCCCGAACAGATTCCCAAGCAGCAGCTATCTCCTGTGCTGAGAGAGCTCCATCACCATCTAGATCTGGTTGGTTTCGCCATATTTGCTCCTGCTGTCATCATGCTGCTCCTTGCACTACAATATGGAGGCAATGACTTTGCGTGGAATTCGTCCCAGGTGATCGGTCTCTTCTGTGGTGCTGGAGCCACTTTCATTGTCTGGTGTGGTTGGAACTATTTCAAAGGCTATGATGCCCTGTTACCTTTCCAAATCATCAAGCGACGAGCAATCATGGCAAGTGGTGCAAACTATACCGTCGTCATGTCAGCCTTATTTGGAGCTACATATTTCTTGCCAGTCTACTTTCAAGCGGTCAAGGGTGTCAAAGCTATCACAAGCGGGGTGTACCTTCTTGCAATGATTCTTCCTCAGATGCTACTGGTCGTGATTGCTGGTGCTACTGGTAAGGTGTCTAGGTATACACCTGAGATGCGAATGCTAACGGTTAGATAGTGAATAGATTCGGCTATATCCCACCATTTGCCATAGTCTCAGGGGCTCTCACAGCTGTAGGAACAGGTTTATTCAGCTTACTCCAACCAAACACCTCAACAGGTGAGTGGGTTGGATTCATGGTTCTTACTGGGCTGGGTCGAGGCTTGGGTATAATGATGGTTAGTAACCTTGTGTCCACACCGAGCTTTGCTTACAATCTCAAGCCTATTATCGCGGTTCAGAACGCCGCACAAGGAGAGGAGATCTCTTCTGCCACTGCGTTCGTAGTTTGGGCCCAGTACATTGGACCTACGATCTTTCTATCATTATATAACGTTATTTTCGACACCAGTCTCCGTTCGCAGCTACGAAGTAAGGCTCCAAATGTCGATGCTCAGGCTGTTATCGCTGCTGGTGCCACACATTTTCGCCGCATCGTGAGCCCCGGGGATCTACCTGGAGTGCTCGTAGCATACTCAAACAGTATTGACCACGTGTTCTATCTCGCTGCTGCTCTCGCTGCAGTGGCTTCTCTTACAGCTTGGGGGATGAGCTGGAAGAAAATCAGTAAGAAGGATTCTGAATCTACTGAGCTCTCAGATACGACAACTGCGGAGAATTAAGTTTGATATTGGAGAAGCAGATTAGTTACCCAGATTAGGGACAAGGACACGTATCACGAGTTCAGCGCACTCTCCACCAGACATAGTGAAAAAGGGCAGCAGTGCCTACTGCTGACCAGCACCCAATCAAGATATCACATAGCACACACACAAGAAGAAGCCTCCAGGGCCTGAGAACGTACTGAGAATGAATGGGGTAGCCATTCTTGTATTGTAGTAGTAATAACTAAGTGAAGCGAACAAAGTGAAGTAAGTAATAGCAAAATAAGTCACCTGACTGCTGGCAGGGGTAAGACCTTGCTTCCCCAACTCAATAGACAAATAAATGATAGATGCCTGATGAATAATCATATCTGATCTTCCAGCTTGCAGCTGTTGAATGACCGAATCAAACTTTCACACTTCAAGGCTAAAAGATGATTGCGGTATCGCGCGATTGAGTCAAGTGATAAATTGGTAGAGAATGCACCTTGATACCTAACAAATTGACAACTTCAAACATTCATACACCACCTCAACTAAGAGAACTTGAGGTAGATGATTGAATGGAAGGATTGGATTTGTGTCAAAGCTTGGATTTTGAGTGTTTCATCTTAGGAGGCGAGGGATACTATAAACTAAATAAATCATCAAACTAGTGTCCTTAACTCTGATTGTATCTAAGTGAGCTGAACATCAGGCAAGTATGCAGTGGTAGTAATAAGAGCATATATTTGAACCATAGAATGTTAAAGATACTATCTTCGCAATCAATTGCTGTATAAAAGGTGTGATCGGTGTAGTGTAATAGCTTCAGGCAATAACAGCAGATTTGTTGGCACTGAAGCAGTTGGCTCTGACTCGTCTTGCTTATAGATCGGAGTTTCATCAATCGTCATGAGCAAATCGCCCTACTTAATAGTCGCCTCAAGACTGGCAACTCCTGAAGCAAAAACTTTGTAGGCTACAAGCACGGTGGCAATTTCATCAGGGACTGTCGTATGTTCCTCTCGCTATTCGGAGACCGGTTGTGGAGCCCACATAACACTGAGGCGTGCTAGTGATGGCAGCGGAAAGCGAGGCCATAACCCTTTCCTGCAAGATAGCGGATATCTCAAAGACATTAACCTCTCCTATTGAGATGGGTCAAAATTTGAGGTTGACAGCTACTTCGAGAGCATTTGAACTCACTTCGCATACCTTACCCATGATTCTGTAACATTATTCGCCCTAGGGCACCGATTGAGCCGGGCGTTGGGCTCTGCTACAATTGCACCAGAGCAGGTCAGCCCTATCGCCTTATTGCCTTGCACAGCTCGTTCGGGCGACATGGTATGTGCTGTCAGTGGATGCCCGTGGCGGCGATTCTCCGCCGATCGAGCAAACATTACATGGTTTCAGAAGAGGCATATTTAGACACTTTTTATCTGGATTGCTTCAACATCAAGGTAAAGTTAAGAGATTTCGTTATTGTATGACGAAAAAAAAGCTCGACAGAAACGTATGGTGACGAGGGACAGTATATGAGATGACAGGGCTAGACTTGTTACAGGAGAGGAATGCTAGGTGCAGAGTGCTGATCTTTCCGTGTAGACCGTGGGTCCCTTCACCACAGCCAATCACACTCCTCCTCCTCTGTTACCCAGCGTTGTATATGCTCATCCTTGCTTTCATGACGTATTTTGAATCCACATTTGCCGGTCCGGTTAGGGCTCAGCCGCGCTTGCAAAGGGTAACAGTGTAATTCTAGGAGTCTTCGAGGGCAGGATCAGCCAGCCAGAGGTCGAGAACATGATGTTGCTAGCTGCGTGATGCGATGTGTGTGTTTTTCCCAGCCTCGCAGGAGGAGAGAAGATGCTAATGCGTGGATCTGCAGCTAGAGAAAGTCTGAAGAGACTCGACCGGGGTCCTCTGGTCGGTTCATGCACTGGAATGTGGAAACTAACAACTCTCCTCTTCCCCATTTGGCGCCATCAACCACTAACCCTGGCAGTCATTCTGCAAAGGAGTCTTGAAGGCTCGGCCAGCCGACTTGCCGAAAATCTGTAGCACAACCTGATATACCCTGCGCCATCCACTAACTGAAGTCTTGAAGACTTCGCTCTCTGATCAGCTGAGAGAACTTAGGGTAGGTCTAAGAGGAGGCATCCGATCTCAACACATTATTTATTTTTGTGTCTTAGACAAAAGTATCCTCCTCCCACTCACCCACTGGGGGCAGCAAAGGTTTAGGTGGCCACTGTGTAGATTTGTTCCAGCGACTCTGGAAATGATGTCGTCCCGATCCGACAAATCTCCCCACCGATTCCGGAATTCGAGTCCTTTCGTGAGGGAGAATGACCTGAGCGCTACTGTTCGCGGGAACTGACAGGTCTAGCTCAAATTGGTCGTCACCCCGGATCGACCAACGGCACTCTAGCCGGCCATACGGCGTCTCATAGGTTGCTTCGGCCCAAGTAACGGTCCCACCAGGAATAGGGGCAACCCTAAATGTCTTCCATCCCGGCTCTAGAGGACTGACACCGGCCACGCATTCATGCAACCAGTTTATAACAGAGCCCAGGGCATAGTGGTTGAAGCTGGTCATCTCGCCCGGGTTGATCGACCCGTCGGGTAACATGCTGTCCCACCGTTCCCATACAGTGGTAGCTCCCATACTGATGGGATACATCCAAGAAGGGCGGTTCTTCTCCTGCAGCATGCGGTAAGCGATCTGATGGTGACCGCTTTTGGTGAGGGCGTGGGTGATGATGGGTGTGCCGGCAAATCCGGTGGAAACGCGGAACTTTGCGAAGCGGACCAGTTCCACCAGCCGTTCCGCTGCACGTGCAACCTGTTCGGGTGTCGCATGCAGATCGTAGACCAGTGCTAGACTGAGAGCAGTCTGGCTGTCGCCGACTAGAAAGCCTGACGGGGCAATGTACTTCTCTTGGAAGGTAGACTTCAGCTGCTGGAAATCCAGAGCATACCGGCGGGCGTCGTCCTCTTCTCCCAAGATTCTGCTAATCTCTGCTAAGACGGATGTGACATGAACGAGGTATGCGTCGGCCACCAGAGTGCCGTTCGTGCGGGCATTACCCGGTTCATCGGGAGGTGCAGTTGGGTCAAGCCAGTCACCGAGCTGCCAAAGTTGAGAATCCCAAAGGCGATCTGGTCCACGGCGTATTCCCCTGTCTACCCAAGCTACCATACTCGGATATTGCCGTCGAAGGATATTGACATCTCCATACGAACGATACAAGGCCCACGGGGTTAAAACCGTTACATCGTCCCACACCGCCTGCGGTGCCTGCGGCCACAAGTGCTCTATGACATTGGGCACGACGAAAGGGGGAATAGAATCGGCTCCTTCTTCAAGTTGTTCCGCCGCCAGGTCCCGTAGCCAATCTCCCAGCATGCCCGCAGTATTGTAGAGGAAGTTGGCTGAAGGACAAAAGACCTGAATATCACCGGTCCATCCTAGTCTCTCGTCTCTCTGTGGGCAATCCGTAGGTATGGAGAGAAAGTTGCCACGCATGCTCCACCAAGCATTCTGATGCAGTTTATTGATCATGGAATGCGAGCAGGAGAAGTGGCCAGTCCGGAGCATATCAGTGTGGATGACTAGGGCGGATAGGCTACTGGCCTTTACTAATGGATTTTCCAGGTCATCCGGTGACCACCCTTCGACCTGGACATAGCGGAATCCATGAAAAGTAAACTCTGGGGACCAACTTTCTATCAGTTCTCCTGACGATATCACCGTGTCCGCACATTTCGCAACGCGAAGGGGGCGAATGCCTAGTTCTCCGTCTTCGAGAACCTCAGCATGGGTGAAAGTGACCTCGTGTCCACAAGGCGTTTGTAGACCCCGAATGAGCAGTCGGCCCACAAGATTTTGGCCGAAGTCGACTATAGTCTTGCCTGACGGTGTAATAGTGATGTCGACAGGCTTGATTTCTTCTGTAACTCGAACTGGCGGTCCTTCAGGAGAGACCAAATCTGCATCAGGCATTGGTAATATGCGAGCAGGATGCCAACTCTGATCCTCCAGCTCCAATCGTTCGCTCCAGCCAGGAATCTCTTCTCGCGCGTCATATACCTCGCCGTCGTATATCTCGCTGCGGATGATAGCACTGGGTTGGCAGAGCCATGACTCATCTGACACCAATGTATATCCTTCATGATCCCGTGTTCCTATTTCCACTTGTGCCAGCACTCCGATATCGTTGCCATAGATACACCTCCTGCCACCGTGGAAGCCAAGCCGTGTGGCCCACCAACCCTCAGCAACTTCTACTGCGATGACGTTGGTTTGACCGGGTTTCAGCAACGGGGCGATATCAAAGACCTGATAGTTGAGGCGATGCTTATAGCTAGTCCAGCCGGGCGCCATGCACTCATCGCCGACTCGTTTTCCGTTGATGAATGCACGATATACTCCTAAACTAGTAATATACAAGCGAGATCGTTGTCGGACTGCGGCTTCACGCGGCGCCACGAATGTTCGTCGAAATCGCAACGGCCTCAGCGGGCCAGAAATGTCGCAGCTGAAAGGGCGGGCGCTGGTGATCGGGCGGGCGATCCAGTCCTTCCGTTCTAGCAATGCGCACTCGACTACCGTCCATGGCGACCACTCGGTCGGCTCCGAGCCCATGTTACCATAGGCCCGGACCCGAACGCGAACCTGGTCCCGCGATCGCAAAGGCGTGCTAGGCCAAGGCACCAAGAGCGAGGCGCTGCCGGTCACCTTGTACAGCTCGGGCACTACGACGGTAGACGCCGGCCGGATGATCTCGAGCTCATAACCTGTCTGCTCCCAGCCCTGCGGTGCGGGATCGTCAAGTATAAACCGCCATGACAACCGGGGAGAAGCCGTGCTGACCGCGAACCCGGTCGGATGCTGCTCGATAGTGGGGGCAGATAGAGTAGGTTGGACAGGCGACATGATGAAACCGGTAGAGTCAATCACTCCAAAGGCAAGCTGCTTGAGTGATGGAATGCTTCAAGTTTCGCCTAGTGTTCGTCGTCATTGAAAGGTATATGCTGCTCCTCGGGATCCTTTTCCCCGAACTCCATTACAGTTGGTACACAAGTGTTATGGCGTCTTTAAACGAAATCCGTGATTGGAAAGCTGCACGAGTAATGTGCCCATGCCAAGATCCATCCACGAGTGGATCTAGTGGGGGTTGTTTTCCGCGACTCCCACTGGGAAGTTCCTGCACAAGTACTCCTCCGCCAGGTAACAAACGTTAATTATTGAAGGATAAAGATACTTATTATCGAGAGTTATGATAATCATCAAGTTCTCAAATATTCTGTTTATTACCATAGGTTTGTTTACTTCTACAAAGGTAGTAAACCCTTGTTGAGGAGGTAGTGATATCCTTGCCGAACTAACAACTATTATCCTGGCCGAGGAGTAGACAATCTACGGTGTCCACATTACAGTCCATTCTTTCTCTAGCTACTCAGCGTTCTGTGGCACAGAACAATTAAGAGTGCGATCTCGCGGTCAATTTGTTCCCCCGAATGTCCTCGCTCGGTGTAATTGCCGCCAGTAACGTGGTGTTGTACGAGGCGATTCAACTTTACAGTATGTATATCAGAAACCAGCCATGTATTTACCACGTCCAGCAATGGAGCCAACGTGGCCCTCAACTGGGACGGAACCACACAGTCAATAATATGTCTTGGATCATAGGTAGTGGTTTCCAGCATTAGAACACAGACATTAGTCATTGGACCGCATGAAGTCTGGACAGTCACGATCCAGAGCACACGAATGCGTCTGTAACCTACGTAGATGGCAGATTGTATTTGCTGAAGGAAGTCAATGTATCAACCCAGATTACAGAACTGCTTCAATCGCACATTGTACGCCCTTACGCATGTGCTGGGAGACTAGAACACCGAAATGGTGTAGTGACCTCTGATAGTCTCTGTTTCCTCTTCCTGAGCTGTTCACACATGCTCGGCCTCTGCAGCTGCAGCCTTATGTTCTGTGCTGTAGGCCTCTGCTGCGCGCTGTTCCGCGACAGTGACGTATTTGCGGAACTGGCGAGCGGGGACGTGATTCATGAAGAGCTCATCTAGCTCCTCGTAGGTTCTCCTACGGGTCTCCGGAATGTGGTAGAAGCCCATGACAGCCCAGATAAGCATGAAGGCACCGAAAATGAAGCCAATTTTTGCTTTGAGGTTGCCATATCCAGGATTGAAGATGTATGGGCACACAAACGCCCACATAGTGTTCGTCGCATTGCTGAGCATCATTGAGAGAGCGAGCGATTTGCCTCGTAGGCTCGAGGTTGGCATTTCGCCAGCAATTGCATAAACTCCCGATCCGACGCCTACGTTGTAGAAGAAGTTGTACATGGTGTAGAAACCGACAGCAGCGGTCGTGGCGGCGACTGTGTTGATCGATCCCGCAATGCCCATACAGATGAGCAGCACGGCGAGCGCAGTGCAGCCGACAAGGAACATCGGTCGACGGCCGTAGAAGTCACTAACGAGGAAGGCGATGGTGGCCCCAGACATAGACAGAATCTGAGCTCCAATTTGCAAGAGGAAGGACTGGCGAGCCCCGATGCCCACATACTGGTACATAAGAGCTCCGTATGAGCCGACAAAGCCAAGACCGGACATCGGCTCAGCAAGGAAAGCCAGCATAGCAATCAGAGTTCGCCGAAGGTTGGTTCCACGGAAGCAGTCTATGTATGATCCCGTACTCTTCGACGTTTCCGACTCCTCCAAAGTCAGCTTGATGACCTCCAGATGGCCATCAGCATCAGATGGATCCTTGTAGAGGCGGCCGAGAACTTTCCGAGCAGCGGTCATCTTGCCCCTCCGGACTAAATACACCGGAGACTCGGGCATGAAGATCTGTCCAATGAAAGCAATACCGGCGAAACCCCACTGAGCACAAATCAGGGCTTTCCAGGACCATTCAGTATCCCACTGAGCGGTATAGTAAGACATGATCGCCGAGAGGAAGGGGCCGATGCACTGAGCCAAGTTGCAGAAGCCAATAGCGGACGCTCGGATCGCCAGTGGCGCAATATCAGCAACATACGTAGTACAGGCGTTTTGGAAAGCCCCAATGGCAACGAAGTTCATCATCTTGCCGCCAAAGAACATGGCTATGGAGGTGCTGCCGAACTCGACGCCTACTGATGCCAAGTTGATAACGCATGCGAAAAGGATGACAGGCTTGTATCCGATTATGTCGATGAAATAGGAGGCAAGAAGCGCCCCTACGATGCCGGTGGCATTGCCACCGCCATTAAGCGCAGACTGCCAGCTTGTCTCGATATAGTAGTCGCCGTCCAAGGGCTTCCCGAATGTTTTTTTAAAATAAGGAATACTGATGACAGAGCCAGATGCCTGCGCCTCGAAACCCCGCACGCCCAGGGTCCAGAGCATGACTCCAATCCAGAATAGAAGCCATGGATCCTTCCGGAGTGACTCCATATATCCTCGGTTGTGTTCCTGCTGCTGGATGGCGCGTCCATGGATCTCTTCAGGATTGTTTCCGATCGTGGGGTCATAGCCGTCCTGAGGCCTTTCGACCCGCAACTCTGTCTCTGGCTTATCCATGATCAAGCCCAGGGACAAGGAACGTGTTGACGGTGTGATTTTGCTCTTTGATGATCTTGTCTAGAGAGATCTAATCGAGCTTAGGGAACGTGCCTCTGGATTGTCAGAAGACGAGGGCAACGAGATGGGCCTGGAAAGAGTGATTCTAACATGTTAGGTGCCACCACGAGCCTTATAGGGGTGTCCCCAGACTCTACCGCGGGGAGAATCTGCGGGGACCCCATACCTTGCCTGTCGTAGGAAAGATCGTCCGAAAGGACTTTGAGCGTCGTCCCCGGAGACCAATCGCCCGAATTCCAGGGTCCCCCAACAATGATATTGGGTCTACAATGTACAATGTACATAACGACATAAGGTCCGTGCCATGGGAGTCGCCGTACGCGTACGTGCCCAGGCAAAGTGGCTGATAGTGGGAATTTGTGTTCTCCGTAAAGGCCACCAGGGAATCTCAATCCACCTCGCGAGTCAGGTCGCCTCCATCAGCTAACTCTACACTAGAGCTGCCGAGGTTTAACCCCCGGAGCCAGTCTATTTTAGGGTCTAGGCATACTTCGGCAATCAGGAACGGGGACGGTCTTGTTGGGTGCAGAGTGTACAAACCTCAGCCATACATGCAATAAAGGGCGATCAGATAATTCGCTTATGCTGCAACCACGTGAATGAATCTCGGGCTAAACCTCTAGCAGACTCCATCTGTTCCGAGGTTTTGCCGGTAGGAGGCACCTCTTCTGACGCATTTACAACGCAATTGGTCTGAGGTTAGGATGTGGCGCCAAAGGCCCCTCGCAACCAGGCCTATTATGGCAATCTACTTGAGAAGGGTACCTAGGGAGACTTCATTCACTGAAACTTCTTCATAGCCCGAAGCAGAGTTGCTCGGGAGTAATTGTCACAACACAGTCCAGACAACACTCGGATTGCGGGCTTATTGACGACCGAGAAGGCCTTTATCGAGTTGCGGGCCTCGATATCGGTCTTGTACGACCCGCGAATGCCGAGTCTGCCGTAAGAGGTAGAAGGGCAGATTTAGAAGCGCACCGGAGCTATGGGATGTTAACGAGGTGTCCTCAGCGCCGAGTTGATTTATTTCACGTATGCTACCTTGTTTTCCTACTTGCAGCAAACCGAAGTTTGAGTATTGTTCAGAGCTTCTCTCACCGCTGTAAATAGACCTCTAAGGCAACACTTATAGGTGTTGGGCCTCAGCCTCTTGATGAACCTCGATAGTCTAGGGTCAGACGCGATATATCTCGATTTCAGCGACCCGTTCTCGTCCGGAAGTCCTCGAAGTACTCTTATTACCAAGGGGAAGAAGACGATGTCAACGATCCCTAGATCATGTTGGGACGTCGCTTACTGGAAGGCTCAATCACGTACATGAGCTTGAGACATGACGGCTCGATGAACCGGATTCATCAGCCAAGGTATCTTACCGCGGCATGGGCTTTATATGGAAGGTCGAATCCGGCCTAGGTGGAATGCAACAGTTTGCTGCCACAAGCACATCGCACATGTAGTGGTTGCATGACGCACAGCCAGACTGCCATCCCTTCCTTCTCTCTTCAGAACGTCCCTGATCAGGTGCATCGTAGGGTCAAGTCGTCGAGTATGGAGGGTGCACCAATAGCTCACGTGACTACCCCTGACGTATCCCTGAGGTAAACCCTGGGCTCAATGCACAAGAAACCAACCACGAAGCGTTCTATTCCTATGTAAGAGCTAAAAGGCAAGACTTTCTTTGCTGGTTGCCAGTCCGGTTTACCAGATGCAGTCTCTATGAAAGGTTTCAATGGTCCTTAATTAATTGAATCGTAATCCTCGCCGAGAAGCAGGACAGTCCGGAGTACGGTGGAACAATGGCTGCAGACTTCCCAAGGTGAAGCAGCAAACTACTATGTTTTGAAGAGCTAGACTTTCAGAAGACAAATAATCTTAAAAAAATATATATACTATCTTTATATTAATTTGATTATATGTAAGGATGGTGAAGCTAAGTCACATGTGCAAGGTGAAGAACAGAGAGGGGGTTATTGATTTATTACCCCCAAGCTAGGTGTGTAGGTTCTAATACTACTGCTTGCTGATCGGTCTCCGACCGAACGGCGGTGAGGCATTTATATATACTATAGGAGGTCCGTGCTCCCTTTTGAGGCGTAGGCCTTTGGCTTCCAGCCACAGCCACAGCAAGGAGGCGATATCCTTACATTATAATAAAGCCTCTAATAAAAACTTGATCTTTATTCTACTATTAATAAATACTCTTAATGATAAAACAACTATACCCTTTATAAATTATAAGAAAAAGAATATATTAAATCTATTTAAGTTAGATAATAAGATATTTATATAATAATAAGGTGTCATATAGACCCAACGTTGACTAATTTAATATACTAGCGTAAATAGATCGGAAGCAACTCCTTCTATCCTTAAAATATTCTAGTACTTTATTAACCTAATATAACTGTAAGAAATTTATAACTTTTCATCAAGTAAATTATTGGCATTTAAGATAAGTTTTGTTTTAAATCATATTGCTCTTCCTAATGATTTTATTCCGTGATAAGCAACAGTGAATCTTCTCTATATATTCAAAGCCTACCCCTGAGGCCATCTCCTCCAGCAGAACAAGATGACAACCGTCAATACAATTTCAATCGAGAAGAACATTGCCGCGATTTGATATCCAATCTTGAAATGGGGTGCTTCACCGGTGTTGTACACAAGCAACGGCACCCAAGCGGAGAAAGTGAATGCCATTGTCTCCACGACTCCGATGATGATGGCCCGATGTTCCGCATTGTGTCCACAGATCTCGTTAATCCAAGTGATGATAAGAGCACCAGCACCGGTTTCGCAAAACGTCAGTAACCATCCTGCCATCATCGCACTGATATTCCCTGACGGCCAGATAGACAAAATGATTGTTCCAATCAGTGCCACTAGACAAGCAACAATGATGAGCGGCCACCGGCTTTGAACCGCGTCGGATACCCATGCATAGGTGAGCGTGCATACGATCTGGAGTCCGTATCCGGCAGTTGGAATAATGTTGACCTCCTCGGTTGAATACAGATGCGTCGACTTGAGCCAGAGATTGAAGTAGCTGTAGATCTTGATAGCGCAAACGTGTGCAATAAAGATGGAACTGAATAGCCAGATCGGCCAGTTGGCAAGGATGTCGCGAATTGTACCCCAAGTTAATCGCTTGAGTGGAGCACGGCCGACCTTTTCCATTCGAGAGACAGCAATCTCCCTATCGCGGGGCTTCAACCAACGGGCCTTGGAAGATGTCGGTGCATCCGGAATGGCCCAATAGCCGTATACAGCAATGGGAATCCCAATGATACCATCGAAAATGAACAGCCAGCGCCAAGCCGCGAGACCAGCCCTGCCATTCATCCCAGAGTAAAGGCCAGCTTGGAGATATCTATTCTGTCAGACTTGGACTACTTCCTGACAGCCAGAGAAACTTACCCTGAAAACATTTGGGCCGCGCTACTAGATGCCTGAAAGATACAAGCACGTTTTCCCAATTCCATAGGCGTATACCAGTTTCCCAACAAGGTCATTATACCGGGATAGGCACTTGCCTCAAGCAGGCCGCTGAAGAAGCGCAACACATACATAGTAGTGACGCTCTTAGAGCCAGCCATGCCCATGACAATGAAGCCCCATGAAAGCTCAAGAGTAGGAAGCCAGATGGAAGGGCGGATTTTTGTCAACATGTACTGGGAAGGGAGCTGGCCGAGAATGTAGCCGATATTCCAATAGGTAGTCAGGTAATTGAGATCGTTGCCAGTCATCGAAAGATCTTCCTTCATGCCAGACACGTAGGCATTAGACACCTAAAGGGTCATGTTAGCCAAGTTCCTGCCTGTTCAAAGACGCATTGAAGGTCACAGCGGGTCAATACTGACATTTGTTTGATCCAAGTACTTGACAAAGTACGCAATACAACAATAACTCAGGATCCACCAATCAATCTTTGCGATAAATCTCCTCTCTTCCGGTGTCTTATCCAAGGAATCCCAGATGACAGCCAAGATACGCTTGCTTAACGGCCGGCGTGGGCTGCTCCGAGAGTCATCCTCACCGGAGCTCAGGTTGACCGATGCCGTGTCTTTCTCCGCAGAAGCGGGTCTGTCAGGGTTTGTCTGCTCCATTGTTTTTGAGCTGCAGGTGGGAGTTCAGCAAGAAATCATAGCCCCATCGGCATTCGCTGTGAGAATATCAAGTCCTGCCACGACTCACGCGAGCGTCTCCAAAGCTATAAATAAGAAGTTCTACTCTTCAATAGACGAGTTGATCATCAAAATCTTGTTGGAAAGATAATGGTGAAATTGTGGGAGCTGATGTCGTCAATTCGTTTCTCTGGGGCTTTTGCGGACTATCCCGACAACCGGTGATAAAGAAGGCTCGATAAGCTGGTCCTGGCGAGTCATTTCATTCCTATCAGGAAGCCGTTGGGTCAGGGACCGGGTGGATGCCGCAGATTTTGTCGGGGAGAGCCCGACTCAAGGAAACTAAGCGTGGCCCGACTGACTAAGTTCGTTCTAGCACAATTATGGGTCGCCATCGACCGACTTCAAAAATAATAGCAAAACTGGCGTAATCATCACCGGATGAGCTGGAGAATAGAAGGCAAAGGTTCAATCATTCTAGCGAAAAGAGGACAGGGGTCTCAATTGCCACTATTATCCAAACTTGACAGAACCGAGATACGTCTAGTGACGTCCTTAACAACTCAATTTACTTCAAGACGCAATGGTCTCCGAATCTGAGGCCCGTTCGATTTATGCGTCGGCAATTCACTTCGACGGACTGAATATCTGTAACTGGTCCCGTCCCATTTTCGAGGCGTGGAATGCTGGTGGTATTACTGGTGTGTCTTGCACCTGTGGTCTATGGGAAAACTTCCGCGACAGTATTCTAAATGTTGTTCAATGGAAGGAGTGGTTTGAGGAACATAGCGACTTGATTGTTCAAGCGCAGACAGTCGCTGATATTCGCAATGCCAAAGCATCTGGCAAGACGGCCGTGCTCCTGAGTTGGCAGAACACCGCAGGCATCGAGGACCGCTTGGAATATCTGCGTGTATTCCGCGACCTTGGTGTGCGTAAGATGCAATTAACGTACAACACCCAGAATTACAGTGGTGCAGGATATACAGAGCTCCGTGATAGCGGACTCACTGGCTTTGGACGCGAAGTTGTAACGGAGATGGCGAAGCTTGGCATTGTATGCGATCTATCACATGTTGGGCCACAGACTACAGCCGACGTTATCGAATTTGCCCCTGCCGGCAAACCGCCTTGCTTCTCTCATGTGTTGCCAGGAGGGATGAATGATCACCCACGCAATAAGTCGGATGATCTAATCCGGGCACTTGGAGCCAAGGGAGGTTTCGTTGGCTTATCGCAATTTGGACCGCATATGGCGCGTGGCAACGACAGTACACTTGACGATTACGTTGATGCCTTGGACTATGTTATTGGCTTGATTGGGGAGGATCTCGTGGGAATCGGATCCGATGCAAGCGAAGGACATGGACGACCAAGTGATTTTATGGCTTGGTGCAACAAGGATAAAGGTTATGCAAGACAACTTACACCATGGGGTAGCCAAAAGGTAGTCAAGCCTTTGGGTCCTTTGGCTGAGCGGGCAGAGCTAGCTGTAGCTATGGCACGCAAGGGTTGGAGTGAGGAGAAAATGCGGAAAGTGTTGGGTGAGAACTGGCTACGGTACCTAGAGAAGATCTTTGGCGCTTAATCTAACCTGATATGATCATTATGTTGAACTTCAACATCTTCGTACACTAGGTGACCGAAAGATCTAACGATATCAGGTCGATTTGGAAATGATTCCATTGAGTGACCTTGAAATACAAGAGTACACATTGATGACGCATATCACTGTATTGTATTGCCCTTGATGCCCCTGGTAAAAATTTCAAGCAGTGCCCTCATTATACCAAGGGACGATTCGAGAGAGTAGAGTACTTTTATGATTTTAAACAAGACAATGACTGACTGCAGCTGGCAAGAGATGACAATTTCAGTGACCGCTTCAATGCCGATGAGTGAATCTTATTGTTTATTTCACGACCTCACCATTTCTGTTCCGGCGAAATACATTAGCAGAACCGTGCCTTTGGTCATGAGTGAGTTACATGACCTGTCTAAATCTAAATGATTAACCTGATGATGAAGCCTGCTATATCTTTTTAAAGCAACTTTCTCTCGGCGATACTGGAAACGTCTTGACTGTGGTATACAAACCCCAAATCTGCAAGTGATTTCACTTCATGTTTCCTCTCTCCTAGCTTTCTGGATGCAATCTTGATTAAAGGGAATCGTTCCCTCACCCAAGCTGCTTCTGCATCCCAATACGGTGGCGGCTTTCCAACTCCATCATTCTCAAGGTCTACCCTCTTTATGGCAGTCATACTCCTGCTATACAGTCTGTTGATGTAATTCACGTCTTTAGGGAAGGCCAGGTTGTGAACGCTCTTGTCAGCTGCTCCATCTTTGTATGTTTCGCTTTCCCACTCCCGCATTTCGTGATTTGACGGCAGACTTAGGCGATCTGCCCATATGCGTGCTACCCATGCGCTTTGCGCTTCAGCAACTGGAAATGGAACAACACGTTGAGGTATTCCTGCAAACGCTAGAGTTGGATCATCCATGTATAGGACATGTTCGTAAAGACGTCGAACATGTGATCCATTCGTAGTGACGGGCGATGCAAGCCCTTTGAGAAAAGGGTACGTATAGAAGTACCCCGTACAGAAGACTATCCCGTCGACGTCTGTCTCAATGGATCCATCCGCGAATACCAAGGTTCGTCCTTTCGTATCGACTCTCAAAATCTCTGGGGCTATCTTCATATTTAGATTTGCTTCGCTGGGTGTATTGGGTGTCGATTTTTCTGACACAATGACTGGTCTTTTGCAGACCGTCGATAGTTGCGAACTCAAGTCTATGCCCGATGCTGAATTGCCAACCACCACGACTTTCTATTGCCAGAATTAGCGAGCCATTATTACGAGGCAAATCTTATCTCACCTTATCCTTATATTGCAAAGGGTTCCTATAGAACTTGGAATGTGAAACTGATCTAGGGTATGCCTTGTTGAAGTCTGAAAGACCCGGGATATCAGGGATGAATGGGTCATTGTAATGACCACTCGCTACAAGAACAGCATCGAAAAAGCTCTTCTTTCTAGTATTTGATATTAAATCAAGTGATTCAACCTCCCATTGCTTCTTCGTACCGTTTTGTATCTTAGTGACGCCAAGGATCTGCGTTGAAAGCGATAGTACTGGTTTCAAACTTCCTGCGTACGTTTCAAGATACTCCTTGACGATGTTGTGAGCGGGAAACAACGATGTGCCTTGAGGGAACTTTTGATCTGAATAATTCATCAAGGTATGCGGAATATTGGTTTCCAGAAACTCATACAGAGGGGAGACAAATTTTGGAACATTGCAGTCGTCTAGATAAACCGCGGTGTCTGGGTGGTGTGATGGCTCTGTCCTCGGGATTGTGAAATTGTTGTCCACGACATTCAAGGGACTGTAAGTCCAGATACCTCCTATTGTGTCCCTCTGTTCAAAAATTTCAACTTTGGAGAACTTGTTTTCAGCTAATAGATACCTGTAGTAGAGTAAGCACGCAATATTAGTGCAATTTAGCATAGCACTTACTTCGCTGCAGCTAGACCGCAGGGACCGGCTCCGATGACAGCGACCGACTCGATATCCAACGCCTCATTCGTATACATGGGTGACATTGTGAAGGGACCTGATCAGTTCGACCAAATTGGTCAGAATGGCGACAGAGTTACTTAAATGACGAGCGGCCAAATCAAGTGAAATGCATTGGTGTCGTCGTAGCAATCGTGATATAGCCTGAGACAATGGGAGCTATCGGACGCTTACCTCACATACATCCAAACTATCAAGATGATATATGCCCATGTTTAGTCAGATCACGAATGACTGTCGATGGCGAATCGCACCGACGCCGACAGACTGTGTCGGGCTTGTCCGACAATTAGCAAGGGATGAGTGGGTCATTTGGGAGGGGCTAGCAGAATCTAGATGTGCTGAAGCGAGCACGACTCAGCACGAGTCGTTGATACTCCGGTGGAAAAGTGGACTTGATTTCGCCAGTGTGCAAGCGACAATCTCGGTAGGCATTGACCGCTTTGTCTCGACGTCGCAATCTAGCGGGATTCTGCCGTGATAATGATATCAAAGCCTACACGCTGATTACGAATGTCAGCCGCGACCATTGTCGCATTGAACCGCACAGGATGCGATGATACAATAGAAAGATGGATGAGATGCCAGATACGCAGCCCCCTCAACGAACGCGGTCCAACATCAACCGCGGCCGTAGCCGCCGCGTATCTCTGTTGAGGTCCATGTCGACAACTCCGACAGCCCATCCATCGGATATATCCCAAGATAGCGATGGCACCCCAAACAGTAACACTCTTGGCCGGAAGTCAGTCGCCCAATCTCGCGATATCCCAGCCTGTGACAGATGTAGAAGTTTCAAGAAGAAATGCAGCCGTACTTTCCCCGTATGTACTTTATGTGCAAACGCAGGTCACAAATGCTCTTTCTCCACGCCAGCAACCTCAAGCGCAGCCACGGCACATCATCTTCGAGCGAGAGTTGACTGGCTCACCCGTTATATAAACAAGAATCTCCCTGTTGGTATGTCGGGCGTTGAAGGTATCGACACGGGATCTGATTTGGATGCACTGCTCGGAAGCATTGAAACCAGTTCGCCAACGCCGGCAGCTGGCATTACCCCTGGTAGTTCCACTATCGACAATCAAGAAGCTTTTCAGACGCCGGGTCCTTCTGCTTCAATAATATTCAACCAACAGAGTCTTGCAGTCAACCAGGACGGAGAGAGCTTGGCAGCAAGTAGCCATGAGCCTTCGAGACTGCAGGTCACAGGGCAGCTTCCACTTTCAAAGCCCAATTCGACTCAACGAACTAGTCTTAACCCTCAATCGCTTCCAAGGGATGCTATTGCCCGGAGATTTGTCGATGCTTACTTCCGGAATACCAATCGTGCGTATCCATTTGTTGACCGGATCAAAATACTTCGAGGGCTTGAATCAATGAGAGGCGTTCCAGGAAGTCGAAGTGATGCCAGCTCCACTCTGCTTTATCTCATCATGGCAATTGGCTGCACGACTCTTCAGCGTGCAGGCCAAATCCCAAATGATACGACATCAAAGTTTGATATTGCATACGCAGCCATCATACAAGAATGTATCATTCGAGAAGACACCGAGTCCATCCAGATACTCTTGTTGCTTGCTCTGTATTCGCTCTTTGATCCAAACGGCGCATCAGCATGGTCGATCATTGGCATTGTGTCGCGGAAGGCTCTACTGCTCGGGTTGAGCCGAAAGATATCAGAAGAAAAGTCTCTCTCTGCAGCCGATATTGAACTCCGACACCGTCTATTTTGGAGTATATATGTCTTCGATAGGATGATGGCCGTCTCTCTTGGCTATTCGGTTGCACTTGTTGATGACAATGTGGATGTCTCTCTCCCTAGCCTGACAATCGAGGAGTTTGCATCAACAGAGAAGCCGTATTTTGCATCCATTCTTCAGACCAATCGTCACGTCATACAGTTGCGACAACTGGAGGATCGTATTCTTCGAGAAATCCACCTCAGAAGAAACTCGGACATTGCAGCTATATCTCGTACCGACCGACGAGCCATTCAACAAGATATCAGATCCAATATTGAGGGCTGGTATAGCACTGGATGCCTTGTGTCATCTCTCGAAGCAGATAACCTCCCAATTCACAATTCAGTGACATGGCAGAGTGCCAGATACTACCATCTACTCATTCTTCTGTACTATCCTTGCCAATTTAACTCTTTCATACCGATTTCCGGAACGGAATTACTTCGGTTTGCACAAAAGCACCTTCAGTCGACTTCGGCGCTCTTTCAGCAACGGCAACTGCCTTTGAATCAAGTAACACTCTGTCGGATGTTTCCGGTAGGATTGGTACTCTTGCATAGCTTTGCAGCCTCCGCTCTTAGCGGAACACCCTTCTCAGCTCGAGAGGAGGTGGCTGTGGTAATCAATATCCTAGAAGCATTCTCTGAAGGTTGGATTCAAGCACATCGAGCAGCCCATATATTCCGTCAGTTTATGGCCATCATTGCTGGTGTTTCTGGTGACGGTCCTCTGCACCTTTCGGCACAATTGTACGGAAGTTTTGAAACTGGAATGTCGAAAGACCTATACAGAGAACTATTACGACCAATCATAAACGGGTTTCTATCTATCATGCAGGAGGTCCTTGGGGCTACCACATGCTATTGCTTCTACGAGATGCCTGACGAGAGGGATCTCGTTGATGCATCAGCCAGTTCTCGATGCCCGCCTGGAGATGCTGCATCATTGGCACCAGCGAGGAGCACTGCTAGCTTTCCTACCATATCTGATGCAGATGCCTCATCGATGAATTACGACTGGGGCTCTGGGGAGTTTACTTTCATCTGATAGCTGCATACCCATCGAAATTACAAACGAGTCATTCGGTATTGTCTTGACTGAGACACTTATCAGCTACTCCCGCTATTGGCCTGAGTTATCATATTCGCCACTGGCTATCGAGCAAAGGAGCGAGCTGACTTCCAGTATCAAATCCAGCCACTGCGGAATTTGCTTGTCAGGAAACATTGATTTAAATTCCCTTGACGTAACCTAAAGCGTCAACGTATATCCGGATCGATAAAGCATGGCCGGGCCATCTCCATTTTATGTGGGGATGGAAAAATCGAAGCCACGCTCAAGTCGTTCGTTGTGATCACGTTGGTAAGTCACTTTCCATCTAGCAGTTCATTTCGTAGCTAACAATCATCAAGCGTAGATACCTCGTTGCCGTCTGGTTGTCGCCGCGAGGAGATAATCGCTGCTATCATGACTTCCCTTCTAGCTGCAACCATACTCCTGCAACTCTGGCAGATCTGGATTGCACACTTGAAGCCATCCATTTGGTTTCAACGAATTGATACATTCCGTGATGTGGAAGATCAGTCGCGCCCGGTGGAATATCTCAGCGGGTGAGGTCGAATTCACCGAAAGTTGCCATGAGAAAGTTATCTCCGACGTCCTGTATATCAGACTGTACGCACCATCAGCCTAGTTGAGTGGCTTGGAGTCAGTCAAACAACTCTTCCACAAGAGGCAATGAATGAATTCAAATACGAAAGATGACCAAACCCCTAAGCAGTCAATCCGGTCATTGCAGCCCCCGTGTCGTGATATGCCAATGCAGTCGATGCCATCAGGGTGCCGCTTGAAAATAGATGTGCTATATGCTCAGTCCCAGCAGAGTGCCAATCATTAACTCCGAATCTTCACTTGTACAAGAAATTGATGACAAATGCTCGTGTGGGGGGTTGCTACCCCATTGGAGTAGTCAAGCATGCTTAATCTGGCAAGCATTACGCGATTGAATGCTGTGAAGCAGTATCCTGTAATCGCACACGTGTCAAAGGCCTTTACCTAGGCCTTTCAATGCTCTGAAGCGGTATATCTGTGTGTTTCTTTGCCTGATTCGGCATCTCTCCTTGATCGACATGCGTCTCCGTCATGACTTTATGTTTCAGGGGAACGGGTCGGACTTAGCTGTTGCGTCATGGACTTTAGGGCTTCAGCTTCCTCGGGAGGGGGGATAAGGCGGGAACTAAGATGAGCTTATCGCGAGCTTTATTAGGCTCTTTGCTGTTTGCCCCCTCCATTTATAACAAGCTCCCCGCTTCTAGTGGTGCCAATTTGAATTTGATCTCGCACCATTCATTGTGACAATCTTTCACCTTTGGATCTTCCAGTGTAGAATCTCCATTGACCATATCCACGTCTTCAACATGCCTGTCGAGTCCAAGTACAAAGCCAATGGAATGATTTTCCGCCATCTGGGGCCTACCGGCCTGTAATTCATAGCTCCATCGTCTGTCTTCGGGTGATAGCTACTGACAATTGATCCAGGAAGGTCTCGATCTTCTCGCTCGGAGGCTGGCTCACTTATGGCGGTACACAGAAGGGCAACATTGTCAAGGAGTGTATGCAAACAGCCTGGGATCATGGTATCAATTTCTTTGATACAGCAGAGACGTATTCAAAGGGAGAAAGCGAGATTGAAATGGGCCAAGCATTACAGGAGCTTGCGTGGCCGCGAGACGAATATGTGCTCTCCACCAAGATTTTCTTCGGCACCGGTCGAGAGGAACCAAACACACGTGGATTGAGCAGGAAGCATGTCGTAGAAGGACTAAAGAGCAGCTTGAAACGTCTTCAACAGCCATACGTTGACATTGTCTTCGCTCATCGACCTGATCGCGGAACGCCCATGCGCGAAATTGTCGAAGGGTTTACTCAAGTCATTCGGAACTTGAATCTAGGTAGGTGCGTGACTTCCGTGGCCTGATCCATGACTAACATTATCCCAGCATACTATTGGGGCACGTCTGAATGGTCAGCCTTGGAGATCATGGAAGCTACCCAAATAGCTGAGCGATATAATCTCATTGCGCCAGTGGTTGAGCAACCAGAATACAATGCTTTCCGCCGTGAACGCTTCGAGGTTGAATACGCACCACTGTACCAACAGTTCCAGTATGGTACCACCATTTGGTCGCCATTGGCATCGGGTGTACTTACGGGCAAGTACAACGATGGCATCCCGGAGGATTCTCGATTTGCGAACAATGCAGACTTTTTCAAAAATACGATCGGTGCTCTGAGCGAATCTGATGGAAAGGCCAAGATTGAAAAGGTCAAGAAGTTGACCACGATCGCTGAGAGATTGGGTGGAACCACAGCTCAGTTGGCTCTTGCGTGGGCTGCGAAGAACGAGAATGTTAGCACTGTAATCCTCGGTGCAAGTAAGCCTCAGCAGATTGTAGACAACTGCAAGGCACTAGAGTTGATCCAGAAGCTCACGCCGGACATAATGGAGGAAATTGAAAAGGTATTAGAGAATAAACCGACGCCAAGAGCTACATTTGGCAGGGAGCGACCTGGGTGGGTTTAGAAGTGTTCTACTGCACAGTTAACTGGTGGAATGGTAGGAGATCATGCGGCGTGGGGGTAGTGTCAGCACTCAAATAGAGCTTCATTCCTCGACTTTCAGGCATTTTAGGGCCTTCCCTTGCTATTGCGTGAGACGGTCAAGTTCGCACTGCAGTTGCGGTGCGATTCAACGGCATTCTTAACAAGGGGGAGACGGAACAACAGGCAAACACAAGAACCACCAGTAGATTCTTTCCAACAGCTCATTAGAGATTCGTTGCGACGGTTGATCATTGAAGTGTTAGACATCGAAGCCCAGATCTTCGCGATCCATTGAACTTCGTCTAGTGATTTTCTTCTCTTCATTAGGTTAAGTAGATCTCACGGAGCATGGCTCTGACCAGAAGAGGTCAATTCGATGGCTAGCTTCTGGACGATGAACAGTCTTGTGATGCAAGGAGTAGATGTTGCTTTTGATGTGGAGATACCAGTGGACAACCAAATTACAGAAACAGGAAATAAACAAGTAGCAAGTAGTGCAGGCATAAGGGGCTATCTCGCTCTATCTGCAAATTACATAGTTCAATCCAGCGCTGTCTATCATGATACAGGGGCATCTGCATCCAAAGCAAATAATCAATTGTCAACTCTTCAGGGCAGGGGGCTTTGTTTTGGTATTCGACTCTGGCGCGTTGAAACTCCCCCCAGTCACTCCTTCGCTATGATTTACCTTGCAATCTTTTGTATATATATATATATTTCTTGGATATAGATCGTATAGCAAAGTCCATATATACATAACTCTATTTCAATCGTTGCCTTTATATCCAACACTTCGAGTAAGCTTTCAGTAACATCCTTAAAAGCCTTACCAGCGAATCGTTATGCGCCACCACAAGAAGGACCACCAGGTCTCACGATGTAGGTTCAGATATACCGGCAGACCGATTGGCAGGAAAATCATTGCATTTACAATCGTTCAACTGCCATAGGGCCGGGATTTATGCATTGAGGGGAAGCCCCGGGAGCTACTTTGGAGATGAGAGTCCATCAACGTAGACCTGATGCGGCAAAAGGCGATGCGTTTAGCCGCGTCTACCCCAGAAAGTTATTGATGTACCGGCACCAGTAATTTGGTCCTGGATCTTAAAATAGTAGGGCATTAACAGAAAACGCCCAATGATCGTGCTGATAATTGTCTTGAGAATCTATGGCTTGTCAGTCCTAATCTTGCAAGCGTGAGATTATAAAACGGGAGGAAAGGACCCGATGCTACGAAGAATATCTTCACGTTGTTCTTTTCGGTCCTTTGCTTCACCTCAAAACAACAGCGAATGATCTGCACACACCTTCGTTCCTGATATCAATTACAAGACCGCAGCAATGAAGACATATCTACTAGCTGGCGTCATGAGCCTTATAAGTACTGTACAATGTCAGAAAATGCTGGAATGGCCTGAGTCTACAAGTGGTGTCACTTACAAGCTCGCCATTCCTGATGCCTCAGCTGCCCCTTTTGACATTGTCCTGTCAATTATCGCTCCAAAGAGTGCCGGCTGGGTAGGTTTTGCTTCTGGTGGTTGTATGCTCCGAAGTCCACTCTTGATTGCTTGGCCAAATGGTGACGGGGCTGTCGTGTCTAGTCGCTGGGCTAGGTCAGTATCTTCTTCTCGGCAGTGTCATGCCAAAACAGCTAAAAGGTATTTATAGTGCGTACCATGCTCCAACACCATACAACGGCACAGTCACGAAAGTCTATTCAAGCTCGTCTGTTAATGCTACTCACTGGACTGCCAATCTACTTTGCTCTGGGTGCAGCAAATGGGATGGTGGATCAATTGATCCTAATGGAAATGCAACCTTCGGCTGGGGAGTTAGTAGTCATGCTGTTGAGACGCCATCTAGCAGCTCTAGTCCTATCAGATTCCATGATATTGGCAAGGATCACTTCGAGTTGGATATGAGTAAAGCGCGTCTTTCAAAGACAGATTTCGACTCACTAGTGAAATCTATGGGAGGATGAGTAACGGTACATTACAATTGGCGCCGTCTGGAAGTCTGATTCTTGACACAATCCATGTCATAGTACTTGTATCATCGCCGAGTTAAATACCTTTCCTAATAGTACCTGGATCATCGTGTTGAATGTTCTATTTTTTTGCGTGGCCTGTTTGTGTCGCATTGAAGGGTGTATGGTACACTTATTCATTAATTATGCACTGATGATCCAATAAGATAACCTAAAAAGCATTAGAATATAGTAGGGTGCTCGTCAGTGTGGCCATCAGCCATACAAGTGCAAGGGTTAGTGATATCTTTACGATTGAGTGTAGCACAAGTGCTTCAGCCCCGGAGCCAAGCTATCGAATCAGCTTCAAAGTTGAACTCTGACCCAATATCGGTAACACCTGTTGGTGGTCCGAATACGGACCGAGTTTTCCAATCATGTCCATCCAATTGCTCTTGACAGACAAAAATAACGCTTTGGGCGGGGAGGATGGCAACTTCTGGAACGAGAAGATGAGGAGAAGATCGGTGTTCCCGTGGTCGAAGTATCTGTAAGCCCAGTCATCCTTGGCTTCGTCACGGAACATGACTCGAGTTAGATCCGTCAAAATGTTCGTATTGTCTAATACCTCGCTTGTAGTGTCCGGCATGGCTGCATATTTTGGCTTTGTTATCTTTCGATGGCTTCAAGTTCGGCTGTTGTTTAGAGGTCTGGTATGATTTCAGCCACGGCATGCAAAACCGGCGGTTCTAATTGATGACAGCCTCAACCACCGGGCGATAGTTTTTTATGGGGACATCTCAGGGTGTTCCAAGAGGCCATCGCTCTCTTCCCGCCACTAACACACCCGCAGAACTTTATACATATCTAGCTCAGCGATATGAACTCCCTGGGATCTTCTATATCGAAGCATGGCCAATACTTGAACCTCAAATCATCATCACCGATCCTGATGCCGCAGCACAAGTCCTCACGGTACTCCCTTATCCGAAACACCAAAGATTTGAGATTTTCCTGCGACCTTTTACAGGCCCAAACAATATAGCTGCTTCTAATGGCGAACGATGGAAGTTCAACCACCGGATGGTTAGCTCTGGGTTCACACAGACATACATCAAGCAGATGATCGGCATGATCGCAGGCGAGGCGAAAGTCTTTCACGACAGGCTACACGACCTTGCAAAGACTGGAGATCCCTCTGTCTTGAAGAGGAGGCAGCAAAAACCGTATTCGACGTGATTGGTAGAATTGTCTTTGGCTTCGGCTTCTCCTTGAAAGCTCAGAAATCCGATTCGCCTCTTCTCGACGACTTGCGGGCTTCGATTGACCCTGCAACGGCAGTCCTTGCAACATGAAACCCAGTGGCTCGTCTTGCAGTTTGGAAAAGGTTGCGTGATGTGAAGGGACGTGTTCATGACGCCCTGGCAACTGGAATGCGGGAGCGCTATCGAGTCATGAAAGATGAGAAGGAGCTTCCGACTAGGCGACAAGCTAGTAGTATTTTTGACCGCATCATCCTTGACAGAATCCAAGGCGACTCGAGGCCGGGTTTGGAAGATGTGTTCATCGAAACAGCAGCTACCAAGTAATGCCGCTCATGGAATCAATTTTGACGTTGCTAATCGCTCTCGCAGCCTGAAGGCTCTTCTTCTCGGCGGACACGGTACTACGACAGACACGTTCACTTTCGCCATCATGTTTCTCAGCATTTACCCTGATATCATGAACAAACTGCGCGAAGAGCATGACGCACACTTCAGCCCGGACATTTACGCCACTATCAAGGAGCTTGTCACCAGCCCTTCCAAGACGAATGAGCTTTCATACACAAGTGCAGTCATCAAGGAGACACTTCGTTTCTATCCTGTTGGGTTCACGATTCGTAAGCCCCCAGGTGGAGCAAAATCACCAAAGTGGCGAGGCAAGAGTATCCTCTCTTTTCTAACGCGATGGTAATCCCATGTGCGCATTCGTCACAAATGGGCCCTGCCATCCGGAAAGATCCCAAGATGGTTCGACCGGAACGGTTCCTAGGTAGTCAGGAGGGTGAGACGCATCGCTTTGCATGGCGGTCTTTTGAGCGTGGGCCAAGAGCATGCATTGCCCAAGACCTCGCAATGGATGAGCTAAATATCATGCCTCCTTTGACAGCTCGTTGGTTTGATTTTGAAACCTTGGTAGATACCCAGAATAAGGAACCAAGAGTCATGTACACAGACCTTGACATGAAGGTTGGCGATTTGGCCTTCCAGGTGGTTGGAATGGAGGCAGGGCCAAGAAAGGATATGACAATGAAGGTTAGACTAAGTGGTAGATATTGACGATCCGCTATTGCTACCTGAATCCAGTTGAGCATCGAAACTGAAGTCGGATGGGTTAGGAGATAGCTAAAGAACGATAACGGATGCAGTCCTGCTATGAATCGTGTCAATCTCTTGATGAGTGTGGGCCAAAGCATCCAGATCGACGGACCGAAGAAGTCTGGTATGGAAGCAAGATCTAGTGGGATGAGATGATTATCCGGGTGTTTCTTTACAACGGGAACACTGGCATCTGTCAAACACTTCACGCATCGGAGCGCATTCCTGTGGAAAGCCACCAACAAGGCTACGAGCGGAATGGGCTCAAAGGATCAAGATAATCTAGCTAATATCAATAGCGCCGCATGTACCCTGGCGCCGATGAACGGCCATGCCGGCGACTCGCTCCATCCAAGTGCGGCTTGACGCCATGAGCCACCATAGATCTGAATGGATGAATGCCCTCAATTCTCGGCACATGTGCAAACGGCGCACGACAGCCATTCAACGGCATTGTAAACTCGATCCCGATCGAACTACTCAAGGAACACAAGCCGCGATTTGGTTGTCGATATATATGCTACAGTTTTACCTCGTCCCCGATTTAAACTAGAAGCACGCACATCCCGACACGGACGCCGACGCTAACACCAAAAAGACAGCTGGGAAAGGTATAATATCTTGTGATACCAATTTGCATCGCTTGCTGTTCATTTGAACAGGCGCCGGAGTCTACTCGATATAGACTTTGGCGAATACAATGCTAGTAATCTCGGTTGCTTGACACAAGGGCCTTTGGCATTAGGAGCTTGGGTCAAGCTCTCGCTAACCCACAAAGGCCTGCAAAGGCCAAGAATTGTCAGATGGTCGATGCAACAAGGCGGCCACTAAGAGGTGACGAGCCGATTGACAGAATAGATCGAGGGCATCGTCATAGAAAGGTTCAACGTGCAAGACTTCACAAGACTCGTTGTTTGGTCTCGAGGCATGTAGGCAGACGGGTAGATCTTACCTTACCCTCTCGTGATGGCTGGGCAATTCATGTAATCCATGCACCGACAACTCTGACAGAAGTACACATTACATTGAGGGTGTACTGTGGACTCACTAGGTTCTACTGGCACTGGGCTATGCAAGCCGCCCGTGTCTAGCTTCGGAGAGAAACCCTGTTAGCCTTACACATGCAAACCCATTTGTGATTTAGTATAGCACACTATATTGACGTTTCCTGCAAATGAATGACTTGATCAGTACGGCACAGCTCCTTGATCAGCAACGATGGTCTTGCTAGGCTTGCCAGGCCGCTCACCTGGTGCGAGGCCGGTCAGTGGGTCATGACGTGATGGAACGTGGAATCACAGGCAGGAAATGAGAAAAGATAAGATCAAAGTCACAATTTTATCAGATGGGCCGATAATGAGAAAGTGGGGAAAAGAATGAGAAAATTTTTATCTGATGCGGTGTCTGGTATGCACCTTCGAGGCACATTGCCAGTCATTCCCGGTGCCCATGCCCACGCCCGCAGCGCCATGCATTGCCAATTCCCTGCCCGCTCCCGGCCCCGGGCCTTAACGTTACCTCCAGCAAAAGCTTGCATGGTGGCTTGCCTTACTCGGGTGCTCTGAGCGGGACAAGACGCTGGAAATAGCCAAGCTCCCAAGGTAGAGACACCAGAGTAGCTAGGTGCGCTCTCAAGGAAGTGCTGCGCCTCCGTTTTATCTGATGAGAAGCTATCAGTGTGCTGTTCAAAGCTATCAGTACTGTAAGAGTGAAAAGAGGTCACAGGAAACTGACTGAGCACACCACACCACACACATGTCAGCATGCACGGCACAGTAACAATTTCAGAGCACGCATGCACAGAACCACCCATACGAATGTAGAGCTCACGCCTTGGCAATAACAGTGTCTGCCAGTACTTGCAGCCGGCCTATTCTTCACTACCAGGTACAATGCACCTGAGATACACTACATGCAAAACCAGGCAAGCCCAGAAGAGTAGGAGAATAACACTAGCAGACACCACCTAGGGCGGTCCAGGGTCCTGTTCCAGCGAGTCAGAGCAATTCTAGACTTCGTTCTAGTCTCCTATTACGTGGCCCCCTTCCTAGGTGATGAGGCCCAGTTCTTCCCGACTAAAGTCTCTAGCCAAGAGAGCATCAGAGCATCCTTCACATGACAATACCCTGGACAAGAACTCTACAGTATTCGTCTCTTGGTTTGGGGCCCGCGACTTCCGGGAAGCTCCTCGTCCCATATGGGCCTGGACGCAATCGGGAGAGAGAGACGGCAAGAGACTGCGATGGGTGCACGGCGGGTCGTAACTAGTCTCAAGGTCCGCACCTGAATGACAGTGGATGGTCTACTAGGTGGCATCATCAGTCAAGCAATGACAAGACCCGACGGGGCGGGCACGTCACGGATCTACGGGTATTGACATGATTTGCGGGCAGGCGGCGAGACAAGCTTTCGACTTAAGAGAACTGGAGGAGACCGCAATTCAAGCCACCGCAGATGACTTGGCTTGGGGGGGTCGGGACAAGATACTCTAGGGTGCAGTGTGTGAAGGGCGATTATCAGATCTGACCTGTGCTTTCCCCATCGTAGATTAGATGGAATGATAACATTGGAAGGATGAGGTGACGATGAGCCAATGAGCCGCTGATCCCACTGTGGCTTCTGGTGTGTCACTCCCGGAAACGGCTCAGCACCATGTTGATCTAGAAGCTCCAGGGCGGGTCATGGTCTTGGTCTTTTGGGTTCTTTTGGTCTCTTGGTCTGTCAAAAGTGGTCCGCCTTGTGGTGCTGTCCATCCTGTCCGTGTTGTGTCCAGGTTCTTCACTTGTCTCGGGCATTGCCCCCCACCAGACCAATGCAGTCCCTGCTGCTGGAGGGACCCTGGGAAATGGACCTACCAGAGCCCACGATCCCGATTCCTGCTTGCCTTTTCCCTGTGCATGCAGAGCGGCTTCGCCGATGTGCAGCTGCATATAAGAATGTAACATGTCTACCCACGGAGTTGGCTGAGTGACGACGATTGTCGAGCTCTCTCTCACTCTACCTAATTAGTTGTAGCTCAATTCCAGCACATCTTTATATCGTCCCTGGCAGCTTCTGTGTCGGGGTTTTCCCCTCCATTATCTTATCTATCTTTGATTGACCAGAGCAAAGTCCATCTGTCTACTTACCAATTAGCGAGAACATGGGTGTTCTCGATCTTGTCCGCGGTCGCAACGACACGCGACTCGGCGCTCATGCCTTTGGCGTAACGCCAAACCAGGCCGATGAGAAAAGAGTGCAGGATGGCCCGGCAGGAGTCCCTGCTGACAACTACAAATCGGACACCGACACGCTGAGTTTGGAGGAGAAGAACGAGAAGGAGGTCATTGAGAACCCCGATCGCATTACCAACACCGCGCAGCTCGGTGTCAAGAAGGCGGAGGCCGCGGCACTCGTCTGGCCGAAATGGGCTGTTTACGCAACCTATGGATGGTAAGCAATGATAACCTCAACAAGCATAGTTGGATTACGACCTCTGAACCAGTGGTTGACCTGTCCTCGCGACCGTTGCATTTGCTAACAAGACGTTTTCGGCCAACAGGATCTGGCTATGCTTCTTCATGCTTGCGCTGCAGTCCGCCATTGGCAACAACGTCATCTACTATGCCTACTCGAACTTCATGTCCGCGCCTCAAGTCTCGACGGCCAACATCTTAGCATCCATCATCGGCGGTGTGCTTAGGCTTCCCATCGCCAAGATCCTCAATCTCTGGGGCAGAGCCGAGGGCTTCTTGCTCTTCGCGGGCGTGTACCTGCTTGGCATCATTGTCATTGCTTCTTGCACAGGCCCGAATGGCTATGCCGCTGGTTACGTCCTCTACTGGATCGGCTATGATGCCATCTACTTCATCATGGATGTCTTCATCGCCGATACCTCTGGTCTGCGCAACCGAGCCTTTGCATTTGCATTTGTGGGCACACCCTTCATTTGCACAGCCTTCACAGGTCCTTTGGCCGCACAGTCCTTCATCACAAGAGACCCTAAGACAGGCTGGCGATGGGCCTACGGCGCGTTTGCGATCATCATGTTCGTCGTGCTCACCCCGCTTGCCATCGTGTTCAAGTTCTTCCAGCGCAAGGCCGAAAAGATGGGTTTGTTTGTCAGAGAGCCCAGCGGTCGCACTAAGTGGCAGTCATGCGTCCATTACTTTCATGACTTCGACATTGTCGGCGCCTTCCTTCTGATTGCGGCATTCGTCGTATTCCTTCTGCCATTCAGCTTGCAGTCGAACGGACGAGCCGGGTATAGCTCAGCCAGCTTCATCGCCATGGTCATCATTGGATTCCTACTCTTCTTTGCCTTTGCGGCGTGGGAGAAGTGGGCGGCTCGTGTTCACTTCGTCAAATGGGAACTCTTCAGGAAGCCCACCGTTCTTGGTGCCTGCCTTCTTGCTGCCCTTCTCTACTTCAGCTTCTACCAGTGGGACTTGTACTACTACTACTTCGTCCAGGTGGTGTACGACCTCAACATCTCCGACGCAGGTTATATGCTACAGGTCTACAACGTTGGTTCTTGCTTCTGGGGTGTTGTCTTTGGGCTGTGGGTCCGCTGGACCAAGCATTTCAAGTACACATGCTTGCTCTTCGGTCTGCCTCTGATGATTCTCGGTGCCGGCCTCATGATTCATTTCCGTGGTGGTGAGGGAAGTATTGGGTACCTCGTCATGTGCCAGATCTTCATTGCCTTCGCTGGTGGCACTCTCGTCATCGGAGAGCAGATGGCGGTCATGGCTGCGGCTGATCGTGACGGTGTACCCTTGATGCTTGCCTTGGTCGGACTATCATCCAGCTTAGGAGGTGCCATCGGTTACGCAGTAGCTGGCGCAATCTACACCAACACTTTCCCTGATGCCCTCCTCAGGGCGCTGCCTGAAGCGGACAAGGGCAACTTCTCCACGATTTATCTCGGCGGAACAACTACTCAGATGTCATACCCTGTCGGAAGCGCCACGCGAGATGCCATCAATTATGCGTACGGATACAGTCAAAAGTACGAGTGCATCGCCGCTACGGCTTGTCTCGTCCTGGGTTTCCCCTTTATCGCAATGTGGAAGAACTACAATGTCGATAAGAAGCAGAACAAGGGAACCTTGATCTAAACAATCTCTCGCATCGAACCTAAATCAAACGACGGATCTTCTTTCGAGGAGACTTAATAATAGGGGTAGTCTAGTATAGATCTTGCCCATTGATTGTCATAGTCTCGTACTATGTTTACTCGCATTAATATGATACCATTTTCCAACCTATTCTGCCATGGTTTCAACGTTGAGCCACCTTGATAAGAATAGCCCCATAGTCCCAAGTACAGGCTTGCCCAGTGATGCGAAATGGAATGCAATAAGCTTTCAACAGTATAGCTGCTGATCCAGTTGGCTTGTCATGAGGGCTTCTAGCACATCACGCGCCCAAAGCAGGTCCGGCGCCTCTGTTGCCCACCATCTCAATGTCTCCATCGCCATATCCACTATCTCTTTGCTTCTTGCTGGCATCTTGATTTTTCCGCTTCTTGCCGCAGCGGTCAAAAGCAACGCTCTTGTTGCCGAGTTCCGCACTACATACCACGTCCCGTGATGGCGGTGATATGCCTGTATGTGGAGCTGGCCTTGAATGCAGAGGTCAAGACAATCTCTTGCCAAAGGCATGGCTTCTGACATGTATGGATCATCTGCAGGTTGATGAATCACATAGTATAGGAATGGGCGACAGATCCATTCACGACAGCTTATTGTCCGGCTCTGAATACAGTGTGCGAGTTCATTCGGCATGGTCTTGACATCCTGACCATTGATTTGTGGTGGGACGTGGGACCACCTACAAACAGTGTCAGACTTGCAAGGGATATCATGTACAACCTATGAAATATCAAGCTTACCAAATGTTTATCTCTTCCTGGAATGCTTTGTGGTGCTCGAGATTCTCGCGAATGTTTGAAATCCATCCTCGCTCGCCGTCTCGTGCAAGTACTGCAATCGCGCGGTCCATCATCCTCCGAAAGGAGATCTCGGCGAGATAGTAGAACCAGCTTCTCTCCTCTTCTGGTTTGATGTCATGATGGGGGCTTGGATGCTCCAGGTTTGAACAATCGGCCGTAGGCGAGGTGAGTTCGGTGGGCGGCGAGGGAAACGGATCAGGATACCCAAAGCGAGTGATTCCGCTTGGAGGCAAAGGAATCTCGCATCGCAGCTCGCTGTGTATAGGATAAGTAAGGCATCTTCGTAATGTTTCATAAGGTGTTGCGTACCATTCAGACTTCATACACGACCAATACAGTCGCTGCTCAAGCCGTCGAGTCTCACGTGGCGTGGAGTGGTCGTATGTTGACCCTTTACGCGTTCTTGCCCATAGCTGATTTCTGAACTGTACGCAAGCCTGATTAAAGTAAAACCACGCCTTCACAGGCTTGAGCAGATACATTTCAAACACTCCAAAGAGAAATAGGCATTGTACAGAAAGCAGGGAAGGCTCGATCAGCCCCAGACGTTTCTTGGCAGCCAGATAACAAGCGGAAGCCATATTCTTGTTGACTTCAGGTTTCGACGTCTCCAATTCATGATCCGGTCGAAATCGCGGGGACAGACAGGCGAGAGCACATGCTATTAGCTATACAAGAGTCAGTCTCATGAGCTGAGATGGATCAACTCAACATACTACTAGACATGAAGGCCCATCCCATCTGATGCCATGCTCCGCCACATCCCTGACATACGTTTTGAACTCGGCAGTGTCAAGTATTGGGTTTTTGATGTGGACATAAGCAAGAAATCTTTTGGAAAGAGTGTTGAATTCTTCCTCTCTCACCCCACCATTTAATGTGCCATTTCTAGACTCATCTTGTACATTGAACCGATCATGGTCGAAATCCAGAACGAATGATTGAATATCGGGGACGAATCCTTGGAAGATAGGCCAGCGAAGAACCGCTTCACAATTGATGATGGTAGCGGGATACTCCGGGCTATCGAACAGGTCATGCTCCGCCTGCGACGATGAAGCTTGTGTGTCAAATATCGCAACAGAAGGAGATATCTCGACGGTAGAATGTTGCGGGGTGACAATTGATGCTGGAGAGAGACCTTGCACGTCTTGACTGCGTTGCGCACTGGCAGCTCCAGCGCATTGAGACTCGAGAAGGCTGACTGCGTAGTTCACGCGGTCCAGGATTGCCAGACTTGCCGGATCAAACCTAAGCTCGTCGTGTCAGCAGGTGTTACGACACATGTCTAGGAATTGGCGAAACGCACGAGGAATAGTCTTTGGATGCATCTAGATATATGCATTGAGCTGCATTCTTTACGCAGAATCCGCATACGGGTCTGACGTTGTCACATTTCGTTTTCCTGGCACGACAAGGCTGACAAGCTGTCACAGCTCGTCTACGCTGGTACATAGTTGACGTCCTTCGTCTTTTGGAGCCGGGGTGTAGGTCTCCTTCTGGATGATCCAGCCCATGCATTGTAGTCTTGCGGGGAGATGAACCCTATGATGTGGATCCTGTGGTAACCAGCCAGCCAAATCTTTGGCGAGATGAAAATGGTAGATGTGGTTGTTGCTGGCTCACGTCCAAGTTGTCGGGGAATGGCGGGAGATGATATAAAATGGAGAAGTTGTAATTGGGGAAGGTGGAGGTATCCCTCTTCGGGGAGTAGCGGGAAGCATGCTCATTCGACAGCAGACGGGCTTGCTCGAGTCATCAGCACCCATTTCTGGTAGTTTAGCAGCCACAATCCACGGACTCGGGAAATCGTCTATAATTAGGCGATTACGAATAAGCGTACATGTCTACCTCCAGTAAGTTGTGTTCCGCTCCCAAGGTCTTGCCCCACAATCTCCGCATCGTCGGATCCAGATGCCGTGCTCATGAATGCTCTATGTCGCCTCCTCCTGGGGAAATGTGGCCCCGCCTTGCCTCCTGACTTCATCCAGTAGGTCTAGAACGCGAACAGTCTCAGCCCAAGGCATCACGCTGCTCTGCTTTCGCCCTGCTGCGATATCCAGTGCCACCGCGTCCGCTTCCCAGTAGAAGCCCTTACCTGGTCGCGCAAATTCGTACTTTTTGGGAGCTTCCCCGGGCACTACAACTGTGAAAGATGACGGCACAGAAGATGCTATTCCTTCAATGATAATGGTACCTTTGCTGCCCTCAATTCGACAGAATTCCGGGGCTGTTTTGGCAAGCGTTGACGAAGTGAGGATCCCTTGTTTGCCTCCGGGGTAGAGGAGAATAATGGAACTTGCGACATCAATCCCATCGACCAGTTGTTGAACCGCTGTCGTCTTTGGGGTCCGCGCCTCTGTTCCCTTGTTAGGGTCTAGAGCTAAAAGACCCCATGTCAAGCTGTAAATGCCGACGTCTAGTAGACTACCTGCTCCTAGTGCGCGGTTCCTGAGTCTAGACTCTGCGGGCTGCGAAGTAATGTCTTGCTTGATTGCAAAGTCGCAGAACACCCGATGTATGTCTCCAATGACTTTGTCGGAATGGAGCATGGATTGAAGAGTCTTGGTGAGTGGGAAAAAGCGTGTCCACATGGCCTCCATAATGAACACCCCTTTCTTCTCGGCAGCTGCAAAGACCTCCCTGGCCTCTGCTGCATTCAGTGTAAATGCCTTCTCACAGAGAATATTCTTGCCATGAGCAATTGCATCCAGACAGTTTTGGCGATGAAACGCATGCGGTGTGCCAATGTAGACAATATCAACGTTTGGATCAGCGTAGACCTCTTTATAGCTGCCATATATCGCTGGAGATATCCCAGCCAGATGTTTGTCCACAAAAGCCTTGCCCTTCTCTTGGGATGAAGAACCGACAGCCTGGATGATATGCTTTGCTTGTGCATTGGTGCGTGGCAGAGATAAGTCAGCGACAAACCATGACGAGATCAGGCCGGTTGCAATGATGCCCCAGCGCAAAGTTGGCTGCGTAGTTGACATCGTTGCAGGACCAGGGCAAGTACTATGATGGTGGCGTCTCAGGAGCGCTTTAGTAGAGGCGCTGATTGTGTAGGAGACCGTACTTTCATAACATTAGAAGATAAGTGCGAGCCACGAAAGCTGTGTGAGGCCTTCCAAATTGATAAATACTGATCCGGAGTGTGGGGAGAAGCTCACCAGGAGATGGCGAACCCGATACTCCGCGGCCTAGCTAGACTAATACGACTCAGGTTACTTGTTGACTGGGAGCACCCGGGAGTCATAGCCGATAGAGGTCACTTCCTCAACCCTTGACTAGCCTACTAGGTCGAAACTGATACGCTCCATTGGTTGTGTCGGGCAAGTCTCGTGTAGCCTGCGTAGTTACGTTCTAGGATCCTTCTTTACATGGTGCTCGCGTATCGGATATCTTTGGTACAAGAAGAGTATTCAATTAACATTCATTCTATTCTATTGTCTTCTATCCGGCGTTGGGCTTGTTTCTATATGTATCAGAACCCGCTCGCAGAATCATTTTGAACAGTTCTAGGTCATTCCTCGCATCAGCCACACTAGTCTTTGGCGATTTACCATCAACAGCGCAATCATAAAACTCAATGAGCTCCAGGGTGTATGCATCTTTATAGGTCTTCCTTATCTTCCGTTCTTGAAACCCTCCATCGTCTATTTTCTCCCGGACAGTCATCGTAACTGGTAGACCCTTGACATATGGTGTGTCATAATCAACACGGACGATCTTATCAGGCGAATATACTTCTATATGAGCGTCGAACTGTGGAACATTGTTCAGACCCGATTCGTAAGTGACAGGGAACCCGTCATATTGGAATAGTACTCCAAAAATGCCAGGGAAAGTTAGAACAGCTCCGGCAACTGAGCGCGGGATGCCGATAATCTCGCGCATCGCAGACAAGTCGTGTGTTCCGAGGCTATATGTCATATCAGTGGTAGCCTCTCAATCTCGGATGGGGATATGTGCGGACCCGCCAAGTACCCGGAGCATACGTTTGGATTCAGGAGTGACTGGTACATCAAACTCATTCCTCAGAGCCTGTTCAAAGATGTCTGTTTCGCGGTTCAGGCGATCTTGACCATCTGCTTCACTGAAGTCGGTGAACTTCTCAGGAAAGGTTCCTGACTGATCCACAAACACCGCATTTGGCCCAATGATGTCTCGCACACGAGCGTATTGAATCTTCTCGAATCCTCCTACCTCTTCCACAGCGTCCAAGAAGGCGGTTGCAAACCGTCGCATTGTTCCCACAAACACCTTGCCTTTGGATTGCTTTTCTGCCTCGACCAGGAGGTCAAGGTCTCGAAAACACAAAGCCACAGGCTTCTCGATCAGGCAGTACTTGTTATGCTTGAGTGCGATAATCCCATGTGCAACGTGGTACGCATCGGCATTTGCAATGAGGACGACGTCCACATTAGGTGAAGAGCAAAGCTCTTCGGCATTCGTGGTGATTGTAGGGGCTGCTCCCGCTACCTTCTTCGCACAATGTTCGAGGGATTGCTGTGAGATGTCGCAGAGATATGTCACCTGGAAGCGTCGTGACAGAAAGTTGAGAGTCGGGATGTGAACAACCTGAGCAATCTCACCGCAGCCGATGATGCCAACACGAAGGACTGGTCGTTCGTGAATGCGAGTCTCAGCCCGATCACTCTCTCCAATTGTATTGTCGAGCTGACTGTTCCCGTTGGACATTGTCCCGCTACTGGTGTCAATACTGCCCATGGTGATAGACTTAGATTAGAGGTTTAGACAACTCCGCGACTTCGCGACACTTTGCAGGTGGCGTCTGTACAAATGGATTGCGGAAATGTTATACGGAAGTGTTATAAGTCGGACAGTCATTACTGTCCTGGATCACTGAGTTGTGTATTATAACCCAACAGTCGCCCTAATCTCAATCAGACTCCCCTAGTTGTTGTAGGCTCAAAGACCCAATCATTTCACACCGGGACGGCGCCGGGGAGTGGCGGGAAGAGTCCTCCAGGCGATCTGAGCCAGTCGAGCCACCTACCGACACTCCCCGCAAATGGGTCAGAAAAGCTCGAGCTTGGGGGCGCATAGTAGGGCTTCCCCACTGCCAAGCAACGTGCTGAACCCTTCACTGCCCACGAGGACACACGCCCCCATGGGGTAAACTTGTTGCCAATAGATTTGTAAACAGGGCAACTTTTGAGCGGATAAAACGGACAGGATTCTCCAGCTGGAAGGCCAACATGGTTCTTGAGTCGCAACTCTTTCGGGATAGTCTTGACAGTTCCATCGAGTCTATTTCATTCTCCTTAAATTTCGATCCAAGAACACTTTGAAGCCTAGAGACGTTCCCAGCACAAAATGGGCATTTTTGGAAGGAAGAAGGAGGCCGAGTTGGCCGTCGGTGCAGGGCTTGCTTCGGTAGGTCATCCTGGGCCATCACTCCCGTCCTTATGAGGTTACGAAGAGAGTCTGATGATAACAACTAGGTTCTTCCGAGTAATGCAAAGGGATGGTACGTAACACCACATCTGATCAAGCTCAACCTCGCCCTGTTGGTTCCTTTATTCTCAGCTTCATCCGTGGGCTACGATGGTATGTTCAGTTCGATCGTTTGCGAAAAGGCTTCCTGAGATAAGATATACTAATCACCTTCACCAGGCTCAATGATGAACGGCCTCCAAACCTTACCACAATGGCGCCAATATTTCGACAACCCTGAAGGAGCCCTCCTTGGCCTGCTTAACTCTGTCTACCCACTTGGCAAAGTGATTGCCTTATTTCTTGTTACATATATCTGTGATCGTTATGGCCGAAAACTTCCTCTCCTGATCGGCTTCATCAGCTGCGTCGCATTTGCGATTTTGCAAGGGCTGTCGAAGAATCTACACAGTTTTGTCATTGCAAGAGCCTTTCTTGGCTTCTTTACTAGCTTCTTGAGCCAGCCGAGTCCTATTCTCATCACTGAGCTTGCATATCCCACCCACCGAGGCAAGCTTACTGCCTTATACAATACGTTCTTCGTAAGCTGTCACTGTCGCAACAAGGGTTTGAACTATTACTAATTGATCAGTACTTTGGTGCCATACTTGCTGCTTGGTGTACTTACGGTACATTCAAGATTGAGTCGACTTGGAGCTGGAGGATTCCCTCTTTGCTTCAGGGTGCTGTTCCCGCCATTCAACTCTTAGGTCTTTACTTCCTACCTGAATCGCCGAGGTTCGTCCAAATCATCTCATACTTCTACAGTACGAACTAATTTAATAACATCTCCAGATGGCTCATATCTCGTGGTCGTAAAGAAGAGGCTCGCCAGATCCTTGCCCAGTACCATGCAGGTGGTGATTATGACTCACCACTTGTACTTTTCGAAGTTAATGAGATCGAACTTGCCGTCACCGAAGAAGCAGAGGTGCTTTCTGGAATTTCCTGGCTGGAACTCTTCAGAACCAAAGCCAATCGCAAACGAACACTAATTGCAGTAATCACTGGTTGGTTTGGACAATGGAATGGAGTTGGCGTCGTCAGCTATTATCTCACCCTCGTGCTCAACTCGATTGGTATAATCAAGGCCAAAGACCAGACCTTGATCAATGGGCTTCTTCAAATCTTCAACTGGCTTGCAGCAACCTTTGCAGGGGCCATGATGGTCGATCGACTTGGTCGCCGAACACTCTTCTTAGCGTCTACAGCTGGTATGCTGGCAAGTTACGTGGTCTGGACGGGCTTGACCTCCAGTTTTGTCCATACAAAGAATGAAGATACTGGCCGGGCCGTCGTGGCTTTCATCTTCATCTATTACTTCTTCTATGATATTGCTTGGACGCCGCTATTGCAGGCCTACCCCGTTGAGATCTTCCCTTACACTCTTCGTGGGCGTGGTTTGTCCATAACATACATTTCATCGTTTGTCGGCCTCATTTTGGGGAATCAGGTCAACCCGATCGCAATGAAGAAGATTGGCTGGAAATACTATATTGTATTCTGTTGTCTGTTGGCTGTTCTTCTCGTCATCATCTGGTTTCTCTTCCCGGAAACCAAAGGTCATACCCTTGAGGAGATCCGGGAGATTTTTGAGGGTAAGCTTGGGTATCAAGCCGACAAAACAGATCAAGAAGAGACAGAGAAAGCCCTGGATGAGGCTCAGAAGACTGGAGTTGATGGGCGCAAGGATGCCAATGCCTACCATGCTGAACTTGTCTGAGGTGATGGCTATTGTGTGATTATCTCATTATCTCGGTCTCAGCATCAATCTAGCAGACAAATATGATATAGCTTCTTCGAAGGCTTTTCAGGTTTCTCCAATGACAATATATCACTTCTGTGTACCCATGTGGGACATCCCTCGAGATCCTCATCGCAATTGCCACCATACTGCTATGTCACACGACAAAATGCTCCTTTGATGAGGACTGTTACACTAGGCAGACTCGTCAATTTGCTGGCCAATCGTTAGAAACCGCAAATTAGCCAGGAGTCAACATCCAGCAAGTGTACCATCCATACATGCAGGACCCAGCTGTTTAGCCGTCAAGACGTTTCCCCGCCGTCTGCCCCAGAACACAGGCTCGATGTTTCGCAAAGCCACAACCTGGGAAGACGCGACTGTCTACTGATGGTTCTAAAAGCCGAAGAGCAACGAAATTCTAATCAATATGTGGTATCAAGGACTCGCTGTCAGTCTTTACCTGATCAGATACGTGTCGGCGGCTCCTAATGTAGTCTTAATCACTCATCTTCCGACCGCCAATCAAGAGAGCAGAGATCAAGTAAGATACCATGAAAGAAAGAATAGACGTCGGCTAAAACTTGGGAAGCTAATAGACGCAATGACAACCGTGTCCAAACACGCATTCGAGGCTGAGCCTGGTGTACTGAAATACGCTCTTCTGATCCCACAAGATGACTTCAATGACACATCAATGTATTCGATCGAGGAGTGAGAGATCTTTCACCTCAGGCCATTGATTCTGTTGCTAACACATACGAGATATGCGGACCAGGCTGCGTTCGACGCCCATATGTCTACACAAGAAGTGAAAGACATGTTTGACTGGATCAATTCTGTAGATCTTTATTCAAATACCCCAAGTATTCAGACCTTGGGTTATATCGACGGTTTTGTCTTTCAAAGGCCGGAGACTGCCGAGTCGTCAGACCCGTATGTCATCAGCCGAGAGATAGAATATAAACCTAGCTTGAACGCCACTTCGTTGCCATTCTGGAAGCATGAGCTGTCGTCTAGTCAATCTGAAAATGGAACACTCATTTATAGTGTCTTTCAAGACACCTCAGACGTCAACACCTTGCAGACACTTGAGGTGTATAAAAGCCGAGCCTATTTCAAAGATATTCACTCGGGAGGGCAGGCAGCAACAGAAAACAGAGAAAACATGGAAAATAGTACAGTTCAAGTGATTGAAACAGTCATGGAACAAAAGGGGGGGTTTTTGTTCAAAGCAATGTAGATTCCCACCTTTCGGGGTCAAATGTCTTTAACGTGTCGTCAATACAATGGTATAAGATCGCTTCGATAGACATAAACGAAAGGGTTATCCTCACCACGTTCATCTTATGCTGCGTTGAGGTGATTTAGCTAAATACCGTCGCCTTGTGAGAAGATGTACAAGATATAGACCAGCAGGCCCTTTTCTGAAAAATGCATCACGTTTAGAATGATGAGGCACAGAGTTCGACAAGGTCTTGCGTAAAGCCCCCACGGATCAATGCTCCACCAACATCCACATTCAGAAATTACTCCGGTTTGCCCCTGATCCTTCCCCCTCTGTAGTGGAGCGTTTAGACGACCCACGTATGGTGCTCACCCCATTCATGACAACTTTCTTCACGTTACGAGGGGGTGCCGATCAATGTTGGCCATTCGCCATGATTTATAGAGGTTTCCTTGGGATTCAACGTGGCGAATTGTCCAATTGATTGATACTCTGCGGGTTATGCCTTGAAGCCTTTGCTCATCTTGTTCAAACATACTGTATCAACGTTATCGCTCAATGAAGCGGAGCAACTTCGGGCATGATCACCGAATGGTCTGACCGTTCTTGAAGAAATCCTTCTGTCTCCATTCAGTGTAACATGACAAACGATGATCCAACCGTTTAGGAATCATGCAGACAGGTGGGCAGGGGCAGGCTCCACAACCGTACTTCCGGCAAGGACCGCAAGGGCCGTCCCTGGCGTCCTTTTGAAGCCCGTGGCATGCCGATCGGTAGTTGTGCGCAGGTACTGGCTTGGCAAGCCCTGACTTGCTCTGAGCGTTGGCCTGTATGCCAATTCAAATGTTAAAGAACTTGTTTGTTCCCACCACTCAGAGCGGGATTTTTCCATTGACACAGGAGTTGACTTCGATGAAGAATATCACATAGTTCATTATGGCTCTGTGGGAAGAAGAGGACTATGGCATCATTGCTGATAGATCATGTTGGGCGATGTTTGCTGTTCTGACAGGTAACATACAATCCCAGAGTTCAACACCACATGCTTGCTAACATGTCACTTGGTGCAGTCATCATTGGACTCCGCATCTTCTGTCGTGCTTTCTTTCTCAGGGCCAAAGTCGGGGTTGGGCTAGGCCTTGATGACTACATCACCGTCGGTTGTCTTGTAGTCTTCCTCGTCACCTGTATTCTGGTCACCATAGGCTCAAGCTATGGGCTCGGCAGACACTACGCAACGATTGATCCAGCAAAGGCCACCGAGGCTCTGAAGTATAATGTCATCATCAGCGCGGTCCTAATTTGGTCATTCTCTTTGCCCAAGTTTGCCTTCATTGCAACACTCAAGCGGATTTTGAATTATGGCACTAAAACGACGATTGTTTTCTGGGGGCTAGCACTCAGCTCGCAAGCCTGCATTCTCGCAACTTCGGTTTGGTGGTTCGTGCAATGCAAGCCGGTAGAGTTTGGATGGAATAAGACCATTGACGGCAAATGCGCGGATGTCAGCGTGCTGGCCGACCTCGGATACTTCACCTCAGCGTACTCGGCATTTCTCGATATCTTCTTTGCTCTCTACCCGATCCCTTTGATCATGCGTTTGAACATGCCACTCAAGTCACGGATTGCAGTCTCGATAGCTCTTGGTCTCGGAGTGCTAGCTTGTGTCGTCTCCATCTATAAGTTGGCAATATTTGGACAAGTCTTTGCCATTTTAGCAGTAGACCCGACATGTAAGTTCCCACCTCGTACACATATGACTACTTAACTAAAGTCTGTATAGATCCGGTCCCCTATCTTGATATACTGGGCATGGCAGAGGGGTGCATTCTTCTAGTTTGTGCATCTCTACCAGCACTTGGGCCATTATTCCACGCAGCGAGAGGAAAGATCAACGACACGTATGGAAGTGGACAGAGGTCGCGAAATCAGCTGGGCGACAACAGTCATGATGATTCGAGGGGAATGAGCAAGAACTGGGACAACTTCAAGGGCCACAAACTGGATGACCCAGAGCATTCGAGTGGAGCGCGGCCAAGCATCGATGCCATTCCTCTGGTGACGCCGCCAAAGGGAAACCAATTTGGTCGCAACCATATCCATCGGACTGTTGAGGTATCGGTTTCCTCAGAGAGTCTCGGCGACAAAAGCCAGCATGCTGGACCTGCTCCCAGTCTTTGAGAATGTTTTGAAATTGTGCTCATGGCTCTAGCAAAGACAGGTGTGGCGACATGATCAGTGGCTTCCAAAGCTGTACAGTAGCGTTATCTCTTTGCAGTGACGATCAGAAGGAGCCTTTGGGCACCTGGTCTTAGCTTTCAGGCTGATCAATATTGTCAAGCAATTGCGGCGTTTTACGGACAAGTCGGGCAACATGGTCAGTTCATAAATTTCCAAATATCGACTGGCGTTCGAGACCCCTGGTGGTGCCCCTGAGGTGCACTCATCGGACCCAGTTTTTGAGCAGGGGTTATGAACAAGCATCGTCTGCATTTGGTGAAGAGCTCCGCAATGAGGGCACGTTTGTCCCGACATATATCCTAGGCCCAGTACAAGGTTGATTCCCCTCCATTTGAATGGCATTTTGGGTATTGAGCTCTGTTTCTCCTTGTCATCGCCACCACAACCGAAACAATGGCATCTGCAGATCAACTGTTGGCCAATCTTCGAGGCATCGAGGCCAACACTTTTGCGAACGAGGCTGAGCGTATTCGTGCCAGAGATGGTCTCTTAGAGACATTGAGAAAGGTGCAGTCACCATGGGACCTTGCCTGGGATCACAATTGGGCAAATGGTGCAACAAACGCCGCCATCAAGACACTCATCGATGCAGGCGTCTTTAAGAAATGGGCAGAGGCTGGTGGTGAGCCAATAACGTGTTCTGAGCTTGCCCACCTGACAGGCGCCGATGTATTGCTCATCAGTATGTCAATTGTCCTTCCCGCGCAAAGCTCTGTACTCTAACATCAGTACTCTGGCAGGACGTATGATGAGATGCATTGCTGGACAGCTTCTAGTAACAGAGACAGCTGCGGACACGTATGCCCGCACCCCCTGGGCCAAAGCATTGGCCGAAGACTCCTCGTTTCCAGGAATGTATGGCGGCTTCTATCACGAGCTCAACAATCCCATGTTCCGAACCCTCCCGTTCTTCCTGAAGGAGACGGGCTTCAAGAACCCAACAGACGTCAATGATTGCAATTTCCAATTCTGGAGGGGCAAGGATGCCAATATGTTTCAGTATGTTGGCACCAACCCTCTATTGACGTCTGATTTCAACGACGCCATGGAGTGCCATTCGAAATACAACTTGACTCCGTGGCCAGAAGTCTATCCGACCGATACCGTTGTGGCAGCTGCAAAGCCTGAACGCCCTCTTGTCGTCGACGTCGGCGGAGGCAAGGGCCACGACCTTAAGAAGTTCCTTGCACGTCACCCTGAAATACCAGCAGGCAGTCTAGTTCTGCAGGATCTGCCTGATATATTGAAGGGTGTAGAATCTGACCAAGCCATTTCTGTCCAGCCATATGACTTCTTCACACCGCAGACTGTCGTCGGTGCCCGAGTTTACTTCATGCATAATGTGCTGCATGACTGGCCTAACACTGTAGCAACTCAGATTCTGAAAAACATTGCGGGTGCTATGGAAAGGGGGTACTCCAGACTACTGATCCATGAGAGCTTAGTTACTGAGGAGAAGCCCCTGGCACGTGTGACTGTCTCTGACATGACCATGATGGCATGCTTGGCAGCCGCTGAGAGGTCCGTAAGTGAATGGCATGAACTAGTTGCGAGTGCTGGACTGCAAATCATCAAGATTTGGAGACCAGTACAGTCAGTGGAGAGTATCATTGAGGCTGAGTTAGCATAAGTCGCGTAATCATAGAGAAGTAGATTAATAATACACAAATGTTCCCAGTAGGTACACTCCCAGAACAAAGTTCTATCGTTAGTCGTCCTAGCCACATCGAAGATAGGCCAGCTTTCAACGCCATGTTCATTGAGCTAGCGATGTTTGGATTTACATAACGATTTTCACCCCTTTAGTAGTTCTTTTATTCTCAGAAGTTGACGCCATGAGAGCTTGGCAGCATGAACCGGTAGATCCCTTTAAGTCGTATATTGGGGAATTGGGAACTGGCCAAGGGCATTTGCTTCGCAAGGCCTAGGTTTCACAGGACCCGGCATGATAAATCAAGTCAAGAGCCGAGAATAACTTCAGCCACCATGATCCACGAGTTTCGTTGGGTATGTTGCAAAGAAAATAGATGTGGGGTTGGACAGATCACGGTGACATCATGGATCAGATGGCACGTCTCGCTTCTCGATTCCACGTCTACTAGATATTCACAACCTATAGATTCAACTAGTGGTGTAACCTGAACGCATGACAAGCAAACATTACCGTGGGTGATACCTTCTTTCATACAGGGTTGCGGTTCAGTGACGATTTCCGACGTGGATGCGAAAGAGAACAAAGCTAAGGCTCTGCACATCTCAACTAATTGAGGAGGCTCGCATTTGTTGGAAAGTGAGCCCCAGACAGTCCTTTGACCCGGAGCTGATTTGTGAATCTGAAAGCAGTTGCATCACGATGTCTGGTAGTATCTCGGTTCCTGTCTCCTTTGCGTCGTGTTCCATCGGCCTTCCAAGACACACACTCCATCAGAAAATAGAAGCCATTTCGCAAGCAGATTTCAATGGCATCGAACTTTCCTTCCCTGATTTGCTATCTTATGCTAGTCAACACTTTGGCAGGGACATTGCCGAGGACGATTACGTATCTTTGTGCGAAGCCGGTACTCACGTTCAGAAGTTGTGTGAGGCACACCAGCTTAAGATCTTAGTCTTGCAACCCTTTTCCAACTTTGAAGGTTGGCCACTCGGCAGCAAGAAACGTCAAGAAGCTTTTGACAGAGCCAAGGGATGGATGGACATTATGTCTGCCGTTGGCACCGATATGCTCCAGGTTGGATCATCAGACTCTCCGGATATCACTTCATCCGCCTCACAACTCGCTGACGACCTTGCCGAACTCGCGGACCTCCTCGCAGCAAGAGGCTATCGTATTGCCTATGAGAATTGGTGCTGGGCTACTCATGCTCCAACTTGGAAAGACGTCTGGACTATAGTCAAGATGGCGGACCGTCCGAATATTGGGCTGTGCTTGGACACCTTTCAATCTGCTGGAGGAGAATGGGGAGATCCAACTACTGAGTCTGGGAGGATTGAGACTGCCAACATCCCAGAAAACGATCTCACGATGAGCTATCGTATCAGCCTTAGGGAGCTGGCCAAGACTGTCCCACCTGAGAAGATATTCTTCTTGCAAATAAGTGACGCATACCGCGTATCACCACCACTCAATGCGCAACCTGATGAGTCTGGACTACGGCCACGCGGCCAGTGGAGTCATGATTATCGGCCGTTGCCATACGATGGTGGTTACCTTCCAATCGTTGAGTTTGTACAAGCTGTCTTGGCAACAGGTTTCCGGGGTTGGTTCAGCATCGAAGTATTTGATGGCAAGTTTGAGGAGAAATACGGTGATGACATGGCTAGCTTCGCGAAACAGGCAGCCGACGCGCATAGACGTTTGCTTGATGAAGCATCCAAGGAGGCTACAATTTGAGCCATCTTATTCAATGTGAATTAAAACACTTTTCTCTCAATACTAGGCACCGTTATCTCTTCAAGTTTTGTGTGTTGCACGGTGTTGACACATTGCTACCGAAACACAAAAACACTTGATCGCTTCTCGAGGTCGCCGTAGCATACCGTATCTTTGCCCGAAGCAGGCTGACTTACATCCGTATGCTTCCAGTCTCCTAAGGACTAGGATATCTATTAGCATGGCTTCATGTTGAACCTTCTTCGTACATGATGATATCCAGCTCCTTCCGACCTGTAAGGTGTAGAGGTAGGAGTGGACTATATGCACAGCCAGACTGAGATCTTCACGTCTGCGGACAATGACTGATAGTGAGTTCCCGATTAGTGACAGTGATTTTGCTCAGTGCCTAAGCAGGAGATCAATGACAAGGCTACAATAGTACGGGCCACAACTAGGCCCTGTGAGCTTCGATGAGAGGTCACAGTGGCATTGAATACAAATGAAAGCCTAAAATCAGACCCTTTACGCCAGAACCAATACTCCAGTTCCGCTGCCTTCCATTATAGCAGCAGTTGTTGTAGTCATAACCTCGTTTTGCTCATCATCCATATCCGACCAACCACGCTCTGGTCCCCACCGAATCTTTAGCCTGTTCGCGACTGTAATATCAAGAAGTCCCCGCATCATATCACCCGACTTCTTGACGCTTGTCCATGCATCAAACTCGATCGAATTCAAGAAAGGCATGTCTTGGAGAACATTGGTGAGCAAGTTGCGGGAGAAATTCTCGTAAAAGCCATCAGATCGGCGGAAACCCTTAAATATGCCGTCGCTGGGGTCACATTCAACAAACACGACCAAGCGGCGAACATTGACACAGTCCTGAAGGCCTAGTGCAGTGTTCACAACCCAACTCCTAGCTGGCTTGTTCCACCCCGGACCAAGCCGTAGTTCAAGAGAAGTGATACAAGTCCGTTGGTGAGGCTTCAGACGCGCAATTAATGGCTTCTTGGTTTTGAAAAACCGGCCATGCGTGGGAAAGAGGCGGAAAGTATAGGTGCTGAAGAAGAAATGAGAAGCCTCGGCGTAGATGGTCCGACAGGTTCGCAGAATTGCAAGCTTTTTATGAATCCTCGAATAATTCTCCGGTTCAAGATCAACAATGGGTCCCACGCCAGCGAAGTGATATCCGTAGATTTTGATTCGTAACTCGGAAGGGAGGGCTAGAAACGGAAACGGCTTGACTTTCGGTCGGGGTGGTTTCTTGTTGGAGAGAGGGACATCAAGAGTCAAGGCGCCGATGGGGATACTTGAAGTAATATCATCAGTATCCCATTCATTCTCTGACGGGTAGGCGGAAGGATAGGCTGAGCTCAGCGGAGTGGTGAATGTGGATTGTATAGGCGTCGGGGCAGAGGCAGCGCCGATGGCGCGAGAGGCCTTGACTGCCGGACGACGCGGCATGCTTGGTTGCTTGAGTAGTTGGGTATGTCCTGTTACGGTGTGGATCGTGTGTCCGTGTATGTACCGCCCTGTCCTATTTGTTGCAGTTCGTAGGCCTCGGAGACACAAAGACGGGGGATCGTAGCCGAAGGGGGGATGTTTGACGAAAACTTGCAGTCGTCAGGAATCGCAAGGTACGTGGCCTTCCTCTGATGGGATCAGTGCCGTTGGCCGAATGTATATGGTTAGGCGATGCGCCTGTTCGGAAGACTGAAGACGGTTTCGAGAACACTCGGGGGGGCAGGACTCAGAGGGTGGTCCCATCGTGAGCACTACCTTACTACAGAGTGGCAGGTCAACGGATGGAGGACCACCCTCTAGAATGCAGCATGCGCAGCGGCCATGATATGCGATTGAGCTGAGGGTTTGAGACAGACGCTTCGCATAGATACCGGTGTGTGGTCGAGGAACGGGCGGTGATGGCTGGTAATGGATCGGATCGGTTGCAGTGTACTGACTTCGTTCGGGCTAGAAGAGAACAGTTACTGGAGGGCTGTCGAGTACGGAGGTTCTCTTGGAGAGATGGTGTAAAGAGATGAGAAATCAAGATACAGGAGGGGCAAATCTCGGGGAGAAGGTGTGTTGGAAATCGGAGAGAAAAGTAGCAGCACACATTGGCGATTGACCACAGCGGCAGTGACGGCAAAAAGAGGGGCACGTGAGCTGCCCCTCTCCTCTTCCCCGCTTAGCAATAATGCCCAATCAGCGCTCATGCCAGCTTTAACCATCTGCCAGCCTTTTCCGACAGCTGGCATTATCCAACTCCCGTATCCGAAGTGTACCTAGGTACCTTTTGGAAGCTGCCCCGGGATTAGAAGCACGGACCATGCAGTAGGAAAGCAATTTTTTGGTGACGGAATCATTCGACTGATGGAAGCCGGACAGGAGACAGCTTTGCTAACTCTACCCGCTTGCTGCTGCAACTGGAATTCGGAAAGATCCAGCCAAGATACGCTCCAAGGAGGCTTCAAAGGACAAGCGCCACAGAAGCAAACAAGACTGCGGCTAATTTGACCAGTAATTTGTTTGGGTCAGCTTGGTCTCCTTCGCCTGTGCCGGGGAGAAGAAGCGTGGGCAGTCCAGCTTCGACATCTACACCTCATCTCAGACTTCACGATGCTATCAAGATCCTTTGTGGCTTCGGCGCGGGCTGCAGCTCTTGCTCGTTCAGCATCGGCTTTTGGTGCACGAAGAGCGGCGCCAGCGGCAGTATGGACTCGTGGCATGGCCAAGGACAACAAACCAAACACAGCCCAAAGATTCTCAAGCCCTCGCGACAGCGCTTCCTCCTCGAGACCCTCGCCGTCGGCTCCAAGGCTCAACCCACAATCCTCCTCCGATTCACAACAAGCTGCATCTGCTCGCTCATCAGCCGCGGGGGCGTCAGAACCGCCGAAAGAACAGAGCCAGACCTCGTCATCGGCCACCGATACCCAACAAGAAACTCAGATCCCGCTGTCGCAGCTTCCCGATCTTACTCAGGGCATCCCATCCACGCTGGAGTATGAGACCACCGGGGCGACAAACCGATCGTCGCTCACTGCCGTCGAGGATGAGGGTGCTGCCGCCGCCCCTGGAGGTGGTCGTGGGCGGGGAGAACTGCCTGCTTCGGCCTACATTTCCTCCTCTGAGCGCCGTCGTCAGAAATGGGCCAATTGGATGTTTGGTGGTATGGCAGCCGTACTGGCCGGCAGCACCGTCTACCTAGGTAGGGACTGGGACGAGGAGGAAGAGAAGCAACACCCGGATGTGCCCAATGGCTGGGGGCTTGGCCTCTGGTGGAACCGCGCCTCAACGCGGACGAAGGAGGTCCTGACCTACTATCACGAGCCGGCATTTGAGAAGCTGCTTCCCGACCCCGACCCGATGTTCGAGCGACCCTACACTCTGTGCATCAGCCTCGAGGATTTGCTCGTGCATAGCGAATGGTCGCGCGAGCACGGGTGGAGGGTCGCAAAGCGGCCCGGTGTCGATTACTTCTTGCACTACCTAAGCCAGTACTACGAGTTGGTCCTGTTTACTACCGTGCCATTCGCCATTGCAGAGCCTCTCGTGCGCAAACTCGACCCTTTCCGCTTTATTGTCTGGCCACTATACCGAGAAGCAACCAAGTACAAGGATGGTGAAATTGTAAAGGTAATGCCGCTCCCTTTCTGATGCATCCTCCGTTCCGCCCTCAGGGCCCCAATCAACCAAATCACTGACAACTTTCTTGCAATACAGGACTTGTCCTACCTCAATCGTGACCTCTCAAAAGTAATCATCATCGATACGAGCGCTGAGCACGTTCGTGCCCAACCGGAGAATGCCATCATCCTGCCAAAGTGGACTGGCGATGCCAAGGATAAAGAGCTAGTGGGCCTCATTCCCTTCCTCGAGTACATCCACACAATGCAGTATGGCGACGTGCGGAAGGTCCTCAAGTCCTTCAACGGCAAACACATTCCTACCGAATTTGCGCGTCGTGAAGCCATCGCACGAGCCGAGTTCAACAAGCAGCTTGAGGCGGAAAAGAAGAAACACCCACACAAGGGCCAAAGTGGTATTGCTGCTTTGGGCAGCCTGTTAGGTCTTAAACCAAACTCCATGAGTGTCATGGCCATGCCCGATGGCGAGCAGAACCCTAGCGAGGCTTTCGCTCAAGGAAAGATGCTTCAGGACATTGCGCGGGAGAGAGGCCAAAGAAACTATGAGCTGTTGGAGAAGGAAATCCGGGAGAACGGAGAGAAGTGGCTGAAGGAAGAAGCCGCTATGCAGGAGAAGGCCCAGCAAGAGGCCATGGCCAGCATGAAGAGCTCGTTCACCGGTTGGTTTGTGAGCTCTCAAGACGGCAACAAGCCCGAAGAGAAGAAGCCTTAAGAGTGACTCTCCACGACGAGGGATTTGATGAGGCTGTTCTCTCACATGTACTAATTCTGTTTCATTGTGTTTCATATACAAGTGGGCGCAGACTCGCTACTTGCGCGGGGCGTGCCGTGCTGCCACTCTCCACTTGGTCGTTGCCGCATTTGCATGGGAGTACGGAGGCAGGTTCAGCTGGGAGGCTGTATAAATGTTCCAATACATAATGTCATAGAATATCAACCCCCTGGTACGGCCATGTAGTATATAGAGGTTGGTGTGTCGGACAAACGAACTTTGGATACAGTGCTGGAGGTATTCTAGATTGTTAGAGTAATCTCCATGCCAATCATGAAAGTCTTGTTCTATGTTCTCCAAGGTCACACTACTGATGTCCCTATACCGAAGCAAATGCTGAATTGGGTGCCTAAGTGGGCAATCCTTCGCTTATAGCCTAGGTTGAACCGAATGGCTTGGAATCAAAACGGCATTGGAAGACTCGGTTGAACTATCTGGACGAATCGCCTCAAAGTCCGGCGGACACGGGTAATGAGAGTATTGAATCTGTTTGCTTGTCATACGCATCGTCACAATTGACAGAAACGTTGAGAGCTGTCAAACACTAGATAGGGGTAACATCAACGACTTGTACTGCTTTGGGGGACTCTATCGTCCTTCTGGTTTGAATGCCATCAGATCACCACAAAAAGATCTCTCAAGCCTCTTGTTCAAGGTGATATATATATAAGACTCATGCCGCTCTAATGAGTCTTCTAAATTCTATCAATCACAAATGATTCAAGCTCCAAGATCGAGCACCTACTCAGATCACCACCATGCACATCCTCCACACAATACTCCCGGTCTTCGTGGCTTTAGCCATCTCCATGCCTACATCACCGATTCGAAGAGTCAGATCGCTGGAAGAGAAGAGAACAATGCCATCGAGCTGCCCACATTACTGTGACTGCAGCCAGTACGATGAATCAGACTTTGAACAGTGCGTCGATCCTTGTTCCTTGGATTTGGCGTCCAGACAATAAATCAGGAGCCTGTATAGCTGACTGCCTTCTATCTAACCAGGATATTCCAGTGTGAAACCAATCCAGTCTGTGAGCAATGTAATATGGAGTAGATGACTCTGGTTCGGCAAGCGCAGAAGATGGATGCGGACCCACTGGAATCACACTGCCAGCTCCTTTAGACACATTGAATCAACAGCTGTTAGTCAAGCGACCGGTCGAATGCTCGTGGTCAGAGAAAAGCCGTGGTCACGATGCGCTTTAAACGGTTCAATTGACAGCGCACATTGGCTTCATGGCCCGGGTTACTCGTGCCGCAGATAACAAGACACAGAATGGACAAGTTAGCAGTTATTTCACAGCCCAGTAGTGGACGCTACGTGATTGATCTTTGCTGATGATATCCATTATTACTGCCCAAAAATGCTGGAGCGCTCTATATGACTTTGGGTATATGTATACAAAATGGAGGAAATGACGCCGTTATGCCTTGATCCCTTCTTTTGCCACCCCGTTGGTGCTTTCACCTGCACGTTCCGTGACCTCCTTTCTCGAAGGAGCCGTCGCTATTTGAATTGTTCGCTGTTCCACAATCAACCCTGTCGCTATCAAGGTCTTGAGAATGCCGTATATCAAGACCGCACCAAGCACGATGAGGTCAAATATGTGAACAGCCCACCATAGATGTTGGCGTCCTAAGGGGCAGGTAGCGAAGTCGAAACGCCACTCCCAACTTTCTTCATCGAACCAGGCACTCATCAGGCCAGCGTTTCCGCCGAAATCGCCCATCATGCTGCGTAGAGTGATCTCACGGAGGCCAGGCAGCCCAGGGCGGTCAACAATGCCATCGACGGCGTCTTGCCAGCGCACGGTCTGCCACTCCCTGTCGGCGACGCTCTGCCCATGGGTCTGATTGATGTAATGGTAGGTATCGCAGCCTTCATGATCATGGCCATTCAAGATCACTCCCCGTCTTCCCCTGCCATTGCCGGGTGCCATTGTATCTCCATTCAGACCGAAAATGCCCTCGAGAAACCCTCTGCTTGCAGCAGCGCTGAGCTGATTCTGCTCCTTCAAAGTGCCGTCAGAGTCATGAAATGCGAAGAATGGCGAGTCCACGCAGATTCCCTCTGGCTTGTACAGTGGTACGTGAGTCAACACAACGGTAAAGTGGCCTTTGAACTCAACCGCGCTTGCCGTATTGATGATATCGTTGACGAACTTGTATGTCTGGTCCTGAAGTTCCCCACTGGCAGCTGGCGTGTCGAGGTTCATGTCATTGAGGACAATGATTCGAAGTTCGGGGATGAGGCGATCGGACTCAGTATGCGTGTCATCTTCAAAAAGAGTCGCTTGTACTTCTGGAGAGAACGATGCGACGGGTATCTCGAAGCGAAGTTCGTAGTTGGCTTTGCCAAAAACCCGCTCGAACCGGGAGAGGCGCTCGTTGTTGATGTCGCCCGCATACCCAATATCGTGATTACCCGCGACATTGATCACACGCCTTGCCCAGGTCTCATTCTGCAATGACAGTCCGAGATAGCCGGCCACATCATACTCGTCTGCCGGGGGTAGTGCCACATCATCCGGAACGCGCTCCCCGCCTCGGAAGACGCGATTCCAGTAACGGGCACCCCGACGCTCAAACTCCTTTGTATTCACCCATTGGCTCCCGAGCAGGTCCCCCAGCACAGTCACATGCGTCGGCACGCTCCACCAGTGAAGGGTTCGGTAGATGTGTGCGAGATAGAAGTCATTGCCGATAAGATCGATGCGCTTGCGCAATGACTCGATGCTAGTGGGGATGTCTTCGAAATAGAAGTCGACGAGATCGTGCAGAGACTGGCGAACCCGGTCGCGGAGAGAGTTGTGCTTTGTCCGAAAGGCGAGACGCGAAGCGCAACTGGCCAGATGTGGAAAGCCGGCCCTGGGTATAGAAGTATCGCCCTCGAGCTGGGGGTCGCCGAGAGCCAGCAGTCGGAAGGGTGCCACCCGGGGCCGTTCTCGGGATTGGCCGTCGATATCGTCGTTTTCGGGGCCCTGCGTGAAAGGCAATTGCCAGTGAAGGCGCAAGGTCTCGAGGTATGCGCTCAGGCCATTGGAATCCGGACTAGAAGCAAGACCACTGCTCTGCGGGAGTGGAAATGCGCACGTCTGGAAGACAGGGTAGAGATAAAGGTAAGCAGTCAGGGCTATCGAGAGCGGCACAAGCAGCCGTAAGGCATTGCGCAGGAGGAGGACGAGAGGCGGAAACATGAAGATGGTGACGGTGGCGGCGGCGGTGACGGCATGTGGGCGAGGGGATCGCCGTCCAGAGCAAAGGTGAGTACGGTAACCTCGCGTCGCCTCGCGTGCTATCTGGAGGAAAGGCAATAAACGAAGAGAAAGGGAAAGAGAAAAGAAAGACGTCAGCAGCAATTTAATCCGACCCAACCCCAGAGCAGACAGAAGACGGCGAAGGTGATGATCCGAAAAGTCGCGGATTTGAAGGGACCAAAAAAGGGGGCCAGAAAAGCAGATCTCGACAATGCAGATCTTGAAAAATTCCGACTGTGTGACCTGTGACGCGGCACGCGTCTAGACCATTTAGGTGGTTGTAGCTGCTATGAGTTTGGCTGGCTAGCGCCACCATCCACTAAAAATGCATGCGCTTAGGCGCCTCTGCTAGTCCGCCATCACGAAAGACTCCCCGTTCCTGTTGTATCAAATCTCCGAATGGTCGGTTGGTTGATGTAAGATGATAGATTACATATAACAAATATGGGCTGCCGGTAGCGATACGGACTCTGCGGCTTCTAGAGAATTCAATTCTATCTCAACACATTGGCGACCGAGTCGGTCAGGAGGTCGATACACTCCTTGCCGCCCCTTCGTCGAGGTGCCGATACGATGTCATCTACGTTTGTAGCTGCTCGCGATATGTCTTCAAGTCTACCAAACTGACCACTTCCTTGATCTTGCCATCGTCTAGCCAGTAGAACACATGCTCAGAGAATTCAACCGGTCTGCCGTTGGGCCTTGCTCCTGCCCATTCGCGAGCAGGTGTCCCGGTAAACTCGATTCTCGCCGCCAGCTGCTGTGTCTTGTCGTTGACGATGGTGGTGTGGATATTAAAGGTCAGTCCCGAGATGGCCTCCTGGCTTGTCTCTATGAGTAGCCTGTACTCTTCAATCGTCATGCGGATTCCATTATGCGTCACAACCGGTTGACAGAACTTGTCCAGATCCGACGCCATCGTTTGGGCGTTGATACAGTCAATGTAGGTTTGATAGAAGCCTTTGAGGTCGACTGGCTCAGAGGGTGGCTTGCCGCTCCAGGTAGGAGCTTTCAAAACCTCGGTCTGATGGTTTGCCATGGCATCGACATCGTAGATTTCCCTAATCTCCTTGAGTTTCGACTCTGTAAACCAGCAAAATAGATGTTTGGCGTATGTTGAGGATTCAGGAGAGCTGCCACCAGTGTCTCCGCCAGGCTTTGCAATGATCCTAGCTGCAACGCTTCCTGCCTCATCACCACACATTAAAACATCAACGATCCATTTGGTGCTCTTGGGTGTGCCGGCTGCCTCTCGAAGAGACGACAGATACTCTTCTCTTGTCAAGCTGCGCCCGTTCAACAAGACGCCATCGCTTAACTGCCCCTCGATGCCTGCCCAATCTCGTTGATTCAAGTTGTCAATATAGGCCCGAAACAGCTTTGACACTTCCATCTTTGCACCAAACCTGAGGTTGTGCTCTCTATATGTTTCTCTTGTCTCATGAATAGCTTCACAGATTGGCAGACAGAGTGCTGTTGGGGTGTAAGTGCAGCCTGGGGAGATGGCTCTCCCACTCAACTAAGTAGTTGTTAGAACGACAACACTTTCTTAGACTCTTACAAAGAAGGTGTAAGATAGCTCGATCAGAGTAGAATCGGTTCTCAAGGGTGTCAAGACGTTGAGAAAAGATCCTGTGTTTCCCTTTCTGCGCGAGGCTCTCTTATACTGGAAGATGTTCAACGTTCTACCTAATTAGAAGACGTCCTTGTAAATGCACCAGCATGTGCCTGACTTGGCGTGGATCCACTGTAATTCCTACTGATACAGTTATGACGTTGCCAATGCGCCCTTCAGAGCCCCACCCCCAGCAATCAATTACGCCTTACCAGACGACTGCGCGAAAATCCGTAGCGACAAGGGCCCTGATCAGTCCCGAGTTGATTGTGAGACAAGCTCATCACGTTCCGCCTCCTGAATCGAGGTATAGGGAAAGAATCAGGTGCGCAAGGATTGAATTGGCACTTCTGTAATTGGAAATGCATTCGAAAGGATATGTGCCGAGCGCCCCTCGTTGTTGAGTCTAATCTAGCATTGTCAATCCCAAGATCGGCTTCAAGTGGCTTTACTAGGTCGGTCCCTCGGTTCCGTCGCGAGGCGTCAAAGGCTTCCTTTCGCGTGGCCATATCGGATAGCCTACTGCATTTCAATCGTCTTGCCGGATATAGATTCACTTGTTGTCTGAACAATGCCATATTGTATACAGACCCACACGCCAAGTAGAATTGAACCCACAGTGATCTTACTGAAACTGTTAAAAGAAGATTCCACATACACGCAGCTCTTCTAGTATAAAAGAGAAAACATATAAGCGCTAAATGTCGAAAGATACCCAGCATTGGAAATCTTACTCAGAAGCAGTGCAAGCCATTCATATTGAAGAACCCTATCCTTGCTGACTTAAAAATGTATAAGCAATAGAGGATGTACAAATGATTTAAGTTAAAGAAGATCCCACTTGCCATCGGTATATTTAATTGTCAGATTCTACATTTAGACACCTGCGGGACATCAACGTCCCTTCCACAACTATCGTGAACAAGCACCATGCAGCAAGATCTGAACAACGAAAAGAGCGCAGCCGTTGCTGCTGTCAAGTCATTCATGACTTCGCTTTCTCACAAACAGCCGCCATTTCCAGAGGCTCGTCAGATTGTGCTGTCAGATTCATTCTGCGTCCTGTCGCACCCAGACGAGCTTTGGGTCAACACCATCGAGAAAACAATGACCAGAGTGGAAGGAAAAGTCGGCAAGCTCTTGGAATCTGGAGCAAAAGACTTCGAAGAGGCCTTCTTTGAGCCCGGCCCTGATGTGTGGCTTTATGATAACCTTGCCGCTGTCTGGGCAGGTTATCGAGTCATCGTTGACTCCAACGAAGTCAGCCGTGGTATTAATGCTGTCTCGCTGATGAATACGGCGGAGGGCTGGCAAATCGTTGGAATTGCCGATACACAATTTCAACGAAATTCAGTGCTTCCTCCTGTATCCTCCGACTTATTACCAGATGTTATGAAGCCAATCGAAGTCTTTTTTGCACATCTGAAGAACAGGGAATGGGACAGTATGCTCTTGATGCTATTTCCCGGATCAGGCATTACCAACTCCAGACAAAACAGGCCAATACAGCGGACATGGCCAGAGTTGATTGAATATCTCAAAGGAGTTGTGGAAGGCGTGCCAGCTGATATCGTAGTTGAGGAGAAGATATACGATGTAGAACTTCGGAGTTGTGGTGATTTGGCGATTGTTTGGACGCCATTCACGGTTACATACAATGATGTGCCAGCAAGCAAAGGCGTGAACATTTTTACGCTCCTGAAAAGAGATGAAGGCTGGGTTATCACTGGCTGCCAAGATACCAGTAGGCCGGTGAAATAACTATCCACTGTATATTTTCCTGTAGTATCATTCACGAGTTGAGCTTTGCGACGAAAGAGCTTCTTGAGGCTGAAAGACAAGATCAATCGAATATTCGGTGATATTTTATCGAGGGTTGGCAATAATTTTAAAGGTGGAACTTCTAATACATGAGGTATGGGGACATTTACTGTGCACTTCCGTCCACAGAACGCCTGTCAAGTTCTCTTGTGCCTTTCTCTTTTTAGAAATTTGATTGTGGGTCTCACTTCAGAATCACTCTTTACCAATAAAATCAGGAGAAATGCATGTACAAGATGGGAAAATATTAGAAATAAGGTGTATTGATAATACCTTGACTGGCCACCTGATTTGTTCTGGTTTGAGTTACCGGGTGACTTGATGGTAAAGCTTAGTCATTATATCATGCATCAAGGACTATGTCTGCCATGATAATTGATTGTGGAAAATCGTAGCGATGTAACGCTTAAAAAATCGTCATCTCCTAACACTCGGCTTGAAAACTGCTGAGACAGGGGGTGTCAAGTCTAAATAAGCATCGCCAAGTATGAAAGCTTCAATCTTGTATCTTGGCAAGCTTGGTATTGACCCATTCTATCACAGCACGGCCATTCTCTACAAATACTCACCGAACTATACGATGTCCGTGGCTGGTTCGACCAGAAACAATCAAACGCGCATCTTCTTCCCTGTCTTCTTTCTGTGGTCGTCAAGTGATTTCCTGGAGCAAAATTGAATGCAGGTCAGCACCTAGACCAGTCTAGAAACTTACCACTAGAGGATCTATCCCCTGAACCCCGACCCCGACCCCTGGTCATAGTCTCAGCCTGCCCAGGCCATATTAAGCCAGTAATCCGAGCACAATGGCCGTGCCGTGGCCCACAGAAGAGCCAATCTCGCTGCGGGTTATTGGATGCTAAGTAGACGCTCTCATATCGATGTCCAGTGTTGATAGAAAACTTTTCATTGATTCGCTGGCCGAGACGAGGCTCTCTGAACGGAATCATACATTCAGTCATGCCAATGTACATTTTTCTATACAGATACGTGATGCCACACAAAAATAATCTGAATGTTCATTGACTCCGAAGATATCCAAGGGAAAGCGTTGATCGTAAATACTCTTTTCCGTAGCGGGCACCAGGCCTTCCTTTAGTTGTGGTACTTCTGCTTCCACCCGCTAATCTTCATATCTTGCATTTCAAAGCGGTCTGGTTCGGGGACTGTCTTAGTCTCAACTGTAGAGAACTCGGTCTTCACCAGGATGGTACGATCGCCAAGTTCGAGATCTCGGAGGGAATCACCCTTTGACCGGCCATCAAGATCATCGCTAATGCGTTCAAACCCATCATGAGTGACGCTCTTCGATCGTTGAGGATACACTAGCCCACCCTGGTGCCGACTTGACTTCGGGTTGCCGTTTGATCCACTGCTTGGGCCGTAGTTTGATTTACCAGTCCTGTTTCGGAAGAAGTTCTCGAACAATGGAGCCAGAGTCGGCAGGTTGGCACTCAAGATGGCGACTTGCATTTCGATGGCAGTCCAAGTTGCTGCACTGGCCTGAGCATATGTGACATCCTTGGGTTCGGCTTGGGAGACAACGACGATGCGGACCGCACTGGCGACGCAGACACTGTAATCTTGTTAGTACGGCTATAAGACAACAGTGCAAGAGTCAACTTACAAACCACCAAGCATGAAGATAGCACCAACAGCAATCTTCTTTCGGGTATTAAGCTGAAGCTTGCGAATCATCAAGACTGGGAGACCGAGGATCAACACATCGCCTAAAACACCCAGCCCACCATTGACGGCGCCACTGATCTGCTGGCTTCCACAGTATCCACCAGGGGTAGTTCGATCGTAGAAGAACGAGACGGGATGGCAAACGGTGAGGTTAATACACCATCCAATGATAGCCCAGAGCAGCGTGAAGATGATGTTCGCCCATGCTGCGATCTTGAAGATCTTTGTGGTGAAAATGCGCATGTAAAAGACCAATATGGAGATCTTGATGCAGGCCAAAGCCGGCTGGTTTGCTCTCTGCAGAGCGAAGTCCGTCTATAAAACGAGACGAGATTAGTCATAGCTCTCAGAACGAGGTTGACATGGGACTTGCCTTGAGAAATATGGTCTTGGTACGCTGATCTAGATTGGTCATGTGGTAACCCAGTCCAAACTGCAAGACTAGAGGATATTAACACCGCTTTCCTTGCATGTTATCAGAAACACTCGACTTACGGATGTAAATGCAAATAGCTGGCATTAGAGCAATGAAGTAGCCGACAAGGATCAAGTAGTCGTCCAACTTCAGTCCTTTATATTGTTTCCATCGCGCCGCAACACGCATAAACAGAGATGTGGTGCTGAGAAACAGAATGACAGTAGTCATCCCATAGGAGAATCGGCGTAGTGATTCAGCGTCAGGCGGCGGCGTGCCGGTGACGGTGAAGGAACGCTTCTCGAAGTCCATCTTGACGAATCCTTGGAGATCGGAGAGTTGCCGCATCGTAGGGAGGACAAGCAAGCAGTTCCACCTGTGGTGCTATGATGAGGTCCAAAACGGAGAGGAGAACGACGATCACAGTCTGGGGAGGATCGTAGAATATGTATGCTTGCTCAGAGCCACAGATAGCATCCAAGTACCGTATTACTCCGCGTCCATTCAGTGGCCTGGCCGAAGCGGCGTCGTCTACTGTAGGAAGAGGGCCAGGGATGTCCGGGGCCTGCAGTGGTGCAGGGGCGGGACTTTTCCTCTCAAGGTTTCGACGGCATCGTCAAAGGTCAAGAGTATCGAGGTTCAGGGAGAGTGGGAGATAGCACTGACAGGGCGGGCCGCAGGAGAAGAATGAAACGGTTACGACCACGGCAAGGAAGTCCTGCTGAGATGGGACAAGAGGAATTACAAGCCCATGTCAAGCCAGCTGCCAAGGCCGTTATTTGTTCGCACCATTTCGTAGCTCTTTCTCCCGCTCGCTACCAGATCCAGGGACCAGGTGCAAAACCTGCGAGTTGCTTGCGCAGGAGAGGCACTATGCAGTAAGCCACCATGAGGAAACCAGTCTAGTGAGGCCGAGTTAATGCAGAGTAGCATCTCGCTTGCACAGACCAGGCTCTTGTGGCTGTCACCCTGGGATCGACAAGTGCAGCGCACTATATATGAGGATGCAGATCCCGGGCCGGACGCGCTGCTAGTCGAAAAGTATGAACGGAGGAGGTCTGAGCTGCGCAGGGGACTCTCACGGCCCAGCAGGAAACTTATCAACGCCACAAGGTCATATCGCTTGTACCGGGCCTGCGTTGTGGCTGCCCCAGACACCGGCAATTGGTTGATAAAACCGTTGCTGAAACGGGATGATGCGGAAGATTTGATGGAGCGTGGAAGAGCCCGAGGCGAAGTCGTTGCATAACAAGCATCGGCTCATTCCAGACCAAGAAGACCCAATAGTAGCGAAGAGCCAGACAGAAAATATCTGCAGCACGCCTGTCTCGACTCTCGTATCATAGTCTACAAACTGTCTGTTCTACTCAGCTGGCTTCTCATATCAGCGTTGGAGTTTCAAAGTGCAATGCATCACTAGGCATGCCTGCTATTCCCCAATAAGCCTACGCCCCCGCCCCTAATGAAATAGGGTTGGTACTTCTGACATTTGACAAGACTGCTAGTTTCTTCTTAGTCGTTCCGGCATACTCCGCCTGGATTTAGAGTAGCTAGAGTTTGTGGCTACGGTCTCACCTGGGGCAGAGTGACAGCCCCACGAAGAAGGCTGTCGAACTTCTGTGGCTCGCCGCGTGTACACTACTACATAGTATAGATTCGATTGCGATTTGCAATGATCTTCGATGCCTGGCCGTGGATCAACACTTTCTACAGTAGTCTAGTTGACTCTATCATGCCGCTTTCCATGAGGATCAACATGCCGCCCCGACCATGTCGTCTGATAGCAGGATAGCCACTGCTCATGGCCTAAACTTGGGAGGATGATTGATCACAATATAGAAGTAGGTCTAGGCAGGAAAGAAAGAAAGAAAGAAGGCTGCAAAGGTGCACGATCGGGGACCAGGGGATCCTGCTCCAGGTGAAGTTTCTAAACTGCAAGTTAGCAACTTGCCATCGTCCTAGCCGATGCATTGCTCCCGAAGCATCGAGACTGTCAGAAGGAATGAGTTTTACAGGAGCTACAGTCCAAGACTCGATGAATTCTTAGTGATGGGAAATAAGACCACACAGTCCTTTGAGCCCGGATCCTAGCACTAGAGCCGGGGAAAGCCTGCCGGAACAAGAGTAGCGTCGCAGGCATCGATATTGATTGCAACGCGTCGATTTGCACCGAACAAAATCCCCCGTTGAACCCCACCGCCTAGTAAGACTGCCCTTTCCTGAGTAGTCCTGAATTTCAGCGATCCTTCAGGTCCCTGTCTCGACCCTTGCTGATTCCTCTCTGGCACAATGGTTCTGTTGGTCCGGCAAAGTGAAAGAGGGCCGCGAGGTTGGGGGATTGCGAGAGGGTGGACAGGAAAAGGGGGTTCCATCCTGTAAGTCAGCAAGGTCAGCTCCCCACGAGGGCTCATCCTGCTGCAAGACAGAGACAGGCACAGGCCTACGGGAAGATCAATCGATAACTCAATTCCACTCTGGAGATGCGGATAACTTTGTTTACGGACAAGGAAAGACGATCGATGATCCCCCACCAAGATTCGGGCGGGAACAGAGTCGTCACCACTGGGCGACTTGGCTCAAGCTTGTTTTCGACGCACAGTCAGTTGTCAAGTGCCAGTGACACTGTGGCACCCCCTCAAGAAGTGTACCCAGATCCGCCCCGGACCCGTCTGTCAAGAAGCGAGAGAGAATGAACGGAATGCGGGAGACTTTTCGGGAGAAGTCTCGGGAAATACCACCTTTTGTTCCTAGCCCAATGTCAGTGCCCTCTCCCGTCTAACGGCCTTCTCTTTAGGGCATGCTCGAAGTCCTGTGTGGCTGCCAAGTGCGTTCGAAGTTCCTGGGCTGGTCCCAGTACCGTAGCATACCCATACCCATACCCCCATACCCATGATTGCCGTGGCTTGCTTACCATGTAACCGAGATGCTATTTCTTTCTTTCTCGAGGTCTCTCTGTAAAAATAACCATGGGTTTCGAAAAGGGGCGTGCTGTATGCTTTCTTTTGTTGTTCCAGTCCAGAAACCCTTGTCCTATATGACTTTGCCAACTCCCATGAACGTCGTCCTCATTCTGTAACGCGCTGATTGTAGGCAGGCTTTTGCGGAGCAGTGGCTGTTTCTAGGTCGATGACCCCCCGTCAAGGAAAAGATCCTTGCCCGCCAGGATTTCTTACACTCGATGGCAATGCATCGGCAACATCGCGCCTTGACTGCCTTGAGGTTGACGATCCCTTGCACTCGTCAACCTGCTTCTAGACTGTCATGGACCGGCCATGGGCCTAGTCTCCGTGCTGCAACTCTTGCACTTTGACAGCTGTTCGCCTGGTAGAGAATGCCAATGCATCAATTTTCGCAGTCCCAAGTAGAAGGGTTGAGATACTGAATGCATCACTTTGTTTCGGTTCCCCCCTGAGAGATAAAGTCAAGAAGCCTTATTCAAGGCCGCATTGGCTGGTCTTGATGTTCCCAATTCCACGCTTGTGTTTACAATGAACATTCTGGAGCTAGTGCATCACGGTATGGAGGCACACAGCCTTTCTGGAGTTGTCTGAATCAATTAGTGCACATACAGTACAATAAGCAATAGATAGAAGCCATCTTTTGCCAGTGTTTTGTTGAGACTTGATAGACGACGAGCAGTTGATTGATGCCGTTATGAGGGTGTTACAATCTGGATATACCTATGCCATGATGCCCAGGTCGAAGGGCAGCACCAAACATCACCTTGACCTCAGTGATTGCTCCCGCCAGCTGGAACCATCTGCCAGAGCCTGCAAGGCACCCCGCACCAGCTGGCAGCCGCATTTCATTGCCCCTCGTTGCCTACAAGTCAAAGAAAATCAGCTCCATTACACAGACGAAGCAAAGTGATCGATTGCCGGTGGTAACAATCTTGGGCCTACGAGACTTGAGACAGCATCTCCTAGCACCATGTCGCTCGAGACGATCACTCTAGAGCATGTTCCGCCTTCGCACAAGGTCCACGTTGCCTTCTTCAAGTCCGTCTCCAATGCCGCATTCCTGCAGTCACAGCTGCTCGCACGGAATCCCGACTTCGAGTATGCATTCATCGACGCGTCGTCTGTGGTGTCACGGCTACAAGTCCTGGCCGTCATATACAAGGCTCTAAGCATTTTGCTCGATGGGACTCTGAGGACCCCAAACGTTCATTCCGAGATCGTCACCTCGCTCAGTGCGAGTAATAATGTAGGCAGATGCTGCGTCTTCAACGAGCCAAAGGCTAGGAGGCGGCTGACAGAGAAACCAGATAGCCGAAGCCTACCGTCGATATGGAATCACAGCCGAGACCACGAGCGTTATCATCGTCAAGGTCGTCTTCCCAACGGATGCCAGACCTGAGCCCCCCTCCGCTGAGCATATCTGGAAGCACCTGCAAGACAACGTTACGGGTTCTTTGGTGCCGTTCACGGATGACGAGATTTCAGGATCGACCGACTGGGCTAAAGTTCGCAAGTACTACAAATTGAACGGAGCTCCTTCGTTGAATGGGCTACATGACGAGGTTCTAAAGACCAAAGAAGCCGAGATGCTAGTCCTCGGCGCCATGGCTTTGCGTGGGGTCTGAACGACAAGTTCGTCTTTATATCAACAGCAAGAGAGGAGTGTCGGGGTTGATATCAAAGCATGTCAATACACCGCAGTCACTGTGCAGGAGATTCTTGCCAATTCTAGGAGTCTGAATTCATGATCATCCATGATTCATACAGTCATTAGGGCATGCTACTCTGGATCTAGGCTCTATCAGTCGACCTCCTCTAAGCCATGCCGAACGCCCCTCTAAATCTTCTCCAGACCTCTGCTCTCATCGCATCCCTGCCGCTCTTGGTTCTCTGCACGGCATCTCGGTTCTCATGCGCTCGTCTAAGGAGATACTTCATGCACTCTCCAGTGGATCCCCATACAAGATATTTATAAGCACGAGGCTTGAACTCATTCGACGGCTCTGCAGCTGCCTCTCCAATGCTAGCAGTTTGCTCGCCATCCTTCGCCTTGACAGCACAAAGCAGCTCACAGCTCACCTCGTCCGCCATGCCCTGTAGCTGGGCGAACGCAACCTCGGTCCCCCGTTCACCCGCATCGAGGATGCCGCGTGCCTTGCGAACCGTCTCGGCATTGTGCGAAGCGAGAACCATATCAACGCCTGGGAACGAGTCGTCCGAAGGGGCAAAGCTCGATAACGGTCCGCTCCATTGTCGACGCAATAGTGCTTCGGCCAATCCATCATATGCGGCGTCTGTGTCGGCTTTCGTGTCGTGAATGAGGTGTCGTGGATCTGATCCGAGATATGCGCCACGCACGAGCTTCACACCTAGCGCAAATCCCTCCTTCTGTGCTGCATGGAGATGGCTCGATAGGGTGGCAGGAGTGGATTTCAGATACGCTTGATACGTGCCATAAATGATGGCCTTGTTTGGACCACCAGATGGTCCTGCTCGGTTGTATTTGCGCATATATTCCAGGGTCCAGTCATCAATGCCCCATTGGACAGCCTGTTGTTCGGCATCAAAGAGCAAGCGAATCCCTCGCTCCGCGGCAAGCTTGCAAATACCGTCAATCGCATCTGCGAGCGCCGGGGATGGCGGGTCACGCTGGGATAAGTTGTAGAGCGCTTGACGGCCAGCGCCAGTAAATCTAGCTCATATGTTAGCCCATAGATCAAACAAGAATATAGCAATGAAATGCAAACTGGGAACCATACTTGAGTGCAACAAAATCCCCAGGTGATGCTAGGCGGACAGTCTCCATCGTGCCCGCTGCCCACGGGACAATCTCCGTACGGATACATTCCTCCGCTGCGGCGCCTTCTCCGCATGATGCCAAGTCTTTGGTTTGCTCGTCGGTAAGCACGACTTCTTTTGCATAACCCAGAATGACGCCGCTGAAGCCAATCTTCTTCAATCCGTCAATTGTCTGGCGCACTTCATGTGGGTTCTCTCCGGCACAGAATTGGGCGTAAAACGACTGTTTTATCAGAAAGCGAAGAATAGGGTTCTTATCCGGGTCCAAGAACGGATTCGTGGTGTGCGCGAGAGTAGACATTATGGCGAGGGAGGGTGGTAAGAGAATTGGCGATGATGATATGGTTGTGACTGCCAGTGATCGCAACACCGTCATCAAGGGCAGAACTGCCAAGGGAGACCGTCCTGCCATATTTGGCGGTTGCGGCCTCGAGGGCAGCACGTTGGATTGAGGATCGAGGACAATGTGCTCGGCTGGAGGAGAAGTCCTGCTTGTGGAAGAGTGAAGTGACCGGTTGGCCGTGGAAGCCATTCTCACAGCTTGTCTCAGTTGCTGCTTCCCTGGAGCATGTTGTGAAGTGACTTCCAGGTTGGCATGACGAACCGCCAGCGTTCTTGGCTCGTAGAGCAGTGCCGCCGCCCTGGTGGCCCGTAAGACCGGCGGTGCCACTGATACCATGGCAGTCTGGGGATGAATGGCCGAAAGACAAAATGACGTGGATAATTGGATTGGGAGAGTAATAATGAATCGGTTGGTTTTGGACGTCTAGACGCCTAATATAAAATACATCTAGACAAAGCCATAGTGAATCCTGACAGCATTCTATCTCTTTATCTCCGAATATCGCACCTCCCACTTCGCGACATCAGATGAGGTCCCTGGGTGTACCTGGCACCGGCACCGGGACGCCATTGGAGAGCCACCTGATATGCTATCGAGCTATCTCATTGACCCTCTCCCGGGCGGCCGGTTGCATCGAATCGATGATGAAAGCATACCAGTTGCTTATCAGGGATCACGTGGGAGGGAGTCGTGCCGCGTGTAACCGACGCATTGGCGAATTAGACTGGGCGGGCCAGGCGGGCTCAGCGCCGGCGCAGGACGGCAAGCTGTCGTCTCAAGTACAAAAAAGCACTAACCTCTGTTGAAAGGGCCTCTCGACCTCTAGTCTAACAGGTTGAGGGGAGGCAGGTCCACCCGTGGAGACTCAATGAAGCGGGGTTCAACATCGACTGGTGAGATAGCCACGGAGTGCAGTACCGCACTCGCACTGCACCATGGACCCCGAACAATTGGCCCCATTCTCAACCGTGAAAGGAGAGATTTCGCCGGCTTCGCGCTCGTGTGTGCCGAAGGGCGGGGGCATACATAGATGTCAGGTATCTCAGGCTTACTGATTCCAGACTCTACCTAAGCAATGCTATCAGTCATCACCTAGTGCTGTCGTCGGAGACTTGCCAAACGGGGAAGGAAAAGAATCATACCAGCGGACTTGCAGCCCCGTGCTAGCCAAGACACGCACTATTCGGCGGCAGATAGCAGGTCAAGGTTGTCGACCTCCATCGTAAATAGGCACGCCGACTGCCGGCTCTTAAGAAGGCAGTCGCTTGCGACGGTCTTGCACCTATGCCGAGCTCGGTTCCATAGGGGGCAAAGCGCAAAGCCTCCAGCACATAACATCGTAGGCGGATTTGCCAAACGGGGTGAGAGGATCGCCTCATGTTCAACTATGTTGTCTGCTCTGCCCGGAACTGGCGTTGAAGATAGTCGATATATCCAATCCGGCGGCCGCGTGCCAATCCAGCGATATCTTGCAGGCCTCCGTAGACCAAGCCGGCGAGGAGTGCAGTCTTGGTGGTTCGCGCCGCCATCACCATGGGGAATCGATCTACATCAACGATAGATTGTCAGCAAAGGGCCATGCACGACGGCATCTATCAGATCCAGGTAGGAATAGACAAAGGCATACTCCAGAGACTGAAGCCGCCTGCAACTGTCACGCAGGCCAGGACAGTGTTGACGAAGTCCATTGAGCCCCGGTAGACGTCGAACATGTTCTCGATAGTGAACATGGCCGTAGTCCACACGCAGACTCTTGTGCCCATCTTCAAGCCCTCCTTGATGCCGCCATATGCAACGTGGTAGTTTTTGCTCTTGTGATAGAGATACCATCCCGTGGTGGTCGTAGGCAGCTTGTGGGCGTGCTCGGCGCGGAACTGGAGGCCGGCCATCTTGCTGCCCTGTGCAAGACCCAGGCCCATTCCGATTGAAAACGAGACGGCGGAAGCTGCAGGGATGCGGACAAAGGTCGGGATCGATAGACGAGAGTTCTGGCGGAGCTGTTGCAGCTGCTGTTCCATGGCAGCACGGTCGGGCGCGTTCTCGTGGAGCTTCACGAGCTCATCGTATGTTCGGGACGACGACGACATGTTGCTGGTTCGAGGACGGGGATGAATACGTCACGGATGGGATGCAGTTGTCTTTCAGTACAATTCCAGGACTGGAATGATGTTCAAAGCGCTGGGCCTAATGGAGATGGTTGTAGTGACCTGGACAACGATGATGCATTGCTGGTTGGCCGGGGTTGAGTGCTTGTATGTGATCAAGGAGCTTATTTGATGCCTCGCGAAATTTTGGCCCTGAGTGGCCCAAGCTCCTGCGAATCGCCGCCTAGAATCAATCCCCCCTCCAGACCCCTCCACGATTATCCATCTGAAGTACGCCCTTTCTTCGACCCCCTCCAGTATCTCTAAATATTGCGGCTCTTCACACTGAAACTTTGAGGCAACGCTGTCGATCATCATGGTATGGACTCCTTCCTCTTGAGTTTTGTGTGGTGTGATGCGTCGCGTCGCGTCGCGTTGCGTCATGGCAATCACTCCCTTTCAAACCAAATTTCTTGATGGCTCTTCATGATATCTACATCCCGTTTCTCACGCAGCTCTACTAACAAGTGGGCAATGCAGGCCAACGAATCGGATCTGTCAATTCGGCTGAAATATGGCGTTCACACCGTCTTCCTCTTCGTAGACCCGTTGGCGCCCTGGTCTGCCATCACCACGGAGCTCCTAGAGGTCCTCCGAGAGCGATACCCCGACGGCTTAGTTGCGGTGCCAAGAGGTAAAACTCCTGTCCCGACCTCCGGCCAGGATGTGCACATCTCCTATGCGCTGCTGGTGAATCCACACGACTACACCGAAGGCTGGAAAGACCTCAATATCCGCGGCACGGAAACCCCAGTGAGCAAGGGCATCAAGAGCGGCACCATTGTCGCCTTTCTCATCCAAGACGAAAACGAGAGTACCGATAGCTCGCCCGAGTTTATTGTAGACTGGCCAAATCTCGACGAGGAAGAAGAGGAGGAGATGGCCGCTGATGGAGATGTGGATGGTTTGGAGCTATGAGCGTGTTTTGAGACTGCTTGAATGGCTAGGGTCCCTGCTCGGTAGACCAATGACGGCAGCGACATTGCGGCGTCTGGATACAGGGCCAGATTTTGGCTTTTATGCCTGCGTGTGGTGACAGTGGACACATTGGGTGGCTTATGTGCCGCAGGCTGGGAGCTGCGGTGGTCAACTACTCTACTAGCCCAACACATGGTATAAGAAGGTATGCATACGCCTTAAATCGTGGTCTTTAGTCATGCTAATATGATAACAACCAGGATGTGCCTCGAGGGACCGCATACGCAGCCCACGAATGACTCGTCAGCTAGAGTCAACAGAGTTGTCGTGAGATCAACAGATGATCTTATGGCTGACAATCTTTATCTCTTGCATGACCGTGCTATGTAGCCTTTTGCTGTAACTAGAGTAGATTGTCACTACTACGTACCTTACACTCTGTTTGCTGTGCTACCGAGTCGAAATGCTCGGGCCATTCTACCGTGTCATTTGCGATGCGATCTACCCAGGCACCTCACTTTGAAGGCAGGTGCCGCCAACAGACTTAAACATACGGATGTACATATATAGCAATATTGTATTTGACTACGTGGCACCGCAATACTGCTGTGGGGTTGTCTACTCTATCTAGAGTTGCTGGGTACAAGCCCATATTCGCAAATATTGCTCAAGTGGTACCACCCTGATCTGACTGCCACTGCCACATGAGCTTGTGGTTTCCTATACAGATACAACCCCTTGATCATCTAACGAGTCAAATAGTCGTCATCAGCATTGATGTTATAGGAGGCGAACTTTCTCGCAGGAATGCCCCTCTGGAACATGATGTCCATTTCGCCAAACGTGCGGTCCTTGGTCTCTGGAAGGCGGAAGTAGCCCCAGATAGTTGTCAAGAAGGACAAACTTCCCCAGAAGAAGGCCTATCATGTAAGTTGTCAGTAAACATGGCATGAGACTCATGATGACCATTCACATACCGTCTTTCCTTGTGCATTCCAAGCCGTGGGCGACATGAATTTTGGCTGAAGAACGCCACCAATGATGTTGCCAACATAGTATGTACTACGACCCAGCACAACTGTTTGGGTTCTCAGACGTGTTGAGCCGATCTCAGATACGATTGTGTATACAATTGGACCAACAGACATGGAGTAGGCTCCAAGCCACACCAAGCAAAGGCATGACTGCGCCCAGGCCAGAGCCTTGGTTTGATGAGGCACGCAAGCCAGAATGCCAATGGTGAACAGAACAGCTACCAGCACATAGAATCCATAGAGCCAGATTGTTCGACGACCCCATCTAGTAAGGTAGAACCAAGAGATGATTGTGCCCAAGAAGGCAATACCCGTGCCGGCGAGTCCAATGGCGTAGGAAGCATTGGCGGAGATACCTGTTTGCTCGAAGAAGAATGTGCCGCTGTAGCAAAGAGCTCCGCCGTCTGTAATCTGCGACAAGAAGGCCATGCAAGCAATTTCTGTTCGACGTAGATTGGTACCGCGGAAAGCATCCCAGTAGGTAACACCTGCGCGCTCTTCCTTCTCAAGCTTGTCGGTGTGGACCATGAGAGCTATCGTAGCGTCGTAGTCGACATTTTGGTTTGCATCAGAGAGCCGCATGAGAGACTTCTTTGCTGACTCCAACTTTCCAGTGCGAACGAGGAACCAAGGAGATTCAGGGGCTAGCAGTGCAGCGATGAAGAGAGGCACAGGCCACACCCACTGGACCGCGAAGGGAATACGATAGCCCCATTGCGTTTCATTGTTCACCAGACCTTTCAACACACCTGCAGAAATGAGCTGACCGATTGCCCAGCATAAGTTGACGTATGCGGTGAGATATCCTCGTAAAGCGAGAGGCGCAACTTCGGCAGCATATGCCGGTCCTGTGGTTGCAAACACTCCCCATGGTATGTTGCAGAAGAACTCGCCAACAAGCAGCACCTCAATGTTAGGTGCAAAGAAGACGATGAAGATGAACGCAGTCAGGAGAGTCATGCAGCCCATAATGACCTTACGATGACCATACTTGGCAGTCAAATAGCCATTAAGTAAAGCGCCAATGATGTTGCCAACAGCAGAGATATCGTTTAGGCCCGCTTGCCATGAGAAAGAGATCTGATAGCCGGATTCGTCGTTATGCCAAACGCCATACTTCTTGCGAAATGCCGGATATCCCATAAAGGAGCCCAACAGGGTGACATCGTAGCCTTCCATGATAACAGTTGTAGAGATCACTTCTCAGCAGCCATTGTCAGCGTCACATAACACCTGAGAACAACGGTAGCTAATTGCGATCAGCGAGACTCACAAATAGACCATAAAGCTGCTTTCTTGTAAGTTTTGATCGCTTGAACGAAGCTAAGACTATGTTCTGTAGCGGTTGCCTGTCTGGCTTCCTCATTGAGGACCTTGTCATGAAGGCTGGCATGAGTTAGATTTGTGTAATCGGCGCGGTCAACCTTCTCGTCTGCATGGTCCTCGCGGACCTCGTGGCTTTGAGTGATGTCCATGACGACGAGGGGTACCTCACGCTGAGGGTAATCCTGCTGCTAGAGTCGTCGAGAATTGAGTCCCAGTGAGGGTGGGTGAAGACAATGAAGACAAAGCAGATCATTCTCCTCATATTACCGGACATTGCACAACTCTTATTAATCGAGACTTCCCCAACTCACCTTCCTGGAGCTCTTCAAGAGCTGGGCCGCCGGTCCGCCATTACCGTTAGAAGCTGCGTCAAGAATCGCAATGCATGGGGCCCAGGGCAGGTTGGAGAGCATCCAACCAACCTACAGCGTAAGTTTATTGGTGGAAGATTGGCGATTTGGGGAAACAAGACTTCAATTCAGACGGGGTGATTGTGGGGGATGTTGGGGAAGTGGGTACACTTAGAGGATCACTAAGTATCTCGAGGGGAATAAGCTAGGATAAAATGCACTTGCTTCCGGTGCCCTCGTTGCGAAGATGTGAGTCTTCGAGGAGAACATGGCAATGGCTGTACCCTATCGATACATTCTCAACCAAGGCTGTACCATAAGCTTTTGGGATACATGCCTTGCCCTTAGAAGTCATGATGCATAGCCCTGCCCAGTAGATACGCGCGACTTGGAACTCTGACATTCATCGTTTCATCAACTAGGAGACTCGACATGAGTGTTGGGTCGTTCTAGCTCTGATATCAAGCGGGTGATGGGGAACGAACTGCCGGTGGAGTTCCTTGGTAGCGGCCATATAGTGTCCGTCGATTCTCAAGCTAACTGTTGGCTTAAACCCGACGGGTGATTCTCTGTATTCACCCCTGCATTCACCCTCAATGATGATTGATCCGGCTCTTTTCTCGGTGGCTTTCAACCCGGAGGCTTGCTTCACATCCCAGCCTTCCACTGCGTAAACAGTACGAAGCAGATGCCTTTCAGGTGTTGGTTGATGTAAAACAAAGCATCTGTGGCATTTTCGACATCGAGGATGTCGCTTCCGGAATGGCGGGACGATCTACGAATTCCCTTTTATTGACATGCACGTGAAGCTGTCGAATCAGTCTAATCAGCAAACACGACAAGGAGGAGACAGCATCTCACTGACTGATTCGCAGAACGGGTAACACTAGAGGCGAATCGTGATTGCTCCTGTTCCAAACCAAGATTTACCTGTAACTGATACATGGTCCCACTACCATTGTAGGTAAGCGTACTCTGTTGTGTGGTTATTATTCACTATGTAGAATACCTATGCGCTGTTATAGACTGAGATATTTAGTTAAGAGAATACATTTCATATCATATGCTCCTTACTTTTGAAGGAGCCAGCACTTCCCTTGATCGTGATCAACAGGAACATGACCTTCAATTCAACGTAAGATGCTATATTAACATTGCTCCTTGACAAACTGGGCCTGACGCCATAAGACTCTATCACCTCATTTCTGACAATGATTAGTTCCAAGCGTATATCGTGACTGTTTACTAGTAGTGCAGTGTTTGTGATTGTGCCACATTGCCAATGATTCATTACAGCGCTTACCGTCGGTCACTGTGAATGGTCTGCCAATCTCACATATTGCAGTACAAGATACGTTGATTGATGAACAGTGAGTCGACAAAGGTCGAGGTTATTCAAATACCCCATAGATTCTTCGGATGTTACCTCAGAAGCGCTAATTTTTCGATCAACATAACACAGTTCTGTTTAATACAGTTGTAGTATAGTCTGCAAATATGTCTCTCATGTTACAAGGGCGCAATCATCATATAGTTACATGATACACCTTCAAAGAAGTCATGGCAACTGCTCTTGGCCTCAAATGGTAATTGAACTTAGCTTTTCACTATACAATCAAAAATCCAATACAGAACGAATGTCCTGGGTTTGAAGAGCTTTTATACTGATATATGTAGATAGATCATATTTAGTCTATGGCAGTGAAACTCCGGAGGAGTTGTCACTGCTGCTTCTGTGGATGTGATATCGCGCGGGAATTGACAAGAGCCTTCCAGACGGCTGATTGACTGAATCGCAACAATTTCTAAGGGTAGTCATGGGCACCAAGATTCATCCAGCTATGTGACATACATTGCGGGATGACATAGGAATATCCTGTCATCAGTAACGTCTACAAGTGAGATTTTAGCTTCCTTCGAGATTTTGAGTCGACTTTGGTCCTGGCGTTCCTTCTGGATCAGTTGTCTTACTTTGAAAGATCACGTCACATAATCAGGAAGAACAAATGATTGTTTGAAAGTGGATAGTTGGTATTAATATGCAAATGCCTTCTCTACTTGACTCTATCCGTGGTATCACGATAACAACCTATGGAAACATCCGCTAACTAACTCAACCATTTTTTTGATCATACACCATTATGCAGTGCGTCTAGCAAGACAAGTCAGGGCATCCGATGTTTGTGCCATAGACACCTCCGTCGACTCCGGCGATGGTCAAGATAGCACCGATGAAACCACCCAGACCCTCTCCAGCGATGGCACCAGCTGCGACGGCATAGCCATAAATCTCCCAGTTCTTGGGCTTCCACTTGCGCCAGACGGCAGCAATGATGGCGCCGAAGAGAGCAGCGTTGGTGAAGACAGGGAGGGGAATGACGAAGGACAGGGCAATGGCACCCCAGTTGGGAAGCCACTCACGGTACTTCTCACGGCTGCCGACGAGATAGTAGTGACGGACAACGACCTGAATGATGGAGACAACACCCATGACGATGGCGAAAATACCCGAAGACAGAGGGATGTGGACGGCGGGATCGGTAACGGCTTGAGCCACAGCAGCCCAAGCAGACACGGAGGGAACTGCGAAGGGGCAGTGCTCGTACGAGGTGTCGATAATGCAGGGGTATGCAGTGGTGAACAGCACGAACATGCCTGGTGCAAGCCAGACAGAGACGAAGGTACCGATAGCCTGAGCAATCCACTGCTTGAATGGAGGGGTTCCTAGAAGGAAGCCAGTTCGGAAGTCACCAGTCAGAGAAGTGGCAACATCAGCACCACCTGAGGCGAGACCACCGGCAACCAAGTTGATCTTCTGGGCATGCTTGATAGAGAAGTGGGAGCCCGAGGTGGCGGCACCGATGACGAGCTGTGAGGCCTTGGAGGCGGCGGTGAGAGGGGTCTGGTCGGTGACGGCACCGATCTGGATGGCGAGGAAGGAGAAGAGGAAGCCGAGAATGCAGGACAGGATAGTCAGACCCGGGTGCATATCCCACTGGAAGTGGAAAATGAGGATGGCGAGGACGATGGTGGCAATGAGACCGACGATCCAAACCCATGTCTTGACTTGATCCTCAGGGCGTGCGGGGTCCTCGACGATATTCTCGCGCTTCTCGTCGACAATGGCGTGCTTGGCGAAGAAGTCAACGTTCTTCCCGCGCTTCTGGAGCATGCCGTTTATGCCGACGCAGCTCTGGTGCCAAACAGCCTTCATGCCAATCCAGATAACCTTGTACTGAACAAACAGCTCGGCCATCGAGCAGCACACCATGATCATAACACCGGGCCACAGGAGCCAGTATCGAGGGGACGGTGTCTCTTTACCGAGGTTCTTCAGGCTGATGAAGCTATACAGGCTGTCCCAGTGCGGGTCATCAGAGGCCTGCTTTCCAATGCACTCGCCGTAGTGAACGAGAACGGGTCCAATCAGACCCCAGGCAAGGAAGGAACCGATGAACATGGAGATGGCCGAGTTGAGACCAATTAGCATGCCGGAGCCAATGAAGGCGGGTGTCCATTCCATGTACCAGCCCCAAGACTCAATATTCAGTGCCCAGCTGTGGTAGCCAGACCAGATGTGAAACCACGTGAAGAAGTGCCAGTCGTACAGAATGCCGATGGCATAGTATGAGCCAACACGGTGGCAGATAGCCAGGCTGAAGGTGATCATCAAAGCCTTCAGCTTCTTCATGGCCTCAAGACTACCAGCGGCACCGGCATGCATAGAGCGGATAGTCATGGCAGTGGCAGTTGGGGTCGGGAAAAGCATCTTCAGCTCACGAGCGACCTGGATGACAAAGAACTTTCGGAGGGGTGTGACGAAGAACAGACCGAAGAAGGAGCAGACAATGGTGATGGTGAAGATCTTGCCAATGTCCTCCTTGGGAGAACGGCCGTCCATCAGTTCGAGCTGGTACATGGCAGGGATACCGGCGACGAAGATACCAGCGATACCACCGGCTCCGGTAGCAGCGGCCTGGACAATGGAGTTCTCCTGGGGTCCAAATGGACCGCCGAGGAAGGGGAGGTCACCAGCGGCCTTGGCAATGAAGCCAACGATACCGTAACCAAAGATAGCACCGAACATGCTAGCCAAGAAGGTGAAACCGGTCTTGAGACCTGTGCATTGCACGTTAGAAAGTGTGGCATGGTGCCGGGGCAGGGCAACTCACCGAGATACAGATTCGAGGCATTGACTAGGGAACCGAGGACGACACCAACGGCGATGGCACGGAAAGTCAGAATGTGCTCTTCCTTGCGCAGGTTGGGGTCCATGGGAAGAGGTCTGTAGAGGTCGAGCTCTTCCTCCTCCTCGTCAACCTCGACCTTGACTTCCTCCTTGACATCCCCCATGGTCTCAACCGGGGGGTTGCCCTCGGCGAAAGCATGGACGGGCGGGTAGGTTGCTTCTCTAACGTCCGCCATGGTGTACGAATATGAACAGGCAATTCGACACCTCTGGGTATGGTGATATGGGCTAGATGGGAAAGAGAGGGGATTGCCAGACAGACGGGACGATGGGAATCGCGTGGTATTTATGGACTTGGGGGTGGACCTGAGCCATCACTGCAACGGGCAGGCCACAAGAGGGCACCCCCCCGTCGATCACCAATTTAAGCTCTCCCAAGGACTGTCCTACCGTACTCATTCTGTGACTGACAACGGATGCTCCGTGCAAGCTACTCGAGTACGGGCAGGATGCAGGCGGTCCAGGAGAGTCGAGCCGCGGGCTAGACTAGGCGTCACGGATGGTAGACCTGATGGGATGGTGTACCACCCTGGAGCAACCGTCCCCCCCTGTCGCCGGCCGGCTACCCCTGTTCATTCGTACATGGACATGTACTCGAGTCTCTTGGTTCTCAGGTTCTCTATAGGGCAAACCCGCAGATGCATGCACGGATATTCAGCATCCAAGTCCATCCACCCATGATTCCATGTTCCCAAGTGGCCTGCTGGTCCCCTTGCCACCCGCCTCTTCTGGAGCACAGGCAACTAGCAGGGATTAGGATCCGAGATAAGAGAGGGTCGAATGAGACGGCAGAGCTGGGGGCCATTCCACTGCCTGTGGTTGGCTGGGGGGTGGTCAATCAAGGGCAAATGCAAATGAATGCATTGAAAAGGCAGCGATCAGTGCGATGGTCACCACTCGCCTCGCGTGTGCGTGCCACAGGAGGACAGGGACAGTTCAACCCCGTGTCATTACTGATTACTGCTGCATGGTATCCCGCCGCCGATAGCTCAATTCAAGAGGTGGAACCGGCTGGACCGCATTAGGCAGGTCAAGGACGTTGCATTCTCGAGGCTCTTCAGCCAGGCAGATCGCGACTTGACTGAACCGAGGACTCAACTAGAGCCAGCGGAGCTATTATCTGCAAAGAGAAGCAGCCGCGGTTTTCTAGAACAACGCTGGCGTGGAACTCGGATGGTTAGTGAGTTGGTTCGTACGGTAACTACGACTCGTGTGCAGATGAGTTGAAGAGTGACCAGCCTTCCCCCGTCCCTCCAACCTGCCAATGCCAGCCACGACAGCCACGACAGGCCACCCGGAGAATTGCGATAGAAGAAGCTTCTCTGGGGCCGGCGCGGCAGCACCCTGAATCTTGACTCGGCGCAGCTCGGCGCTGCAAGGTCGACGATGAGGATGCATTGATCGCCCTCCCAAGACTTCTTGGCCTCGGAACTCGGAAAGCAGCCGCAGAGAGACAGACCTGCAACTTGCAACTCCAGCAACAGCTAGACTGACTTGCCTGCGTTGTGCTATACAAGAGTATCAAGTTGTGTCTCTTTGGTTTGGTTGATCATCATTTTTTTTACATGCACCCACAACGTCCGACTAGCAATCAGACATTCACACCACCGATTCGATCTGCCATCGCTTGAGTCGCATAGCGCTCGATCGAGATAGTCCGCCGTTCTTAGGCGTCTGTCTTGGCCCACACACCTGTCCGGCTGTTGTGCATTTACCGTCGCTGGTTAGTGCAACAGCGTGTGCCGCACCCTACTAAGAGCGCCACCCGACTCAGGATTGCAGCTAAGGTGAAGTCTTTCAGCACTTGTCTTCAGGTGGCCTGTTTGCCGGTGTGAATATCGCCTCAGTCTCGCCGGCATGAATGCGCTCATCAGTGCGCTGGGATGAAACGAAAGGTGTCGGACATGGCGCACTAATTGGCGCATTTTCGACGATCTGAAGTGTTCAATGTATGATGGCGAAAGCCTCTTTGCAGGCAAGATATCCAATGCTTGTGAGTCTTCTTAGTTACGATCCTGAGGAAGAGCCTCCAGCAGTGAACTCGGCGCAGATGGCAGGCTGCTAGCTGGCAGAGGCCCTACATCGTCTACAGTACATGTCCGTGTCAAACCTGTCTCGTTGTATCTTCCTTTTCCAGGTGGACGTTGCCGGCCGTCTCCCACTATCATAGTAACCATGCTGGTGCGATCTCCATCAAATGTCAGACCAGATATCTCGTAGGGCGCGCAGAAAGAGGCCGAGGAAGGCCGGCGGGGCGCTGTGAGATGCCAATCTGCTCGCTATCCTCGATCCAATAACACAATACAATCGCATCGCCCATTGCTCTGGATGGCCTGAGCTTGGTCAAGCCACGTCCCGCCGCCCGTATAGGGCCCGCTGCTGGCCTACCAGTCCAATTGCTTACGGTCCGGTCTATTTCTACTGACCTTCCCCCCAGAATCCAAGGGCGGTCTTGGCATATTGGCCACGAGTCCACTCAGTGCGCCTCTGTGGGATCTGATTCGACTTCTACGGCGTGAGCTCCCCCTTCTAGACGTGTTCTAGCCTCAGCTCACTAGTATCGATCGGGCAGGTCATATCACCCCGGCAAGCCATCCAAACGGCCACCTCCATCCCCGAAGCCTCTAATTCGAACTGGGCTGTCCACCAAGCAGCTTCTGTAGAGAGGTTGCCGCGCCGGCTGGCGCCAGCCACCTGGCTCATTGCACATGCTCAGAACGGTAGCTCCCCGCAAACATGACAGCAGGGTGGATGGCCGAGGGAGGCGGCTGGTCTGGGCAGCGGAGATCCTCGATGCTTGTCCTCGACTCTAACGGAACGACCCCGATGGGTTCTTCTACCGTAGTATGGGTGAATGGCAAGTTGAATGACAGATCATCCTCTCTCGACTTGACTTGACTGCTCGATCTCGCCCCATCTGCTCGTGCTTTTCCTGATTCAAGTGTGCCACGAACCACGGCCCTTCTCTCGTACACCAGATAGATCGCCCTATCAGGCGCCAGTGCCCCGTAGGTCGCGTCTATTGGCCCAGTTGCGTATCTTGTAAACGGATCTTGTCATAGATCTCATCAGCGTCACGCCACAGCAGCTTACTGCGTTTCGTGCCGCAGACCAGAGAAAGACCTAACCCAGAGACGCTACAAAGCACACACGCTAAAGAGCCTGGATGCATCTCACTAACGGAGTGCTCATTCTCCGGACCATTGGCTACCAGCTTGCGACACAGTTCACGACTGTCGATGGATCCACTAGCTGTGATCGAGCCGTGGAGCCGTGCAAGCTGCTGTGGCGCTGGGGATCCCCATCCTCCAGCGCACTTACCACTGTCACCAGGCTGAGAAGGGAAGCTGCATGTAACGATAAGCCAGGGTAATCAGGCATCTGGATTCTGGATGGGCTAGTTCTATTTCCTACACGCCTAGAGCTTCAGGATACGGGGTCAGGCTTGCCAGACTCGGATGAATTAATCGAGATTGAAGGAATAGGCCTGATGATGGATTCGACAAAGTTCGTTTGTTTTGCGCCCTTGACAAGCCAAATGTTGGCCGGACAAGGCAGGTGCATACAACTGCTATCGGCCGAGACAAGCATATGGATGGATTATGGATGGTTCTTGACCTTTCGCTCTCCTCGGATTGCGGACCTGATTTGGTACGCCGACGCACCTATCCTGCATCAACCCAGTCGAGCCAGTGAATCATTGTCGTCTGCTGTAGGCACACTGGCACATAACTCGGCCACCGGCACGTCCCCTGCTGCTCTTACTGTATGGCAATGCAACCAGGGCCTGGATAATAAAAATAGGTGCCTTGGCCAGCAGGCGGCCCCATTTCCAAGGTCGGGGATGTTGTGGGGAGCGTAATTGACACTGGGTATATCTCACGGATGTTGCATATAGCACTATATTGTGAATACAGTCGACTGAACTGGCTAGATGAAATGCTATACAATGCCATGCAGAATCACCACCATCTGGAGTGAATTTGAGCCGTCTGATGCATCCTTTACACTCAAGCCCTTTTCTCCGTTATGGCACTTGAACGGCCCTCTGATAGGGACAGAAGAAGTCGCGTTGCGTTTCTGCAAGTGACGGAAATTCCCCGGGGTCTTTGCGAATGTCCGGGAGCTCCTATCTTGTGTTGAATTCAGGCCTATAGCGTCTTGAGTAAGCTGACGCCTGCTTTTCTTATCACATCTAGTACTGCTTCTAAGATAAGAATCACGAGGTTAGTATCAGCGAGCTAGTATACGCTTTGAAAAAGGTTAAGAACGATCCGATCCGATAAGGATTGTGGTTGAGCCGTATACTCTGACCAAGCATTACCTCTGACGTCTGACCCAAGGAAACTTGTCGTAGTCGCCCATCGTAGCTATGGTGATTTGTGTCAGTGAGGCATACATCGATCGATCTAGTCGTCCGCAATACACACTATCATCGGGTTTAATCATGATCTGAGATGTTCTTGTCTCGTCTGGCACGTATCTCGAGGCCAGGGATCTTCACCTGCTCGCCTATCGGGAGGAGTCCGCGACCTGGTCTAGAATCAAATGACAAAATGATCCGCATTCGAGGGAAGAGTTCCTGCGATTTTGCCTTGCTGATCAGCTGGCTAGGCACGACGATCGATGGTAATGACCACACCCTGATCCGGAGGCGAAGGGACAGACGGATGGAGAAGAAGGGGCCCCCGATGCGCTACAACAACCCTGGCACGCCGACCTGCAGCACAACCTAGCTTGAGAGCATGGTACCGGGCTAGCGTGTGATGCCTTATTTCGGTCTGTTGCGGCTCGAGAGTAGCGAGGAGAAGGATGCCAGATCCGATAGTAGCCTTGGGTGTCCCATCGCCACGGAACCAATATGCGAACTGGGACGATGTGACCTTCCCTTCTCAGACTTTTTCGAAGTCTTTCTGGATTCCTGAGTGTCGCATCCCTTGTCGAGGTTGGTTCTTGATTCTAGTGTTGAGTAAGCTATGGTAACTATCGTTATTGAACAAGATTCCTTGCATGAGCCTCCTGGACCGCCTTCCTGTAGGTGAATTGAGCGTAAAGCACCGCCAGTCAAACCTAACGACTCATATTGCCATGAGGATAGTTTCACTACCTTCTGTAGTAAGGTGCCTTACACACAATAGATCTCGATTTGATCAAACGTTCCTGTTGAGCGAGAGCCGTGTGTTGCTGACCAGGGCACGAAGAAGCACACCATGGGAGACTCCCGGTGAGCGAGTGAGGATGCTGCCATCAATCTTGACAGAAAAGAATCCTGCTCATCAGCAACGCAAACCGTCCCCTGGTTTCTTCCATCACTGCTTCTCATCTTGTTCTACCTGCCTCTGCTCCCACTCACTCTCTAGGACCGAGTAAAGCAACACATCCCACCATTTGCGATCATAGAAGTGGACTTGTCGCCGTCTAAAGTCATATTGATTAGCTTCAAGTGACTGAACAGACTTCAACAAAAGGACCGAGAGCGAATGTTCGAGTAGCAAAGACACGGTTTTTTTTGGAAGTGAGCATGTTGTGAAGGCCGAGCAACCACTCTGTCACTCACCGTCCCTCCAACACAAAGCCAGCTTTCTCGTACACCTTCTGCCCTCTCGTGTTATACTCGACGCACCCCAGTGTTACACTGTGCATGTTTGCGAACCGAAACGACCAGTCGAGAACCCATTTCAAGGCTTCTGATCCATACCCCTTGCCCTGATAAGGGGCTGCAATGGTGATGCCGAGCTCTGTGCTGCGGTGATGGTGCAGATATTTGGGACCAAAGCCGCCCCAGTTGAGACACATGAATCCAATCGGGATTGGTTCAGCCTTCTGCGGATCTTTAAAGGCTTTCTCATCGGTTGACGACTGATCCTCCGTGGACGATTCGTCTGCTGGGAGGCAGAGTACAACAGCGAGAAGACTCTTGGCCAAGTCATCCGTCATGGCGTCCTCCGCCTGGCGGCTGCGAGGCGCGAGGAGCCCTGGGTCACTGAGGGCATAGTTCACGGGGTCGCTTGTGATCTGCTCATAGCAGAATGCCTTGTCCTTCTCGTCGTTCTGAAAGGCTCGGTAGATGAGACGTTCCGAGCGGAACACTTTGACTAGGCTGTCCGTGATCATTTCGTCCTTGTTAGGTTGAAAGTGATAGTAACCAAAAGATGTTGCCCTTTTACAAGACCATATGATCTAGTTCTTGTGAGGATAAATATAAACAGAAACGGAAAGGAGTTAAGCTATGCCGTATGCTCGCCTTCGTTGCTTGAGGTGCGTGAGACTCCTCTGCAAATCCTACCGAGCTTCTACCAGGCAAGGAAACCCAAGCAGGTCGAATCCGAGGGAGCTGATTAGTATTCAAATATATCGTCCACTTATACGCTTCTAAGGGATGCCGGGCAGGCGGGAGACCGTCTTCTATAGCTACGGCGACGTTACTTCGCCAATCGTTAGATCCCCCGAAGGTGGAGAGATGAGCCGAAGTGAGTCACCCGGAACCCCGCTGTTCAGCACCGGCAGATGCACTGCACGGCGCATCCGTCCACCGCCCACCGCCTACCCGCCCGGTGCTTCAAGTACTGTAGCAGTACGCTACAGCATTGTCCTTTTCAGGGGGAGCTCAACATTCTCTCGCTCTGTCAAGGCGACTTCGCTCCAATCGTGTCTATAAAGATAATTCAGAACTTGTGATCAAATTGATATACATTTTGATGCGCCGGAAAACAAACTCCTTTTCGAAGTTGCACAAGCAGAACGCCGGGGGTACCCAGAACTTATCTCATCAAGCCAAGATGCTTGGAGTCGTTCACAGAACAAGTAGAGCCTCAACCCCTGAAGCCCAATACCATGCCATGGCACATCTCGTCCTGGCATATATTATATCCCAAACGCCGTAGTTTATAAAGTACAGAATGCACGCTCTTCGTCGTCAATACCATCCATCATGATATGTGAGATATATATTGTTTAGCCATCCCTAACAGGAGCTTCGCGTGCCAAAACGGATATGAACACCATTTCCCCTCTACGCGACTCTACCCGCCACTCACAGAGCCTGTGCCGTCATGAAAGATCAGCATTGGCCACTGTCCGCCATGATTAGATGCTGCAACGGCTGCATCGCCCCCGACGCTCATGTCTCCGGGGCCGTCGCTCCGTTGCCCGTTGCCGAGTGTCAACAGAGCATTCGCGCTGTACCGGTCTTGACTGTCTGCCATCGCGGCTGTCCAGTCGTGCCAAGTGTTTTGTCCCGCCATGGCCCGGGCCCACTCGTCTCCTGCTTGATGCGAGACGTGCTGCGTCGCTTGACTGGCAAAAGCGACTAATGGATTATTTGCTGCTTGGTGAGCGCTCCCAGCCGTTGTTGCTGCCGCAGCGGCTGCCGCCGCCGCCGTAGCAGCATAAAGATATTGTGTAGAGTCTGTCGGATCGTAGCTCTGCATTGGATTGCCATTCTGAGCTGGTACAGAGCCCTGGTCGGCATAAGCAAGGTGATGATAAGGGGTGGTGGCTGTGGCGATGGATGGGTCGTAGAATGTTGGGTTGTCTGCTGGTGTGACCCTTGTACCAGTAGAAGCATCGATTGGAGTCGTCTCGATACCGTTTGGCGTACTCGTGACTTGCTGATGATGTGATGGAACCGAGTCGTACGCCTCTTGTTTGATATGATTCGACATTATAGGGGTCTGCGTATGCTGTGATGTGGACGTAGTACCATTCTTGTGGCCCATATCATGCTCAATCAGAGTAATGGTTCGTTGGATGATGAGGCTAACCTCGTTGCTTAGGCGGGGACCGCACCCTATGATCATATTAGCTGTGATTGCCCTCAGGATTTGTGTCGTTTTGTTGGCTCTGATGCCTACCAAGAAGGCTCTCGATGCCCACAAGAATATTGATCCACATGTTCATCTCATCCCTCAAAGTGATAATCTCGGTCGTTGTTATCGTAAATCGTCTTTCCCAGTCGGCGACTAGCATTGTGAAGATAGCCGCCACGTACACCGACATCTGGTACCATGTTGTGTCAAGAGACTTGAGTCTGAGGAGACTATCGACTACCTTCAGAAGTTTCCTTGCTGTCTCCTGACATATACGCGTGTTCTCTGCGCATATCTTGGCATCCGAAGTCATGCAAACAGACGGATGTCGCAGGCACAGTCTGAACTCCAGACTGAAAGCCTGCGTGTAAAGCGCCAGTACTTGGTTGCCAGGCTTACACTTCTCTACCTTGAGCTCATCAGGTAGCTGGTCGTGCCATAGTCGATATTGCTCTTCGAGGCTTTGAACCGTTTCAACATATCTTCGAGGATTTCGACGGACGATGTACACACTGCTCCACATCTCAATGTACAGGGGCAAGATCCTGAAAGCCGCAAGGCCGACAAGGTAGCCACACTGGCCGATCCTCGAGGGATCAGTTACGCCGTTCTCCGTCAGCACCTCATCAGGAATCGCCAACGGCAGTTCAACATCGAATTCATCGAGGCCAATGGGCATGGGACGACCGAGACGGCCGTGGAGAGTGACGACGACGGTGAGGATGCCCCACCATGCGCGCTTCCTCATCTCGTTCTCCAGATCTGTGGCCTCGTTCGCCCGCTTGCTGGAGCGGTGCAGATTCATCTCAATGGCTTTATTAAACACAAAAACAGCAACAAGGGTGCCGGACCCCGGCTTCGGAAAAGAGCGAGTATGGCAAGCAATCATGGCGAGTGCCTGGACTGCAGTGAGAGTCGCGGCAGAAGCCAGGTCGTAGAATTTGCTCAGGCACCAATGGTAGTGCTTGTTGGACAGATCGTTGAGCTGCTCTCGCCTGGCCGGATCTTCATGATTGCGCACTCCGTACTGGAAGTATATGGTTGCGAAGACCATGTGGACCAACACAAGCTCCGCGGTCGAAGGTTTGAAGGATGGGTCGTCATATATGCTTGCTAGCTAATAACACACTCGAATTAGATTCGCTTCGAGAATACTTGCGAACAGACTGTATGGCTTACCAGTTTCATGTAGGATGGTTTATGGAGGAGAGGTATGAAGGGGTAGATCATGAGGAAATACCACTCCGAGTATGTGAAGGCGTCCTCGCGGGACGGCAGGCCAACATGATCCAGTGGAGGATTGACTCTCATCGTTGAGTTGAGGAAGGCTTGGACGGACTTGTTGAAGAGAGGAGAGGTGATCTGAGCGCCAGGAGGAGGCCCGTCCATATCCGGCGCATCGAAGGAGGTGATGTCGATCGTGGTTCCGAGGATAGAGAGCTGAGTCCCCTTGATGGAGCTCAGGGGCGCGCTATCAGTCATGACGCCAAGGTGGCTGTCTGCTGGTCTTGGTTCCAAGGCGGCGGGAAGAAAGTAACCCGTGGAAAGAGATTGGGGCTTCTGCTGGTAGTTCTTCACCCATAACGAGCCGACCTGGCTCCATTGGTCCTTGGAAGAAGCCGGATCGTTGACCGGATTGCCCATTGCATCAAAGGCGACGGCAGAGCTGCTGTAGGCAGGACCGAATGCGGACCAATGCCAGGGGCGCACCTCGATGCCATTGCTCTCGAGCAGCTTCTCCATGTCGCGGATATGCGACAGCATGTCATTCTTCTCGCGCTCGAGTTCCTGTAAATAGCCGCGGCGCTCGGTGCGGCCGGTAACGCGATCGGTAACGTAGCAGGCGAGACTCTGGTTGGCGCAGTGAGAGCAGCCTTCGGGGAGGGCATCGCAGCGTATCTTGCGAACCTGTGGGACAGAGGAGAGACAGGGTTAGTCCATTGGCCCAAAACGAGACATGTGCGAATTCTCGCAGCAGAGGAGTCCTTCAAAGCTGCCCCGTACAGGAGGTCTTTGTGAGTGAGGAGAAAAGCAGAAGGAGGAAGGGGCTAAGAAGCCCGGTCTTTGGAAGCATATCTCTACATCTGTGACAGACGACAGCAACGCACCTTGCAGCGATCGCAGGCCTGGCCGGTGCGGGTATAGGACTGCAGCTTGCTCTTGACCACGGAGGAGAAGTCCTCTGGCCCGCGATCCAGTCTCGGAAGCTTCACCTTGGAAGTAGCGGACGAGGGGCTGTCGCCGTTCGGGGAATCGAGGAGCGCATCGTTGGATCGTTTGAGTGGGCGATCGGAGGACATCTTCGGTGACTGGGGCGACATCGTCGGCAACGGCGGCGAATGCCTGAACAAGAAGGCCCCAGCAGATGCATGTACACTGACGCCTCTATGCCCCTTATGTCCTCACGCCCTCACACGCAGCCAGAGCACCAATGGCGCCTGGGAGGAGGAGGGACGGTGAGTCGCCACGGTCTGCCCTGCCCTGCGCGCGGAGCAGATCGACAATGCACAGCACTTGAGAGCACCGGCGATGCTATCGAGATACCTCACCGGTACGGTAGGTCTGTTAGGTAGGTCTGGTAGGTCTGGTAGGTCTGGGACGTGTGTATAAGTCTATAGACAGATAGATAACTTCGTATCGCAAATCGGCGGCTAGAGCAGGCGACAGGCGGCAGGCGGCAGGCGGCAGGCGGCAGGCGGCAGGCGGCAGGCGGCAGGCGACAAGCGCGCGCGCCCTTACAGCTGCAGGTGACGCTGGCGTCGCCGGAGAGTCGAATAGCGCGCGAGAATAGGGCAGCTTGGAGGCTAAAGCCGGGGATCGTGGTGATTGTTGACGGCGACGATGGCGGATGGACGGATGGAGACGGACGAGGACGATGACGATGACGACGAGGAGGGCCGGGGACGGGGTTTGCCGCGTAGGGCAGAGCAGACAGCTGAGCTCAGGGAGGTTGATGCTTGTGGCAGGCGAGAGTTCACTTAACGTCAGGGGGCCTTTCATTGGGGGCATAGTATAAGTTAACGTTAAGGGGGGTGAGTGTGTGAGTGGCAGGGAGCGAGCGGCAGTTGGTGGAAGTTGCCGGCGCCGTGGCCATGGTCGTGGGCGTGCGGTAGACCCCCAAAAGACCCCTAAGACCCCTTAGGCACCCCTTAGGCACCTCTTAGGCCCCTCTTAGGCACCTCTTAGGCCCCTCTTAGGCCCCTCTTAGAAACCCCCTTAGGCGCCCGGGCCTTACTGCACAGGGCGTAGAGGGGTCGCCCTAGATGCTGCTAGCAAACCTTACCAAGGTACTGCATACTACGCAGTAGTACTTGCGGCACTTCAGGAGGTCTCGCTCTTGACGTGCCTGAATCAGGACTCACCATTCCTGCTCACCCTCGAGTAAGTCGGCAAAGACAGTCTTGTCTGTTAGGTAAAGTACGAAAAACGCCGTCTTTCGGCATGTATCAGCGTATTGGGCCATGTACATGTACTACATGGCATGGCATGACTGACCTGTGCAAGGCCAGCAAGGTGAACCCTGGAAAGTGAGCAGACATACCCTCGGGGGCTGCTCAGGTCCCTCGGGGGCTTTCATGAGGTAAACAGAGTGTAGAAGGGAATGTTGTCGCTGCGGATTCATCAACATTAAAAAACAACTTGCCGTACGGGCTTCGTTGTGCTTTCGGTATCATATCATACAGCTGTGTAATGAAGAGGGTAAACGCAGGTCTTATCATGAGTTCTAAGATAAAGATATTGGCTTCACTTGAGATATTGTCGGTCGGATAGGATAGGGACACCTCCAGCCAATGACACCTCATTCACATCCATTGAATGGGTGGTGAGTAGTGAGGCCCGAGATGTATCATGTCATGCAAGGTACTTCAGAAGACCGGATGGTGTCATTGCCTCGCTCTCATAGACTGCACAAGTACCGGTAGGTCAATCATGTCGGTTTACAAGCCTCGGATTCTGCATTCTAGTCCTAGTCCGAGCATGGCAGAATGCCTGGATAATGGCAGGCAATCGCATCGCAGTCGCAGCGGTTCAACCCTATATATCTCTATCTCACAGTCACAGAAACAGAACCCACTTCCAATGGCCTTTCGAGCAACAACTCATACTGCTGGCACGCGACGCTTCAGGTCATTCTTGATTATATAATCCTTTACAGAATCTCTTCAAGCAAGACACTTCAATAGAGAAAGCTCCAATCTACTGCTTCTCGGTCACGGCTGGTGAAAGCCACTATGCGACCAGGCGACCAGGCCCCTAATCCATCCCATTAAAATCAACTACTATGCTGTCCGTTTTGGAAGGTTTTTATTGATCTAGGTCATCCGGCCCAGGTTGGACGCCTCGACCGTGGTGGCCTGGCCCATGCCGATCGGGACGGGCTGCACCGGCCTCTCAACTTGAACGGTCGACTGCTTCTCGTCGCCAATGGCCTCCGGGCCGCCGTCGACCGACTTCAGAGGAGTCGCATCCGTCACGCCAAAGAGCTTGTCCATGGCCTCGAGCGACATGCCCTTGGTCTCCGGCACCAGGAACCACACAAAGAAGAACATGGAGAAGCAGAAGCTGCCAAAGATGAGATACGTTCTACAAGGAAAGGTGTCAGCACTTGAGCATCGTTTAAAGAGAGCAGGCAGGATGCAAGGCACTCACCCATAGCCGTGAGATCCGACTGTGACAAGCATAGTCGGCACCGCACGAGCCACAACAAAGTTAAATAGCCATTGCGTGGCTGCGGCATACGAGACGTTCATGGATCGCAGGCGGGCTGTTGGGATCTCACTGGCGTAGATCCAGCAAGCAGGGCCCCAACCAAACTGGAAGAATCTGTGCTCGAGTGTCAGCCAACCGTTTCTGAGTGCAGAGTCAAGTTCTGTGGAAAGGGGCATCTTACGCGGCGAAGAGGAAGATGCAGACCAGCGCAACATAACCGGCAGGCGGCACAGAGTCTCCCGAGATAGGGGGCTTGATCCGGACATACAAGCCAATGTAGAACATGGCCAGCCCCTGCGCAATCGAGGACAGAAGGAGGGACCGCCTTCGTCCAAACGAGTCCGCCATGAACAGCAAGAAGCAGATACAGGACACGACCTTGACAATGCCGTAGACGCCCGTGCTGAACAGCGAGGACGACGTCTTGCTGATGCCTAGGTTCTGGAAGATGGTCGGAGCATACACATTGATCGCGTTGGTGCCCGTCATCTGTTGGCAAATCATGAGGCCGATGCTGATGAGGGCGCGGTTACGGTTACCCTTGATGGTCCACATCTCCTTTTGCAAGTTGTAGAAAGTGGCATCACCAATGAGCTCGCGCTCGTGCTCGAGCTGGTCGACGATCTCCTGGAACTCTTCCTCAATGTAGGGATGAGTCGTTGACAAGTTGCGGAGGCGGGCGAGGACATTCTTGGCCTCCTCCCATCGATCCTGACGTGCCAACCAACGGGGCGACTCGTTGCAGAGCGTCATGCATCCTGCAAGCAACAGCGCAGGGAGGGCTTGGATAGCAAGGGGGAAGATGTACATGACCTTGCCGGACATGTGAATCGAAACCGAGTAATTGATCCAGAAGGCAATCATGCCTCCGGTCACGATGAACAATTGGTACATTCCGGTCAGCAGTCCACGGATGGCTCGCGGTGCGTTCTCGGAGACGTAAAGGGGGTTGATGGAACTGGCGGCTCCTACTCCGAGGCCCGAGACGAACCGTCCGACGTACATGGCAGCCAGATGGCCAGATGCGGCGGATTGCATGATGATACCAGCGAGAATGACCATTGCAACGCCGACAAGGCACCACTTTCGCCCGTAGCGGTCTGTCAGTGGAGAAGCCGCGAGAGCACCAACGAAGCAACCAGCCTGGAGAGTCGAGACAATGTTGGCAGACAAGTTGGCGGAAGCCTTCGATTTAGGGTCGCCTAGACCATAATCCTGAACGAATGGGGGGAGCACAATAACTCCTCCGATGACTGAAGAGTCCCAGCCAAAGGACATGGCGCCAAAGCAGGCGGAGGCGGCCAGGAGGTAGACTCTCCAGCCATAGATCTCGGGGGGATCAGTGTGCATAGAATCATTGTGAACGATCTTTTGCAAGATCTTGACCGTGGCGGACGGCATCTTGCCGACTGAAGCCTCTCGTGCTGGCGAGAGTCCTTTTGAGAATAGAATGTCGATATTGTCGAGGACACACGAGCTTCACGTCGCTCACTGCGAGTGCGTCTCCGAGAGAAAAACAACTTCCAATTGACAGCTGCGAGAAACAACACGAGGGACGTTGGATATTAAAGGCTATCGCAAAGCATGCCAAGTCGCATGGAACCACCCCGATGCCCATTCTTGCAGTGACCACTCTGCCGGGCTAAACGCAGTCCAGCAGGCTCATTTGCTTCGATCCCCTACACTCCGGGCCGCTGACCACAGGGTCCCTTGTACTGTCCTTCCCCAGCTGTACCCAATCGCACATTACTCACTTTCTGAGATAACCCAGCTGTCCAAGACGGGTGGCAATTTTCCCACCAAGCGGAATGGCGGGCGTCTACCCAAAGCCTAGGGTTCTTGGCGGTAGCCATGTGCCAGAGGTCCTAGAGCGCAATATCGACGCGTGCCAGACAGGCAGAGCTGTTGATCTCGACAGCGGTTGCTGGTCGGTCCAATCCTACAAGAGTCCTCAGGGAATGGGGGAATGGCACATGCTTGCATGGCAACTCTTTAGACTCTTGGCATCGGTGAGATGGACGCTGGTTTTGTATCAATCCGCCGAGGAGAGGCAGGCCAGCGACCACCCGAATCCAATCATGACCCTGTAGGTCAGAAGAATGAGTCCACCAACTGTAGCTGTGTAGGTCCAGTCCCGCAGGAGTTGCCATCGGCCATTTAGCCTGTTGTGGGGGTGGAGTAGACGAGTCTTAGCCAGATCCGCCCATCCCCGGCTGGCAAACCATGCGGAGATTCAAGGCCAGGGCCAGGACCAGGACCTTGCAAGACAATGGCCAGCGCCGCGTGCGGGGAAACGACACGGATATCCAAAACGAGATAGCTACAGTAATCTCTGACATTGGCGAGCTAGAACACCTGATCGTCCGCTATCTGTTCGGTCAGCCTGGTGGCGTACATGAGCAGATGTGCAGATGCAGTGTTGCCTCGCCCTGTGCAACTTGTACAAACGCGCTCGAGTGCTTCATCCAAGGGAAGAGCTGGTCTGATCATCAATTCCTTGAGGATTTGCGATCTTCCAGTTCCGTAGTCGCGTTATCCGTGTGTCGTACATCTTCAGCGGACATTTATAGAGAATATCTTTGATGTTTCTCGGGGATTCCTTTTCTCGGTTGGTCGGTCTGTAGGATCGCGGTCTCCCTCGGCCTACTTGGCGAAGGTCAGCTTTGATCGAGTTGCAAGCGCCAAGATTTAGGTCGAGGATCGATTTTGATACGAATATTTATGTGTCTTTGTCTATTTGTATGGACTTTTGTTTTTGCTGGCCAGCTTCCAAGAGTTACAATGCTGGCTACTTATCAGCCAAGAAAAGCAATTGCTAGAAGCCTTACACGGGAAAATTCTGTCCACGAATCATGATGAACGACAGAGCCAATCCATCTACAAACAAAACGATGGCTTCTGTTGGTGGCCACCCTTGCAAAGCCTGCCGATTACCCATACCTGACGCCATTTTGCGTAAAGCCTCCATGGTCTGGAGCTGAACGGCACAAGCCGCCACGAAGCTTGTCGTCCTAAGGCCGTTCCTTGATCCCAAACCCCTGTTTCCTGGGGTACGGCAGTGTCTCCGAGCGACAGCATGCCTTTTCACTCCTACCGTCACGGTCCTTGGACCGGACCCTGCACATCGTACCTATGTTCTAAACGGAAACGCTTTTCAGCAAGATGTTATTACTTCATACCGTGGTTGGCAGTATGCTGCTTACTACAGTTCCCTTCCAGGCGGAGCAAAGGAACCTCTCTTCATTCATTTGTCCCGCAGGAAACTGCCTCATGAGCCATGGGAAACTTTGATATTTGATGACTACCCACAGACAACTGATGACGGGCACAATACGATACAGATCGGAATATGTCCAGGAGATGGTACAATCCACTTATCCTATGATCACCATTGTGACATGTGAGCCGCCATGACAATGTCTTGATGCAAGAGCCTAATTATTGTGCTGTAGACTGCGATATCGCTATTCCGTACGTCATCTAGCAACAACCCCAGAGCAGTTCAGCTGGCTGTCGAACCAATTCACTCCGCATCTTGATTATCTTCCCGGGCTTCCCAGTACACATAAACATTTTGGTTACGTGACCTACCCACGTTTTGTTTCTGTAGAAGACGATCTTCTTTTATCCTTTCGTGATGGTAAAGCTGGACTTGGCGACGACCACCTTTACATTTATCGGTCATCAACAGGATTCTTCTCGTTTGTTGGCACTCATTTGACCGGGGTGAATAGCAATCCTTACGTCCATGGAATGGACTATAGAGATGGTATGCTACACGTCACATGGGTATATCGGGGATTCGTATGGTATGAGGGCTGGGATGACCTCCAAGACACGAAACATAAGCGACAAGCTGGTCCGAATAGCAACGTTAATAACCACAACATTTGCTATGCATACAGTGATGATAAAGGGTATACTTGGAAGAACGGCAAAGGGATGATCATAGCGAACTTAAAAACCGGTGGCACAATCAGGCCGGACTCGGATGGCATCGTTGCTTTCAACATACCTAAAGGAAGCGGTTTATCAAATCAAGAGAGCCAGGCTGTAGACCAGAACGGCGGTGTCCACATCCTGAACCGTGATACGCTAGATGGAAGTCACATGTGGAAGCATTATTACCGATCCCCAGAAGGTGAACACACCCTTGCATGATTGCTATTATTACCTGAAGTAGCTGACAAGCACACAAGGAAGATGGTCCTCTCATCCGATAAAACCAGTTGACGGGAACAAGCGTGGACGACTTGCGGTGTCTAAGGATGGAAACTTGCTATTGATTCTCCCGGATTCAACATCATTGACCGTGCGAGTATTCCTGGCCACCAAGGCAAATAATTATGCAACCTACGAAGAGATCTGGATAGGACATGGTCTATCATATGAGCCTATGGTTGATACCGCTCGGCTCTCTCAGGATGGCATTTTGTCTCTGTTCATCCGTCAAGATGTTGATGGCTTAGAGGACAAGAAAGATATCGTAGTCATGGACTTCAAAGTGTAGGCCAATGGGTTTAAATCTTGTGCTGGCGTCAGTTTTGAGATTGAGCCTGCATGAAGCAGTCCTCGCAATGTCATCTAAAGCGGTCACGCCGCAATGCCATGCTTCTCTCCACTATCACCTCCCTCGCCTTCAACAACCCCCTCAGTGATCAGATCACGTCTTTGTTCCTCGGTCAACGCATGACCTGTTACTCCTTCAACTTCCTCGAGAGTGGCCTTTGGACCTGTGAACCATTTCCTGGCGTTCACAAAGTAGTAAAGGGTTGCTCCACCCCAAACGGCCATGTTCACGACCACCGTGTAGTTCATAGCCTCGGAGGTTGGATTTGGACCGCCGACTGGGAACATGGCCAACAGAATACCAAAGACCAAGAATGCTATCGCAAACCAAGCGATGGGAAGCGAGAAGCGCCCCGTGTGAAATGGCCCGGGGTTGAACTTTGATCGCCCCCAAACAGCTCTAGCAAAGATTGGAATACCCCAGGCGAGATTGTTGCCTGCAACGGCCAGAGAGAATAGGGCAGACGCGGCAGCTACAAGTCTGCTGTTAGCCTCTCACAGCCTATCAAGTAGGCATGGGGATTCTCACCAGGGGCAATCAAACAGAGCAAACCCAAGATCACTGCAACGAATACAGCTCCCCACACCGTGCGAACCGGGATATACCCGAAGGTTTTGGACTTCGTCAGGTCAGACTTGGCTCCAGGCTTATCATGGTGGCTTGAAGTGTCAACTTACAATTGGACGAAAGAAAGACGAGAAGGGGAGCGCTCCGTCACGCGAGAACGCCCACATTTGACGAGATGCAGCTACTGTGATGGACAGTCCCATCAAGTATTGGGTGATGAACAGGAATGCCATAAAGCCCATAGCACCTTCTTTGCCGAGAGCATCGTAATACATCTGAGCCATCTTTAAGTACCTGTTAGCATCTGCAGCTCGAACCTGGAATGGCCACTTGCCGGTTGTCCAAAGCTGCTACCAAGTACGGTCGATAGGTCAGGATTGATGCATGCAGCGAAAACGATAACAATGACAAATCCCAGCCCCCCTATACAGGTCTTGTCAGCGGGCTTTTATGAGGATGGGGACATGGATTACTTACAGCACATGCCTATTGATCCCAAAATTCCCATTGGCACAGCCATCGCAGCATTTGATGCCTCTTCGGACACTGTAGTTTGTCAGTATGCTTGACCCACATAAACAAGGTAGGCCATGAACTGAAGTACATACTATGAACCTGTTCAAGATCAGCACAACTCACCAATCAGTATGGATAGGATCTGGGACTTACACAAGAGTCGAATGCGCCAATGGTCCAGATAGGTGATAGCCAAGCCAACATGAAGCTCCAGCCGGTTGGCCAAGTAGTAAGATTCTGAACGTCGGCGAATATGAAGTGTCCATCGTTTCGCTTAGAGCCCATACCCACTGGCAGCGCAATGATGGTTGCAAGTATCAAAGCGAGGTTCTATAGAGTTAGATGCTTGTCCATGACAATTTGGAGCATAACGTGAACGTACCATGAAGACAGAAAAGGACTGCAAACGCCCCATGATTTTGGATAATGTAGATGCAAGTATGCCGTGTGTGATGACACAGACCATAAATACAACGTAGACTATGCCTGACGATGGCGACCAATCGCCGTCTCGCGAGATGACAATTCTAGATATGGCAGCAGGGTTAGCATGTAATTGCAAGCTTGATAATACAATGACTATCGGTTATGGTCTTGATGTCTCCGGGTGGCATCTTCGAACAGTTGCGGAAAGGAACTCAGCAATGGAAAACCCTTACACAGAACAGAACATCAGAGCAAAACCTATGATAATTAGCATACTCACGACGGCTTTGCAGTTCTCATTCGTACCATAGTCAATACTACA